TCAGTGAACTAAAATGGACAGGAATGGGTGAATTTAATTCAGATGACCATCAGGTATACTACTGCGGGCAAGAATCCCTCAGAAGAATTGGAGTAGCCTTCATAGTCAATAAAAGAGTAGGAAAAGCAGTACTGGGATACAATCTCCAAAATGACAGAAAGATCTCAGTTCGAATCCAAGGCAAACCATTCAACATCACAATAGTCCATGTCTATGCCCCAACCACTGGTGCTGAAGAGGCTGAAGTTGACCAGTTCTATGAAGGCCTACAACACCTTCTAGAATTAACTCCAAAAAATGATGTCCTTATCATCATGGGGGATTGGAATGCTAAAGTAGGAAGCCAAAAGATAACCGGAATAACAGGCAACATTTTGGTCTTGGAGTACAAAATGAATCAGGGCACAGGCTAGTAGAATTTTGTCAAGAGAATACAATGGTCATAGCAAACACTCTTTTCCAACAACCCAAGAGACGACTCTACACATGGACATCACCAGACGGTCAACACAAAAATCAGATTGACTATGTGCTCTGCAGCCAAAGATGGAGAACCTCCATACAGTCAGTAAAAACTAGACCAGGAGCTGACTGTGGCTCAGATCATGAGCTTCTCGTTGCAAAATTTAGGCTTAAGTTGAAGAAAGTAGGGAAAAGCACTAGGCCAGTCAGGTATGACCTAAATCATATCCCTGATGAATATACAGTAGAGGTGACAAATAGATTTAAGGAATTAGATCTGATAGACAGAGTGCCTGAAGAACTATGGACAGAGGTTCACAACATTGTACAAGAGGCAGCAACTAAAACCATCCCAAAGAAAAAGAAATGCAAGAAAGCAAAATGGCTGTCTGAGGAAGCTTTACAAATAGCTGAAGGGAAGCAAAAGGCAAGGGAGAAAGAGAAAGATACAAACAATTTAATGCAGAATTCCAGAGAACAACTAGAAGAGATAAGAATGCCTTCTTAAATGAACAGTGCAAAGAAATAGAAGAAAACAATAGAATAGGGAGGACCAGAGATCATTCCAAGAAAATTGGAGATATGAAGGGAACATTTCATGCAAAGATAGGCATGATAAAGGGCCAAAATGGCAGGGACCTAACAGAGGCAGAAGAGATTAAGAAGAGGTGGCAAGATTACACATAAGAACTAGACAAGAAAGAGCTTAACGTCCCTGATAACCACGATGGGGTGGTCACTGACCTCGAGCCAGACATCTTGGAATGTGAAGTCAAATGTGCCTTAGGAAGTCTAAGCAACAACAAAGCTAGTGGAGGTGACAGTATTCCAGCTGAGCTATTCAAAATCCTAAAAGACGATGCAGTAAAAGTGCTACATTCAATATGCCAGCAAATTTGGAAAACTCAGCAGTGGCCACGGGATTGAAAAAGGTCAGTTTACATTCCGATGCCAAAGAAGGGCACTGCCAAAGAATGTTCAAACTACTGCACCATTGCACTCATTTCACATGCTAGCAAAGTGATGCTCCAAATCCTACAAGCTAGGCTCCAGCAGCATGTGGACCAAGAACTACCAGAAGTACAGGCAGGATTTCAAAGAGGGAAAGGAACTAGAGATCAAATTGCCAACATACGCTGGATCATGGAGAAAGCTAGGGAGTTTCAGAAAAACATCTGCTTCATTGACTATGCTAAAGCCTTTGATTGTGTGGATCACAACAAATTGTGGCAAGTTCTTAAAGAGATGGGAGTACCAGACCATCTTATTTGTCTCTTGAGAAACCTATATGCGGGTCAAGAAGCAACAGTGAGAACTGGGCACGGAACCACTGATTGGTTCAAAATTGAGAAAGGATTTCGGCAAGGCTGTATACTATCACCCTGCCTATTTAACTTATATGCAGAGCACATCATGAGAAAGGCAAGGGGCTAGATGAATCACCAGTTGGAATTAAGATTGCTGAGAGAAATTCAACAACCTCAGATATGCAGATGATACCACTCTCATGGCAGAAAGTGAAGAGGAACTAAAGAGGCTTTTGATGCAGGTGAAGGAGGAGAGCGCAAAAGTTGGCTTGAAACTCAACATTAAGAAAACTAAGATCATGGCATCCGATCCTCTCACTTCCCAGCAAATAGATGGGGAAGAAATGGAGGTAGTGACAGATTTTATTTTCCTGGGCTCCAAGATCACTGCAGACGGGGACTGCAGCCAAGAAATTAAAAGACGCTTGCTCCTGGGGAGGAAAGCTATGGCAAATCTAGACAGCATACTAAAAAGCAGAGACATCACCCTGCCAGCAAAAGTGTGTATAGTCAAGGCTATGGTTTTCCCTGTTGCAATGTATGGCTGTGAAAGCTGGACCATAAGGAAGACTGAGCGCAAAGGTTTGAGGCCTTTGAATTGTGGTGCTGGAGGAGACTCCTGCGAGTCCCTTGGACCGCAAGGCGATCAAACCGGTCAGTCCTAGAGGAGATCAACCCTGACTGTTCTTTAGAAGGCCAGATAGTGAAGATGAAACTCAAATACTTTGGCCACCTAATGAGAAGGAAGGACTCCCCGGAGAAGAGTCTAATGCTGGGAACAATAGATGGCAAAAGAAGGGGACGGTGGAGGATGAGGTGGCTAGATGGAGTCACTGAAGCAGTTGTTGTGCGCTTAAGTGGACTCCGGGAGATGGTGGAGGACAGGAGGGCCTGAAGGAATGTTGTCCATGGGGTTGCGATGGGTCGGACACGACTTCGCAACTAACAACAACAACACAGCAGAAGTTGGTGGAGGCTATTCAAGAGCAGAAAAATAAGGCAAATGTTGGCATTCAGGTGGACCTCAACTGCCGAAGTGTCTCAGGTCCAGTAACAAGCATCAAACAGTTACACAGGCAAGCAGGTGGTGCACCTGTGTGCATTTGGCGAAACAACAGAGAGGCAGAGCTCCTCTTCTTGAATTCACAATAGCCATTTTCCAAGTAAATTAATCCAATGAGCAAAAACATTTATGACTGTAGAATGCCAGCACAGGTATGGAGCTTTCCAATATGTTGCAGTTTGTCACAGGTATGACAAGGAAAACTTATTTGGGGGTGAACAGGGTGGCCTGTTGGGCCCCAAAAGAACTAGCAAAAATGACAGCAGTTCTTCAGCTCCTCCACTATGCCAACTGTCCACCCATCTGTGCTGCCCGGAGAATGACCACCCACCTCATTGCTCACTCTGAGGCATCTCCAAGATGAGAGACCAAGTGGGCTCTCTGGAGAGCCATGAAATACTGTGCATGAGGGGTCAATCCTTCAAGTGAGCCATTTAGGTGAGGGGATTTTGAAGGCTGCCTGTGTTGCCAAGACTTTAACCAGAAGACTCGACACGCAGCGGGGAGGAGGAGGCAAGTTGTGGGGCAGGCAAGCAGGAGGAGGACAACAGCTGGTTAGAAAGAGGACAAATTGGGGGAAGGGATGCTGGCAGCAGGGTATTTGGAAAGAGGGGCACAGACCAGGGATGAGGCAAGAGATGAGCAGTGGCAGTGGAGCTGTGACCACCAAAGTAGTAGAATACCATCTTGCCTCTGATGCCAAAATACCTAGAGATGGGCCCATGGATGACTGCTGGGTGTGTGCTCGGCGCAAGGAGCTCTAGTCTCTCAGTAACAAATTAGGCTTTATCATCAGCTTCTTATTGCATGGTACTTAACTGCTTATTCACAAAGGGCAATAGGCCAAGAGTAAAAAAAAAATCCAAATAGAAACTGTAGTTGTCTTTTCAGGTCTAAGGATGCTGGGGCCCAAATCAGTGCAGTAGGAGCCTGTGTCATGCATGAAGCTCCGACAGAAACAGTGACTCACGAGGAGACCTTGCACTTGGCACCCAGTGCCCAAGAGTCGACCCCACAACCCAATGCAGGGACGGCTGAGCCAGCTACTGCGTCTTCCTCTAAGCCCCAGCACGTCCAGCACGTTGAGCAAACGCCTGGAGCTTTATCAGATACAGAGTCATGAGAAAGAGGAAGCTGCAAGTTCTACTCAGAAGGAGGCAGAGCAAACTGCCTCCCCCCCCCACGCCGATCTCCCTGAGCCAGAAACAGAAGACACAATAGGTGTCGTGGATTTTTCAAGAGCCCAGAACAGACGTATTTTACCCCAATTTGAACAGCTACAAAGTAGACTGCGTAAGAGGGAGGAAAGGCGTGACTTGGGAGAATGATCCCACGTGGGCTCAGGAAGAGAAGCCATTATAGGGCTGACAGCTGCTTAGCAAGGACCGCTATTAGGGAACTTATCTATAGAACTGTAAATCTTGTAGACAATTAGCATTAAAGGACTTTAGTTTTATTGCTCTAGAATGTGTGGAATGTTTACATACCGGGCTGCCCCTCACGACAGCCTGCTACCTTTCTTGTTTAGAAACAGAGAAACAGAGTGAGGCAGAAGGGGCCTCCCAGACCATCTAGTGTGATCCCCAGCTCCAGCCGGCTCCGCTCACGACATGCCTGCCATGTGCATGTCTAGCCACCCTCCTTCCCTTCCCACCATAGCCAAAAGAAGGTATGGGAGCATGAAGTTAAGTCAAACTCGAGGAGGAGAGAATTCACTTCCAGGGTGGGTGGGGCGGAGGTCCTAGCTGAAAAGCAGTCACTGCGACATTTTACAATATTCTTAATGAGTGCAGGCTGTGCTGACAGAGATAAGGAAGGGCCATTCTACCAGCCCCAATGAAAGATTAATAATTCCTCTTTATCTTCCCTACCCCAATTGTTTCCTTGTGTTCTTTTCAGATTATAAGCCTGTGGGAAATATATAGCCTTTCTGGCTGGAAATTAAATACTCTGGATAAATATATTTGATGTAGGACCCTCTTCCATAAAATGGAACTATATGTACAGTTTAGGAGGCTAACTTAGTCAAGAATTGTGTAAATAATGCAAGCATCTCTCTAAATTGCATTTTGACATTAAAAGTGGGAATGTTAAAATGAGAACATTTCAATTTTTAAAAAATCAGTTCAATTTTGTGCCTCTCATGCTTCTTTTCCCCTTCTTCTTAGACACGAAAGCTGTCCAAGATGGAACGGCAGCGCTTCAGTGAAGAGGTGGTGATGCTGAAAGGGCTCCAGCACCCAAACATTGTCCGCTTCTATGACTCATGGAAGTCTTCTGTCAAAGGACAGGTCTGCATTGTTCTGGTCACAGAACTCATGACCTCAGGCACCCTCAAAACGTGAGCATAGCACTGACTCGTAACAGCGGGGAGGTTACTGTGGTGGCTGGAGGAACGTGGAGCCTCTGAGGATCTTTTGGAGGGGTGCTTCATTTGGCTTCTTCCCATCTCAAGCAGCAGGAAACTCCAAGCCACATTGAGGGTCAAACTGCATGTTAATTTAATGACACTTCTTAAAAATGGTGGTTAGCACCATCACTTCTATTGTGAAGGAAAAGGACAGTTTTTTCCAGCCAAAAATATGCCTCATCAATTACAAGTTGCCCACAAAGTTGTAATAAACCAGTGTGGCTCCCCAGTCCAAATCGGGAATGCAGTGCTAGGTTGAGGGCCCAAGACTGTTTTTCTTTCAAATATAAGTGGCAGTGTCAAACATTAATTATCCGAAACTCTTGGGTCAAAATTTGGTTTCTTTATTAAAAGACTCACTATAGCAGTGGAGACCACACCATCTCTTAAAAAGAAATTAACCACCTCCGTGGTCCATATCGCCAACCCAGCTCTGGCAGATTTAAATAGCCAAGATGGGCAAAGTTCAAGGGAATTTGTGGTAGGCCTCAAACCTCAGATAGAACAGCCCCTGTTTACTATGCATGATTAGTCCAGGCAAGGAGAGGTAAACATACAGCTTAGAGGGACCCATAAGGGCAGGAAAATGAGAGACACATGTCAGCATCCATAGAAACACCCCCAAAGTCTATGAATCAGGGGCTCAGCCACATGTGACTAATACATTCAGGAAACTAATGATCTCAGGCCAGTGAGGACCTGGCCCCAGTACATAACACACAGTTGAAAGTGCCCCTAATGCCTCAGGCCCAGTGGGACAAATAGCATCAACCTTACTATTATTAGTCAGATATTTCTGCAAGCAGTGGTTCAAATCGCCTTGTGCTACTCACAGGCACTATTTTGAGGCCAATACACAAATGGAAGGAAGGAAGGAAGGAAGGAAGGAAGGAAGGAAGGAAGGAAGGAAGGAAGGAAGGAGGGAGGGAGGGAGGGAGGGAGGGAGGGAGGGAAGGAAGGCCCACATAATACAGCAGCTGCATAACTTCTTATGCAAGCACTTCCAGAGAGTGCTTGCAGCTCTTTCAGGACAGGTGCTCAAGACTCACCTAAGCAGGGAAAGACTCTTTTGCCAGGGAGCCAAATGGAGGGAGGGGTGAGGACACAAAGAGGGGAGACTACACCCATACTCTGACAGCAGGGACTTGCAATAGCTCTCTTCCAGTGCATTAAACACAGTACACTGGCTGTTTGCTAAAGGTGTGGACCCACCATCTCCATCAAATGTTAAAAATGGATGGGTGGATAGATATTTGGCTGTTGACGGTTGCTCCCAGAACTTAACAGCAGACTTCTGAATGCTTTGTCACTGCTGTAGTTTGAGAGTACATAGTGGGATTCTGGCTACTGAGGAGGCTCCAGACAGGCAGCATTGATTCTCAGAGCCCTTGATAGTGCCCAGTGCTGGCACAGGGCAGGGGCGCAAAACCTGAGGTCCCAATCTGGCCCATGGAGCCTGTGGGGCTCCTCCAAGGGGCTATTCTAGCTACATAAGCAATAATACTTAACAGGCTGAATATTAGAAAAAGAGCAAGCAAGTGGGACCTGCAACAAAATGCTGCAGTGTGAATTGCTGCTCCTCACGCTTCAGGATGCTCTCTTCCCATCCATTTTCCCCTGGATGTATCTCCCCTACATTATGTAGCCACTGAACATGCTCAGTCCCCATTAGGTGTTTGGGGCAGGTTTCCTTCTTAGGTTTCTTTCCCTCCCAAGGCCTTTGTGCTTCTGCAAAATTTTGAGATCCCCAAATACAGCTGCTCCAATGGATGGTACTTTTTTGGCTGCTTTAGGACCAACAGTTGAGTTATTGGATTACTTATGATGCTAACAATAGCAAAGAGATCTTGCTCAGAATAATATAAGAGTCAAAACTAGTTTTTCACCATTCTGAAAGGGTGGAACCTGCATCCAACTGTTATGATGCAGTGGCCTTTAATTTGATGTTACCATCTTTTAACAGATATCTGAAACGTTTCAAGGAGATGAAATTGAAGGTCCTTCAGCGCTGGAGCAGACAGATCCTGCGAGGGCTGCATTTTCTGCACACACGTTCCCCTCCAATTATCCATCGTGACCTAAAATGCGACAATGTTTTCATCACAGGTCCCACTGGCTCAGTCAAAATTGGGGACCTTGGCTTGGCCACACTCAAGTGTGCATCCTTTGCCAAGAGTGTCATAGGTATGTAATGGGAGGTGAGGGATGGCAGAACGTGCAGGTAGACTCTGGAGGATGCCTAATTTCAGTCATGTTTCTTCTGTCCTTAAGAGCCACCTTGGGTAACAGGAATTAGAACAGTGTATACATGTGCGCATGCACACATGTGCAAACACACATACATACAAGAAAAAGACAAAAATAGGATGAAAAAGTATGGTGAATGTACTCCAAGCTACAAAATAGCTGTTAAATCAAACTCTCTTGCAGCACAGCTGAAATATGCTTGGAATTGTTGTGGGGCCTCCAAAGATCAGGAGTTCCATAAGTGAGGAGCAGCTGCCGGGAATGCCTGTCTTCCTGATCTTACTGCTTTTCTTCTGCTGAACCTTGGGAAATTGTTGTGGAAGAGGCAATCTTTTAGGCATGCCTTTTCAAGGGGTTCAGATTCTTCCTGGTCAAAACTCTCCTTGGAAGTGTGTCCAGGAGAACCTCAGAAGCCTGTCCTTGTTATTGGCCAGTTTGCATGACTGCCAACACCCACTGTGGCTTAAATAATAAATGTTTAAGCCACTGTGGCTTAAATAAATAAATGCTTAAATAAGCCACAGTAGGTTGTGCTGTGCACTGGCCACCATTGGGAATATTCAAGCTGAGACGGTTAGTTGCGGCAAGAAGTGTGAACCTGAACTTACTGCCAAAAGGCTACTGCAGCTCATGAGCGATGTGGCCACCCTGGGCTTAAAGTTGCTGGAGGAGCCCAGTTGTGCCTGGTGGGAGTCCTCTGGCACCACTTCCCCCTTCCTCCGCAATCCATCAGGTGGTATCCAAGGGGACACCATGTTGGAGCACTGAGACAAGCAGGAGGGCAGCCCTCTTTTCCCTGTTGCCCATCCAGGGTGTGCCACAGCGGAGTGTGGGGAGGAGGGCATTGGTGCTATCAGGCAGCACCCCCCAACCCGATTAGAGGACTTCTCCCTAGCTGGGTTCAGATGGGGGGCAGGTGTGCCTGTCAGTGCCCTGAATGCATGGGGCACCGACAGACAGAATCAGCACCCCGACCCAACTGGTGAAAAGACTGCAAGTGGGGGTTGGGTGGAAAAGGCCCACTCAACTGCTTCTCCTGCAGGAAGCCAAGCCTCCCGGTCCCTTCCCCAGCTGTGTGTGCCCTCGGTGGAACTTGAGGAGGAGGAGGTGCAGGGTGGCAGCCCTTCTTTGCTGCTCTTGCCATCTTGCGTCTTTTGGCTGGATCATGGCTTAGCACATCATCTGGGTTCAGACGCACTAAGCTATGGTGTGTGGGGGGGGGGAGGGGTCCTCGACCTCAAGGGAGGCTGGGAGGTTTCACATGGCATATTAAGGCACCCTGCCAGTGGTTTGGTGTGTCAAGCAAATCCAGTCATTGTGGCTTATTTATCTCTGGTGCACACTAGCAATAATATGGACTGGGTCACTGTTATGGGGTGCTAACCATTGTGCTTAAAGGGGTATCCTAGTGGATTTATGTGGGATGGGTGAGGATCTAATGACTGGAGGTGAGTGGATTTTGCCTAAGGGTCTTAGTTTCTGATAAAAACCCATTCCTTCCCCCTCTCCCAGGGACCCCAGAATTCATGGCTCCAGAGATGTATGAAGAGAAATACGATGAAGCAGTCGATGTTTATGCCTTTGGCATGTGCATGCTGGAGATGGCAACTTCAGAGTACCCCTACTCGGAATGCCAGAATGCTGCTCAGATCTATCGCAAGGTCACCTCGGTGAGAGCTCAGCTGAGCCCTCTTTGTCGTTACAGGCTTATCCCTTGCAGTGTCCTTGAATGTCCAAAGACTTTCTGAGGATAGCTTTCCATAAAAGTTGGATTTGTTTGGTAAAACTGTAGGGCAAACAACATGGCAGCTGGTGGGATGGCTTTTAGGGACAGTGAGGAGTAGTGATGAGAAATGGCCAGGTTGGTGTTCAGGGCACTGAATATCATTCACATACAATTTCTGGGACAGAAGCCCTACCCAACCCAACCCGAATTTGGCTTCTAACTTTCCCTGAGGTGGCAAGCCCTTTTTCACATACCACCAAGCTGGATACTTATCCTTTCTGCTCCTTTAAAAGGAAAAAAAAGTTTGATGTTCAGACAAATAGTTGTCTGCTATGAAATCACCAGGCTTAAAAGTTTGCTTGCAGACTGCCAGTATGGGTATGTTTGGGCATCTTATATTCTGGCCCCTTAGCTCTGTTTTAATTTGTAAAAAGAAGGTGCTGGGTGGAGCCAAACCTAATTTGGAAGCATATTCTCCTACCCAGAAGCCCCGCCCCCGATTGCCTGATGAATGAATCACCTCTGGTTATTCAGTAGGAGAAGTGAAGGGGCACATGTTCCTGGTACTCAGAATAGTGCTGGGCCTGATGAGCAACAGAAAAGATGTGGAGACCCATCAGACCTCTCTCCAGGGCTGAGCTGCTGGGGCGTCTTATCTGTAGGCAGAACCTTTCTACTGGAAAGCCTCCTGCTGACCCCACTTCTACCATCCCCCACTGCATCGCCCAGTCTGAGCTGGCCCCTCTGTCACTTCTCATCACAGGGCATGAAGCCCAACAGTTTTTACAAGGTGAAGGTGCCTGAACTGAAGGAGATCATTGAGGGCTGCATCCGGATGAACAAGACTGAGAGGTAGGGAACAGCACTGACATGGCCTGAGTTCTGCTACCCTTTCAATAAAGAAATGTAGGTGATGGGTTTTTCCCGTTATATAGGATGATATAGATCCTCTCTGATTTTGGCACTATTTTGGCAAACACACACACACAAGCCTGGGTGGTCTAGAGAAGGAACTCAAAGGCACATGTGGAACAGAGAAGGGAATTCAGAAACCTGCCCCAGACCCTTGGAAACCCCGAGTCCTTATCTGGTGTGCCAGGTTCCACATTTTAGATGTATTTTCAGTTTTGCTTTTTAATGTATATCAGAAGAAACTTGCTGGATTAAATAATATCCCTTCAAGGGTACAGACAGGTGGCATACAAGTGCAGGAATGACATCAGGAAAACTGAACTTGAGAATGAGCTGTGGCTAGCAGACACAACAAAAAGGATTTTTTTCAGGTATGTTCACAGTAAACAACAGAAAAGAAACTGTGGTTCAACTTGTCCTCAGTGAGGACAAATTGGTAACAGATGACAAAGAAAAAGCCAAAGTGCTCAATTCTTATTTTGGTTCAGTTTTTTCCCAAAAGCAGGTCTATGACCTCCCTGACAGAAATGAAGTACAACTAAAGGGTCAGAATTGAAGCTTGTGATTAGTAAACAAATAGTCAAGGAACACCTGATTTCTTTGAATGAGTTCAGATGTTCAGGGCCTGATGAGCTGCATCCTAAAGCAATGAAGGAAGATTTGCGGGGGAGGAGTGCCAAATGCCTGGAGGAGGGCTAGTGTTGTCTCCATCTTCAAAAAAAAAAGGGGGGGGGTAAAAAGCAGTATCCTGGGAAAAATAGACCAGTTAGTCTGACATAAGTGTAAGCTGTCCTGAGCGCTTGTTGGAAGGATGGGATATAAATGTTTGTAATAAAATAAATAAATAATAGTCCCTGGGAAAATTCTGGAGCAGGTAATAAAGAAGTCGGTTTGTTAAACACCTTGAAGACAATGGAGCAATTACTAGAGGCCAGCACGGATATATCAAGGAGAAGCCTTGCCCAGCTAATCTGATCCCATTTTTTGATTGAATAACCTCCCTTGTGGACTGTGGGAATGCTGTGGACATACTATATCTTGACTTCACCAAAACTTTTGACAAAGTGCCCCGTGCCATTCTGACCAGTAAATTGGCTAAAGGTGGGCCAGATGGAACAAGCGTCAGGTAGAGCCACAGTTGGCTACAGAATTGGACTCAAGTAATGTTTCTGGATGGAACCCTCGCAGACTGGGGAGAAGTAACGAATGGGGTACTGAATGGCCCAGTCCTGGGCCCAGTGCTCTCCAGCATTTGGATGAAGAGGTGCAGGAAATGCTGATCAAATTTTCAGAGGATGCAAAACTGGGTGGAATGGCTAATACCCTGGAAGACAGAAACAAGATTCAAGGTGATCTTGGTAGCTGGATCGCAGGGCTAAAAATAGCAAAATGAAATTCAAGAGGGACAAATGCCAGGTTCTGCACCTAGGAAAAAGAAAGCAAGTGCATCATTACAAGAAGGGGAATACTTGACTCAACAATTGTACAGCTGAGAAGCATCTTGGAATGGTTGTAGATCACAGTTTGAAAATGAGTCAAACAAGGTGTTGTGGCTGTAAAAAAGGCTAATGCTATATTGGGGTGCATAATAGATGTATAGCTTCCAAATCACATGAGGTTCTGGTTCCCCTCTATTTGGCATTATTTAGGCCCCATCTTAAGTATTGTGCCCAGTTTTGGGGGCCACACTGCTAGAATGATGCAGACAAACTGGCAACAGTTCAGAGAAGGACAACAACAATAATCAGGAGACTCGAAACAAAGCCCTATCAGGACAGTTTGAAAGAATTGCACATGTTTAGCCTTGAGAAGAGAAGGTGGAGGAGAGAGATGCTAGCCTTTTCAAATACTTGAAAAGCGGCCACACTGAGGAGGGCCAGGATCTCTTCTCAGTCATCCCAGAGTGCAGGATACAGTAAAATGGGCTTAAGTTACAGGAAGCCAAATTCCAGCTAGACAGAATTTTTTTCTGAGTTACTTGGGGAGATTGTGAGCTCTCTCACACTGGAGATATTCCAGAGGCAGTTGCATAGCCATCTGAGGGATGCTTTAACTTGGAGTCCTGCATTGAGCAGGGAGTTGGATGTAATGACCCTATGGGCCCCTTCCAACTGTATGATTCTAGGGCCAGCAAACTCTTACTCACTGTCAAGTTCTGGGCAGCTCCAGGGCTCCATCTGCCGGCCTAGCACCAGAATAATGACCCTGCTTGTTGCAAGATTAGTTCTGTTGCAGCATTAGACTCTGTTGCAGCTGCCAGGGCCTTGCTGAGCACCTAGGAGCCCTGAAGTAAGAGCTATTTAAGAGCAGGCCCTTTCCTCCTGAGCTGCCTCCACAACATTGGTCTCTCCTGTGTTGTAGTCAGTTCCTGCATCTTGCATCTTTACCTTGCCCTGCTTGCCTCACCTCACTGCCTTGCCCACCATGCCTTATCTCCAGATTCCAAGCTTCCCGCTCCTCTTGCCAGTTGTGCTCTCTTGCCAGTTCTTGACCCCTCGCCTGAGTGACTCCACTATTGCCTGTCGAACTCCACCTCGCCTTGCTTCATGACCTGCTTTTGGTTCTGACCTCGAGCTGTTTGTGACGCTGACTCTGAACTTGCACCGTCATGACCCCTGTTGCCTGAGTCCCAGTGCATCTGCTCGGGATCCTGCTGCCCACGCTCTCGATCCTTATGCTCACTAATCGGAGGCCTCTGGGAAGCCTGCCATGATAACCCCTTTCTGCTGCTCTTTCCCAACATGTGATACTCAAATTGCTTCCTAACCTGGAGGCTCCATATAGCAACTAGTATCCACTGATAGTCCTATCTTCCAACAGCCATTGGTAGAACTGTCCTTCTCCATAAATTTGTCTAAGTTGTCTAATTCCTTTTTAAAGGCAACTAAGCTAGTGGCCGTGCTCACATCTCCTGGCAGAAAATTCCAGTGCATTAAATACCTGGAAAACACAGATAGATAAGCTTGCCTACAAGGGGAAAACTCACAGTTGGATAATAGCTTTATTAGAACCAACCAGAATGCCACAAAAGAGTGTGCAAGCTTTTGAGTTCCCCAGAACACCCCATTAGGCTAGATAGTGCAAAAGTGGGAGCTGGGGAGAGAAAACAAGTGTTTAGATTAGACCTGGTGTGGTCATGAGGTCTGCAGTTCAGGATAGAGTTTGTGGACTGGTAGGTGTGGCCGGTATCAGATTATACAGCATTCTGGGACAAAGATGCAATGGCTGCCATTTATTTGAAGCACCTTAAGGCTTGAGGGGAATACAGCAAAGGCCACCAGAGTTGTCCAGGCTGGAGGATGACCTGGAAGGGGAAATAGAGCAAAGATGCTGGATTCATCTTCCTGTCAGCTGTTGTGCTCATCCAATATTATCATAATGCCAGTTGCCCCAACCTCCCACTAGCCTCCTTTTGGCACCCCCATTCTTCCCATGGACCTGCTGGACTCAAAAATACTCAATTCACAATTATTTCAGTTGCAATTAAGTCCAGAATCCACCATTATAAAGCTATGAGTTGCTACTAGTCCTCATGGCTTTACACTACCTCCAATATCAGAGCACTATGCCTGTTTACACCACATGCTGGGGAGCATGGGAGGAGGGTGTATTATACATACGTGCTACTTGTGTGTTTCCTGTGGCAGCTGGTTGGCCACTGTGTGAGCAAAGCTGGAGGAGACTGAGCTTTGTTTTTATCCAACATGGTTCTTCATATATCCTGGCAGGGAGAGGTTCACCTGGCACTGGCACTGCAGACTCTTCACTGCCCACCAAAGATGTTTCTGTTCATCTGTGAATTTTAAATAGTTCATGTGGTCCAGGCACTTGTCACACTAGTCCACCTGCCTGGCTAGCTGGCTGTGTGTCTGTGGTGGCAAAAAGGGAAGCCCCTTCCACGCCTTGCCTACACACAGTATTCCAAGCGTGGCCTCATCAGAGATTTGCAGTTATTATGATACTGGTAGTTTTATTTTGTTTCCCCTTTCTGGTACTCCCTAACATGGAATTCACCCTTTTCACTGTTGCAGACTAAGTTGGCATCATCATTGACATCATTGCCATGACCTCAAGATTCCCTCCCTGGTTAGTCACCACCAGCTCAGATCCCATCGGTGTATATGAGGTTAGGATTTTTTGCCCCGACTGAGCATCACTGAATACTGACATACGTTGAATCACATTTTCCATTTTGTTCTCCATTTGGTCAATTTGCAGGGATCCTTTTGGAAATGGTTGACATTTGCTACACTTTTTTTTACCTGTCTCAGTCATTTGGTTTCACCGGCAAACTTGCCCACCTCATTGATCATTCTCAGCTTCATTTCATGGTCACTTAAAAGCATGAGTCCTGACTTGGATTCCTTTAAGAGCTCACTTGTTATTTTTCTCTGTTGTAGGAACTCTTTCTTTCAACTGTCTTCATCTCATTTCTCAAACATTTGTTTTTAGAAAAATAATTACATTTTAATGGTTCAAAGACATGTTATCACCTTAGGAAAAAGAAACTTTGCAAGAGCATCAATCAAAATAAGGGGCAATAAAGAAATTTGGCAAAGGTGCAGATTTTTTAAAAAATGCAATCTCATAGAACCTATTTATGCTTTAAATATTAAATAAAATGCTGCTTATATCCAAAAAGAATTTTAAGAAGCAAAAGCTTACAAACATATACACAAACTGGGAATAGAACTGCACTCATATGCTAATCATACATACACGCCTGTCAGCCATTGTTCATGGTACATTGTTTACCTGCAGATGTGAGTTCATGCTCAGTTACCATCCTAATTTAAATCGCTTTTGCCTCAATTCCTTCTTTGCAGATACACCATCCAAGATCTTCTGGATCACTCCTTCTTCCAAGAGGATACAGGGGTCCATGTGGAGCTGGCTGAAGAAGATGATGGGGTGAAGTCCAACCTGAAGCTTTGGTTACGGATAGATGACACCAAAAAGCTGCATGGGAAGTATAAGGACAACAATGCCCTGGAGTTCCATTTTGAGTTGTATAAGGACGTTGCTGAGGAAGTTGCCCAGGAAATGGTACATCTTGGTTTGATTCATAGTGGAAGATAAGGAAATAGATCCTGACAGTGCAAAATCTAAGAGCTCAAGGAGAGGGGCAGGGCAGAGGGAGAAGCAGTGGGTAAATGGCAAGAAGGAGCATAATGGGACTCAAGCCTGCCTCGAAGTGACCTAGAAGGCCCTCAGCTCTTATCTCAAACATGTAGAGTCTGGAGAGGCACCATGAAGATTCGAGTGCACTCTCTTCAGTATTCTTTCAGGTCTTCTTAATTAAGCTCTAGTGCTTTACTTTGTTTTATTGTAAAATCATCCTGAGACTACTTGGTAAGAGGACGGAATAGAAAAGGTTTAAATAAATAAATACTGAACATAGGCTGTCTTAGCTACCTCTTGACTAGTGGAAGCTCAAGAGCAGGACTGCATGTCTTCCATGTTTCTCTAGGATCATGGTAGGATTTGTTGAACTGAAAATGGCATATCTCCTTAGGAAAAATCAAGTTTCGAGCCATGAAGATGAGTCTCAGGACTTTAGGGAGTCCCCTGGAAAGGCACTTTGGATAAGTGCTTTTCCACATTCAGGATCTCACTGAAAATAATTTGTGGTATTGGAAAAGAAATGCCTTTTGAATTGATTACAGTTGCTGGTTTGCTTCGCTCCTTCCCTGTGCAGGTGCAACTGAAGCATGTTGCTTTTTGCCAAGCTTTTTTGTTTGTGACAAACTGAAGTCGGGCTTCTTGAGGTTGGCGCTTTTAGGTGGATGGACCTCCCTCAGAGCAGTCTTCTTTAGAGCGGTCTTCCCCAGTCTGTAGTCCAACATATCTGGAGGGCATCAGAGGAGGAATGCGTCTTTAAATGGCCTCTTGCCTTGGTCCTTCCAGTTCTACGTGATAAGGCCATTTGCCTAGGCACATGTGTCAAGGCCCAGCTGAGTGTGATGTAGGCCTCATTTTAAGTTCCTCAGTGTCCTCTTAAAGCCCGAGGTCAGACTGAGAAAAGTAAGATCAGGCTGATTTTGAGGGCTCTGCATCTCTGTGCCCAAGAACTTGCTGCCAGGTCAGTTTTGTGGGAGCCCATACAAGGTGCGTAGATCCAGCTAACACTCCTTCTTACTCTCTGCCTCTCCCACCCGCTGCACTTACCCGCTCTCCACCCCACACAGGTGACCTTAGGTTTTGTGTGTGAAGCAGACTACAAGCTGGTGGCCAAAGCAGTACGTGAGCGTGTCCTAGCCATCAAGCGCCAACGTGAGAAAACCAAGAAGGCTCAGGAGGAACAGAAGGGGCACGAGCCGGTTCCAGCAATGTCTACAGATATCCTGCATTTGCTGGAACTAAGTCCTCCCCCACCTCTCAGCCCTGCCCATCCCTTGGTACCTGCCTCACCAGGATCTGGGGATTCTGCACTTGGCCCAACCTTTTCCCCCGAGCCGGAAGAGCCAGAGGTAGACCAGCACCAGACCTTCCAGTATCAGCATAGCTATTCCTCTGCCACATGTAAGTACAGCTAGCTCAGTTACCAAGAGAGCTCCCACCCCTTTACCCTTTTATAGCAACAACTGCATAACCTTAGCCTGGGTGGAATATGTTCCTTTTCTACCTTCATGTTGCAAAATCATGGGATTTGGGTGGGCTGTGGAATGCACCACCCCAGGAAGTTCTGTGCACCATTTTTTAAAGCTCTAAAAGGATGTTCTGAATTTGGTCTGATACATTTTACCCTGTACTAGGATGCTGCTGAAGCAATATTACCAGTGAGCTGAGTGTTGGAAGATTCACACAACATGAGCAGCAACAGTGCTTTTTAGGGAAGTTGGTCTGCCACATGTGGAACCAATGGTCTGTTCTGTGGTTTCTCAGTACTACAGTGACCAGTGTTGTCTGAAGCAGAAAACACAACTCATTGTGGTAGTGAGGCCCAAACCATGGACCACTTGGCATGAGTGGCCAGTTGCAGCTCTTGTCAAGCAGCTGATCAGAGAGAGCCACTGGCGCCTGCCATTTGGCGTGACTGTCAGAGGCATCCCTGCTCTTCCCACTTCCTGCCCTAAAGATCATCTTTGGGGCAGCAGCAAGAGGGAAGCTCCTTGCATGTGTAAGGAAGCCAGCATCAGATGAGGATCTGCTTGATGGGCTGTGCAAAAGAGCAGCACTGCTCCACTGACTTGCCCTTTACCTCTTCCAAGCATATCAGAGTGAAACTCTTTGACTGCAGACAAGCAGCTGGGAAATGCTGGCCAGTTGGGAGCTGAGCACCACAGAGGATTCCTCTGTGCCACCCGTCTCATTCACCAAAGGGAGGCTGTGACAAGCTAACTTGAATAAATCTAGCACAGAGCAAGATATAAATTTATATTTGAACTTCCTGGTTAAAAAAAGGAAAAATCCCCCACCCCACAAAATTGGTGTTTGCTGCCATAAACCATCATTAGCAAAGATGAGCCAGATTCTAATTTGGGAGTAAACAGTCAACTTTCATGTAGATACATAGATACAGTTATGAGAGATCTGTTGCTATGATATTTGCAAATGTGTGGTTATTATTTGGGTTTTTAATAAATCACAAACCACTGCCAGGAAGAGAAGTAGTAGAGCTGAAAACCCAGTACATGCGCATTTTTATTTTTTTGTTTCTTCCTCTCTTCCCCTTTCATCATAATCCTTCAAGCTGACCTATCTCAGAACACCAAGGAAGAGGGAGGTTTTCTGAGTTCGGCGTTTTCCCCCCTTCTTTGCTTCACAGTTTTTGTTGCTTTTACTGTGTTTTCATTGTTAATAATTATACATGGACAGAGATTAGTGAATCTCTGACTGTAGCAGAATGCCATTTACCCTATTTTTCCTGTCTGTAAATATGTCCCCAATAAAGTTGCACAAGAAATCCAATCATAACTTGTCATGTTAACATCTTCACCAACTAAAAATACTGCCAAGGATCATTCAAGGAACACCTATTTTACTAGCTTTCAGCAGCCCATAAATTGAAAGCTGCCCCTTTCTCATGTGGGAGGAGAGAGAATCCTCTGTTAAGCCAAAGCAAGAAGTGGGGGCATCAGGGGGTCCGAGGAGGCATGCAGCCTCCAAATGGGCACCACCAGCCCAAAGAGTCTCACGCTTCCTGGAGGGACTTCGCCCTGGCAAAAGCGTGCTCCCAGATGCAAATCAGGCTCATCCTTGCTCATGGTGACTGGGTGGTGCTGCGGCATGTTCAGTGGCATCTGCCCCAGCTGGACGCTGTCACCACCCCGCAGCTGCTTCTTGCCCCTGTTGTCCATGTGACGGGCAGCATCGGGGAATTGCCATGGAGCACCGTGACCAGCCAGCAGCCGCTGCCCAGGGGCTTCTCATGCACAGGAGGGGCTTCTTTGCTCAGGCAGTCATGGAGGAGGGTGCAGCTCCTTTCTGCAGCACTGTGCAGCTGATTTCATCCTTTTTGCCTGAACTTGGACTGGGCACCCCCTCCTGCTGGAGTGATCCCCTCTAGAGCAGGATGCAACAGTGCCCGACCAGCTCCTTGTCCTCTCCGCTGGGCTTCAGGGCATGAGCCCTGTTTGTGTAGCAGGGACTGCCCGACAGCCACAGAGAGCTGAGCTCGGCTCAGTCACGGCTGTCAAGGAGCAGAGCTTTGTTCTGCCCACAGTGCCTCCTGGGAAGCCACCTAGAGGACTAAGAAGGATGAAAACGATGGCCTGGAGGAGAGTTACCACAATGAGCCTGATCATCTTTCAAGTGTAGCCACACAAAAAACCATGCATGGTGGAAACGGCACAGGATCACTTGTTGTAACATGTGAATCTTGCTTGCATTGCACATCCCCAGCTGTTCTTCCTTTCTGCCACAGCTGACTGTGAGACTGATGGATATCTGAGCTCCTCTGGATTTGTGGATTTGCCTGACATGCCACAGAGGCTCTCCAGCCCAGCCACTGCCCCCGAGCGCTCCTTTGCTTCGGTGAGTGGGAAGGCTGCCCCTAGTATGGGCAGCCATAATGGGAGAGGCCCTGGTGCATGTGTTTGGAATGGGGAGGGCTGAGACCGGCATTGCACCTTCCCTTCAGTTTCTCTTCGTACCCACAGAGCTTTGCTGTGAGCCTGAAGCCTGCTTCCATCAGTGATTTCTCTTCCCCTGTGGACAGGTAAGAAGAAATCCGGATGACTGCTGTGGGATTTGCTACAGAGTTTAGCATGGGCAACATGGGGTGAGAAAGTCGTGGTGGGATGTCACGCAGATTCATCCAAATAAAGGCAAATTCTGCAGGAATTTGCTCTTTTGTCAAACTGTGTGTGAGAGAGAGAATAAACACATGTGTGCACAGCAGGCTACTCCCCAAACCTGACTGTTTTCCCTCACCTATAGAATTGTGCTTGGTTTTTGTGAGAATATGCCAGACTGCTCCCCTCTCTTCCTTTCTGGTGGGCACAGGCAGCCTGGGAAGGGGCGGGATGGTCCAGCAGGCTCCTCCTTAAATGACATTCCTGCACCCACCCCATCCTTACTTTGAGTCCTCTGACTGTTACACTGAAGCAGGTGCTTGCAGCCTAAGGCTAGTGACAAAGAGTTATTAGCTGAGACTCGTTTTGTGGCATGGCCATCTTTGCTGAAGTTTCGCTTCTTGCGCTGGTCACCTGCACACAGCTACACGTCAGACATGCCATCTGGACTGAGTGACGGCTATGAGGGTATCCCTGCAGGTGAACGCAGAACAAAGCCCCTGACCAAGCGGGGATCTGGCAGACTACTGGGTCACCGGGCCCGATCCCACCTACGCATCACAAATGTGAGTGCTCACTCCGCTGTAACAGCTTTGTGCAGTGGGACCAGATTAGTGGGAGATTGTTTGGTGTGCAGTTTTGACCCATCTCCTGTATGCTGATATCCAAGCTATGGCTGTCTGTCAATTAGGGTTCTTAACTAACAGATTAACATACTCTAGATAGGTTAGGCGTGAGGCAGCCAAAATGAACAAAGTGTTCAGCTTAGGCTAGCAAGCAAGTCAGGTGAACTATTAGAAGAGAAGGCAACCATCCATATTTGATTTTCATCAAATAGAGAATGCTCCCTTTGGAAAGTTCTCTGTTAGAGCAACATTTCAGAGCCAAAAAGACTCTAAAAGTATGTTCAAGACTATGACAAGTCCAGTTTTGGACATAGGGAGCATGATTTTAATTGAGTTCTGCCATTAGTGATTTTTATTCTTAAAGCAGAGCCACAATATCCTCTACCTAACAGGCAAATTATTTGACTTGCTTTGAACATAAACTGCATTGGCATAAAAGCTACATATGTACTGAGTAAATAGATTTGTCCTATGACACTGCAACCATCATCAAGAATCCACATGGAATATAACTTGCCCGTGCTTTCTCATTCTTCCCTTCTATCTTTGAACCCTATTGCCACTCAAGTATTAAACCATTTATTGAACAGCATACCAGAAACTTACCTCAGTTTCTTAAATATTCTTCAAGAGTAACCAATTCACTGCTATTTATGGTGGAACTCTTCCTGTGTATCTCCAGTATCAGTTGCCCCCTTTCTATGACACATTTAGGGCAAAATTCGATGTGACACTTGTCATGTGATTTTGCCTTGTGCCACTCTTTTTTTTTTTTTTTTTTTACAAGAAATAGCCAGTGTGGGAAAAGCTGCAACAAACAAGATTGGGATGATTCATATGAGGAGCAGGACTTCAACCCCTTGCTTCTGCCATGATCATGACTGGAAGCCACCCACACCCTGTTTCCCTACCTCTGGCTATTTACAGTGGGAAAACCTGCAAATTGTGTGTGTGTGGCGAGATTCCAGTCAGGACAGTTCTAGAAGCAAGGGGTTAAAGTCCCCCCTTCCCACACCGTGGCCCCATCCTGCTCAGTGCACCCTGGTATACAGTTTTAATCCTGAAATGAAGTACACTGCATAGCTGTACAAAAATTACCCTGGTTCATCAGGATTATGTGTTACTGCTTAACAGAATATTGAGTTGCCAAATTAATATTACATTTAGTATCTCTTCCCCAGAAAATAATCTCCACAAATTATAATTGGAATTTGGGTATATACTAAGTACTGGATTTTGGAAGAAGAATCAAGTTAAGAAATGGGATTGGTCCACAAGCCAGTGAACAGCAGGGAGCAAGCCCCTTCCCCAGCCTCTTCCCAACCCTGGAATAAAGAGAATTAAAAGTGTTCTCTCTGCAAAGTACTGTGTCAGAGCCACATGCAGTGTGGCTTATAGACCCTCCAAACTTTTCCATGTCACAGGAAAAGGTAATGGGTTCTCTCAAAAATATTTTCTTTTCTTCAAATAAGCAAGATAGGTGCCATTTCTGCCTTCCTGGGCTTTGCTCTCTTGGCAAATAGTCCTGAGATTCCTCTTTTGTAAATCCAGGAAATTGGCTTGAGGTAAATTTCCATATATAGTTAAAGCCTAACATTAAGTAAATGATTCCTTAACTAAATATGTGCCTGTCTGAAGTCTTCAGGGGCTGTGTCCGTAACAAGCTTGCTTCTTTGTTTTTATAATGAGAATAAGTAACTGATGGACTTAAAACTTCAGAATCCAAGATTTTTATAATTGCATGCAATGTTATTCCCACATTTTAGGACCTACATGCTTTTATGTATTTGTGTATGAAACCTGATAATATCAGCAACCTTTATAAAACGTACCTTAGGGGCTCAGATGAGGGATTTATCACACCATTTCCCTTGCCACACTCCCTGAATTTTACCTTCCATCCAGGAGGTGTCATTTTCCACTTGTAACCCTCCTTTGTTTTCTTACCAAGTCTATCTTTTTCCTTATTGCAGAAAATCCATTAAGAAGAAAAAGATGGAATAGCTGCAGTATGCTGGTTGTTAGTGCCAAGCACCCTAAGAACAGAACCAAGTTTCTCAATACTCCGCAATGGGTTGCTGTTGTCAAAATCAGACGGTATTATGCAGCTGTACCATCTTTTTCTTCTTAATGGATTTTTTTGCAGTAAGGAAAGAAGAGCCGTGAGAAAACACAGGAGGCTACAAGTGGAAGACAACCACATCTGGGCTGCATGAAAAGTTCCACAAGTGAGCCAGGGCACTTCTGCGATAAAATCCTCGCCTGGAAGCCCCCTCATCGTAAGCAAAACTTCTTCTGTAAATAGTACCCTAGCACATTTGCTTCTGAAATACACTGGCACATCAGACAAATGCAATCTTTCCTACATATGTGGTAACTCTGAAGGCATAACTCCTCCCCCAGTCACCACATCCACTCCTTGAACTGGAAGGAGAGACCAAATTTAAGTTTGCTCGTTCACTGGTAGCAGGGAAAAGAGCACCATCTTTGTATGTGCAGGGTTCTGAGCCATCAAAAGTTCTGGAGCCTGCGCTTAGCCTCACTGATAGATTAGTGGGCTGTGTGTACATACATGTGCATGTGTGGATATATGTATTTATAGTTGTGATACTTCACATGCAGATGCCAGATCAGAATGACCGGGTGGTTGAGTGTGAGTTGCAAACATACAATAACAAGATGGTGACCTTCAAGTTTGACCTGGATGGAGACAGCCCAGAGGAAATCGCAGCTGTCATGGTAAGGATGTGAAGTTTTGACTTCATGTAGAGGTGGAAGTTTGTGGGAAGATTTGATTGGCTAAATCCATGTTCTGGCTGCTTCGCTTCATTCTGTTACCTGCCTCTCCAGGTTGCCAATGAATTTATCCTGAAAACTGAACGAGTTGGATTCATCCGGCGAATCTGTGATATTATCCAACGCGTGAAGACTGTTCTGTGCAAAGATGGACAGAACAATGGCCAAGGGTCCTCAGGCAACCCTGAAATGCAATGTTTGTCCTCTGCTTTGGCTGCAAATGAACACTCAGTGAGTAACAGATCAGGGGAGTCTGAATACAGAGCCAGTATAGCTCTCTGAATGTTTCCACTCTGAATGTATGTGGTTACAATGAACACAGACTGAGGTCCACATTGTTTTTTAGACATACAGAAGTGTTGCTTCCGTTATTTTTATTTGTAGATTTACATTCCTCTTTCCCACCCAGCTGGCCAGCGCAGTACATTAAGAGATCTTCTAATGTAATGCACCTTCCCACAGCTTCTAGTGGCCTTTTTCTGCATTCGCCGTGCTTTCTTCTATCCCTAACCCCAAATGCTTTGGCCATTTCCCTCATACTGACACTTTTCTACAAGCCTGTCTAGAGACCACAACCGAAACAGGAATTTCTTCATGTTAAATCCCAGTGAATAGTGGTTCATTATGGTTCTAACATGAGAAGGAAGGGAACTCTGCATATAGTTAGGTACACACTTAAAAATATTTCATTGTATCATAGAATCATTGAATAGCAGAGATGGACGGTACAAATAAGGCCATTGAATCCAACCCAGTGCTCAACACAGGACTCCCAAGTTAAAGCATCCCTAACAGATGGCTGTCCAGCTGCCTCTTGAATGCCCCCAGTGTGGTAATCCAGACCTCCCTAGATAATTGGTACCGTCACCGTTCCAACAGTCTGTTCCATTATCATTGCCTTCCAACAGTCAGGAAGTTCTTCCTGATGTCTAGCTGGAATCTGTTTTCCTGGAACATGAGCCCATTATTTCATGCCCCGCTCTCTTGGATGATCAAGAAGAGACCCTGGCCCTCCTCTGTGTTACAACCTTTCAAGTACTTGAAGAATGTCATCATATCTCCCCCTCAGTCTTCTCTTCTCAAGGGTCAGGGTCTGGGTCGTAACATGTCCAGTTCTTTCATAGGGCTTTGGTTCCAGTCCCTGGATCATCCTTGTTGCCTGCCTCTGAACCTTTTCCATTCTGACTGCATTTTTCTTAAACAGTGCTGCCTGGAACTGGATGCAGTACTTAAGATGAGACCTAACCAGTGCAGAGTAGAAGGGAACTAGTACTTCATGTGATTTGGAAGTGAACTTCTATTAATAAAGTCCAAAATAGCATTTGCCTTTTCTGCAGTTGCATTATATTGCCATTTCCTATTCCGCTTGTGATTTTGAACAATTGAGAAGAAGGATCCTTCTCACTTGTGCTATTGTTTAGCCAAGTACCTCCCATCTTACAACTATGCATTTCATATACAACTTGACTTTTGTTCCTGTTAAATTTCATTCTGTTCTTTTCAGCCCAGTGCTTCAACCTATCAGGATCACACTGAATTTTGTTTTTGCTTTTGGGATAACAGGTATCCCACCTAATTTGGTGTCATTCAAATATTTAATAAGTATTCCCTAAACCCTCCTTATCCAATTCATTAATGCAAAGTTTGAAGAGCACTGGGTCCAGGACTGAACACTGTGGAACCCCATCTGGTGCCTCCAGTTTGAGAAAGTGCCATTGATAAGAACTCTTTCTGCTTGATTTTGTATATTCCAGGGCTAATACTTGATTCAGATTAAACACTGCCGTCCTACTTAGTCCTGTATGTAAGTGTGTTAGAGGAGTTTCCCTTTTTCCTTTGTCTATGTGATGGTTTAGAAAAGGAAAAGCAGTGAGCTTTCTTTCCTCTGACCAATGTTTTTTTTTTTCTAATTTTAGGGTGAGCTACCGCTGCAAGATCTCTCATGTTCCATGTCTTCATCCTTGGCTCTCAATGGTATGTAATCTAATACCTGGCCTACTCCTAATGTGCACTCACACACCCTTGTTCACAGGTATACACTACCATCCTTTCTTTCCAGGGCTGATATATTAATGTTGCCATCAAACTGAATGGAACAGTGGAAGAGGGAAAAGGTCCATAAGCTTGTTGGGAAATATAATATTACTTCTTTTATTTTTATCATACCCTGCATTCGTAGAATGTTCCTGGGATTCTAATTTCTATTACAGCTGATTTATTTGTCTGGATACTGGATACTGTCAGAAAATGGTGTTTTTAGGCCTCCACTTGTGGACTCTGTTAGATATGGGTTTTGAGCAGGCAGTGGGAATCATCAGGCAGCGCATTGCACATACTGAGAGACAGATTGATTTTAAGTGTCTCAGAATTCTGCCTCGGGGAGGACTACAGATACATCATAAGCTGCAGCTTACCTTGCTCTATTGGAAGTGCATAAGCACAGAAGAGCTTTTACCTTTGCCCTTCTTAATAGTCTTCCCTCAGCTGTGTTGGAGGAACAGTATAAAAAGAACCCCCAGTCAGAGCACCTTTGCCCCTGTGGCATGGAACAGAGAGAAACCACAGAGCATGTCCTGCTGTGGTGTACAGTCTGTAGGGACATTCGTGCTGCACTCACCTCCCCTTTGACAAACTGATTTCTGGGCCATACTGGACAACAATGCACCTGTTATGGTATGTCCAGAAAGTGATGAGAATGAAGTCCTTGCGCTCGAGAAGGGCTCTGTGAAGGGAGAAGCTGGCCCAGGTCACTTGGGGTGGGGTGCCAGGTATACGTTAGAACACTGCTCAATTGCATTCCAGCCCTGTCAGAGTCAAGACACCCTGTTCAAGTGCCTCGTACGAAGAATAATGCAAGCGAGTTTGGAACAGCAGCACACGATAAAATGTTGTGTGAAATTGGGTAAACGTGCATCAGAAACTGTGGAAATGGTGAGGAAAGCTTATGGAGAAGCGCTGTCATCTGCCCAAGTGTACGGATGGCACAAGTTGAGATTAGCTCCACTTGGATCCGTCATCACGAAACACCCAATTGTGGTGCTTTGGCTGCCAGAGAGTTTTTGGCTGAGAAACACATCATGGTGCTTCCCCATCCACCCTACAGCCCCGACTTGGCTCCTTGTGACTTTTTCATCTTCCCAAAGATGAAGAATGGTTTGAAAGGAGACCATTTTGGTAGTGTGGATAACGTCCAAAGAGCCACTACGCAGGCTCTGAATGCCATCTCACTTGAAGACTTCCAGGGATGCTATGAAGAATGGGAAATTCGCTGGGTGCATTGTATATACTTTGAAGGAGGCAGTGTTCAATTGTAAAATTTTTCAATAAAAGAATTTTTAAGATATCATGTTCATTTCTTTCTGGACATACCTCCTATTATTGTCTGACATTAATTCAATATTTATATATAGTGTTGCTAAATTATTTGCAGCCTCCGTAGGTATTTGAAGAAGGATGTTGAAAGAGTGTGGACCTATCTACTTAGCTGGATGAAAGATAAAGTCTGGAGAGTAATACCGTTTATCCAATATGACTGAAATGCATACTGGTCTAATAATAGTATTTACCTGTTTAAAGAATTACAGTTGCTCCTAGGATTGTTGAGGTTCTCAGAGTGCTTTAATTTTTGCCTCCCAATAGTTTTGTGGTTGTTAGTCATGAAGTCATGTCCGACCCATCACGACCCCATGGACAACATTCCTCCAAGCCTTCCTGTCCTCCACCATCCCCTGGAGTCCACTTAAGCGCACACCAACTGCTTCAGTGACTCCATCTAGCCACCTCATCCTCTGCCGTCCCCTTCTTCTTTTGCCATCCATTGTTCCCAGCATTAGGCTCTTCTCCAGGGAGTCCTTCCTTCTCATTAGGTGGCCAAAGTATTTGAGTTTCATCTTCACTATCTGGCCTTCTAAAGAGAAGTCAGGGTTGATCTCCTCTAGGACTGACCAGTTTGATCGCCTTGTGGTCCAAGGGACTCGCAGGAGTCTCCTCCAGCACCACAATTCAAAGGCCTCAATCCTTTGCGCTCAGTCTTCCTTATGGTCCAACTTGCACAGCCATACATTGCAACTGGGAAAACCATAGCCTTGACTATATGCACTTTTGCTGGCAGGGTGATGTCTCTGCTTTTTAGTATGCTGTCTAGATTTGCCATAGCTTTCCTCCCCGGGAGCAAGCATCTTTTAATTTCTTGGCTGCAGTCCCCGTCTGCAGTGATCTTGGAGCCCAGGAAAATAAAATCTGTCACTACCTCCATTTCTTCCCCATCTATTTGCCAGAAGGTGAGAGGATCGGATGCCATGATCTTAGTTTTCTTAATGTTGAGTTTCAAGCCAACTTTTGCGCTCTCCTCCTTCACCCGCATCAAGAGGCTCTTTAGTTCCTCTTTACTTTCTGCCATTAGAGTGGTATCATCTGCATATCTGAGGTTGTTGATATTTCTCCCAGCAATCTTAATTCCAACTGGTGATTCATCTAGTCCTGCCTTTCTCATGATGTGCTCTGCATATAAGTTAAATAGGCAGGGTGACAGTATACAGCCTTGCCGAAATCCTTTCTCAATTTTGAACCAATCAGTGGTTCCATGTCCAGTTCTCACTGTTGCTTCTTGACCTGCATATAGGTTTCTCAAGAGACAAATAAGATGTCTGGTACTCCCATCTCTTTAAGAACTTGCCACAATTCGTTGTGATCTGCACAATCAAAGGCTTTAGCATAGTCAATGAAGCAGATGTTTTTCTGGAACTCCCTAGCTTAAGATTTATTTATTTAAGGTTTTTATAGACCATTCTCTCAGCATGTGCTTTCAGAACAGTTTACACATGTTTACAAATATTAAAATGACATGACTATCCTATCCATAAAATCTATATCCAAATAATCACAAAAATACAAAGGAATAATGACCATAAATGAGAGAATAAAATAATAACACATTGAACTTAAGAACAGTAACAACATGACTTCTCTAGCTCCTGCCTTTAATTATATGTTGAAATGTAGAAAGCTTCAGGTAACCAGGAGTGGATTTTTTTGGTGGGGAGGGGGGATTTAGTTCTGGAACAAGCACACAGTTTTACTCTGGAAATGGTACTCTCAGAAGAAATGGTATGGCTCTAATACTAAGGCAAGATGAAGCACAGGTAGTAAGAGGTTATAATGCAAAGCCTGACTGAATCATATTAATCAGAATTCACAGAAAAGCTATCAACATAACTGTCATTCAAGTCTGTGCCCCAAGAAGAGATACTAAAGAAGAAGAAGTTGAAAACTTTTATGCAGACATTTGAGAGGGAAATGATAGCACAGTAAAACGAAAAACAAGGCATGCTGATAATCATAGGTGCCTGGAACAGTAAATAGGAAGCGGCAGAATCAAATGTGGGAGAATTTGGCCTAGGGGTTAGAAACAAAGCCTGAGAATGACTTAAGGAATTCTGTGCAGCCAGCCATCTGTTACTTGAAAACACGTAATTCAGGCAATCAGTCAGACAGCTGTATTCATGGACATCATGAGATGGCCAATATAAAAATCTAATTGGTTATGTAATTGGGAGCAAGAGAGGGAGAATGAGTGTTCTTGCTCAGAAGAAGACCCAGCGCATACTGTGGTATTGAGCATGAACTCTTAATATAAAAATTCAGAGTAAATCTAAAAAAGACCACTTACAGAAACATAGTGCCAAAATGCAACTTAAATAGCATCCCTAAGGAATTTAAGTCCACATAAAGAACAAATTTGCATTAACTGTGTTGCTAATAACTTCCTCTAACTTTCTGCAACAGCAGGTGGAGGAAGGAACGAACAAGGAATGGCTGTCCTTGACTTGGTTCTTGCCAACAGGGAAGACCTGGTAGACAAAGTGGCAGTTACAGGAACTCTGGGGAGACTGATCTCTCCTCCCTTGGTCCTGGATTCCATGGCAGCCTCCAAGGGTCTGAGGGGATGGGCAGGAGCCTCCCCAGGCTATCCCGGTACAGGAAGGGGAGGGCTCCTGCCCATTGGAACACTTAGCTGTAGAAGCATCCTAACAATATGTCCTGTGCAGGCACAAAGCCCATATGTGTGAATGCTCAGGTGGCCACTGGAAGAGTGACAGTTACAGGTAACTGGCTTTGGAGAGACGGAATTAGTCCAAATCCTAACAAGGATATGCCAACAAATTGCCCACCAACTGGAAATGTTCAGTATACATTCCAATTCCCAAGAAAGGAGGTACAAAAGAGTGCAGAAACTATGTACTAGTTTCCCATGCAAGTGCTCAAGGTCTTACAACAAAGGGTATTGCCCTATATGGAGTGAGAAATGCCTGACATTCAAGCTGGATTCTGAAAAGGAAGAGGCACTTGAGATCATATTGCAGGTTAAGCATTGGCTATTGGAATGCACTGAAGTATTTCCAGAGAAGATCGGTCTTTGCTTTAGAGACTCCAGCAAAGCCTTTCACTGTGTGGATCGCAAGAAAGTAGGGACGGTGCTGCAAGAAATGGGGGTGCCACAGGAACTGACTGTCCTGATTACTTGAATTGCGGACAAGAAGCCCCTGTTAAGATGGAACATGGAGAAGCAGAATGGCTTTTGTATGCCAGTGGAGAAGGCTGCCACACAACAACATGCTTTCCACATTAAAAAGCAAATGTGTGAGCAAGAAGGCTAGGCCGAGAGCGACGCAAGAGCCACCCTTATGTGAATGCACTAAGGGGAAACTAATCTGCAGTAAGCAATTATGAATATGCCCCCCAAGGCTTAATATTGCACTTCTTTTCAGATTTTGGCTGCTCCAGTCCTGGGCATTATCTGTCATCTCCTGTCCAAGTTTCATTGGTGGATGCCTCCTCTGAGAATCAGTCCTCTAGTTCCATGGTTACCCCCACAAACATGCAGAGTTTGGAGCTGCCTCAGTTTTCAACACCAGCCACAGGTAAATCAACCTGTTTCCAAATGCTCCCCTTTCCAGAACCATGCCCAGACAGAGAACAGCCTGAGAACTTAAATCATCCTGCCTTTCCTGTAGAGGAAAGGAGTGTGCCCGAAAGGCCAGGTACAGGCTTCTTAAGCAGTGATAACAGATGGCAAGGAAATACAATGGTATGGTGTAACCAGGGGTTCTGGAGCAAGAACATCTGTGTATTCAGCATGTAAGCAGAATCAGACATCCTACAACATACAAGGCTTTTTCTGAAAAAATGTTTTGCCGTCCTGGGTTTGGAGAAGTCTATAGAAAGTCTAATGAAATATCAAAAGTCAGATGATATTTCAAGGCAGTTTCTAGTAGTTTCACTAGTTTCACTTTAGGTGAAGTGAGGACTAGAGTGAGTTATATAGACCTCGGTCCCTCCCTTCCACTCTTCCCCATTCTGTTTCATCCTCCCATCCTCCCATTCCCCTATTCCTTTCTTTAAAAAAAAAAATAAAATGTTTTTAAGCCTGGAATTCCATAATCAGAATATATTATTCAGAATAAATAGAGATGTGCCCATTTTGCATGATCTCATTGCACATATTTTAATCTTACTTGGTGCAAAACATGGCATTTGGTGATAGGGGTGTTGGGAACAGTTATTCTCGGTGTACTTTCCCCAGGGTCAGGCAGATTTGGACTTGTCAGAATTGTAGGACTTGTAGGGACTCTGAGAACCAGAATTCTTAGACGTTTAAATGGGATGAGTAGAGGGGCTTATCTCAAGGGCACCCTTCCCAGGTGTTCATGAGGGCACTGAGAATGTTTTGGATTTACAACTGCAGGGAAGGGGAGTGGGATAAGAACCCCTACAGCCAGCCAAGCCTGGTACAACTCTTGATCCCAAGATGCAGTGTTGAGAGAGATGAGACAACCAACTAGAGGGGTGACAGACAGATACAATGCTTGCCTGTCTCCAAAGAGGCTTTATCTGAGGGAGGGACCCAAGGATACTCAAAAGTGGGTTCTTGGAAGTAGTTCAGTGAAGCACTCTGTGCATGCTCAGAGACTCATTCTTGTGCTTGCTGGAAGTGCATTGGAGAATAGCTTTTGCTAAAGAATGGTCTGTTGCTTTGGAGGTGTGTAGGCAGAAACCTAATTCATAACAGCGGGTGGAGCTGAAAAGCACCCAGTGTTAATTTGGAGATAGAACTCACTAGAGAGGGGAAGAAGTGGCAGCCATCCAGCTCAGTGGCCATGCTAGCAGAGACAGTGTATTTTGCACCATAGCCAGGGCATGCACTTTCTCCCTTCCCTTGCTTCCAGTTTCCACTCACATGCCATTTGCATTTCTCCTTACAGGTGTTCCCAGTATGTCTGTACAAACCTGGCCGCCTTATCACAGGGTGCCCATGACTCCAGCATCCTCCCCATATTTTCTCCCCATTCCTCAGCCAATCACCCCACCAAGTTCCCTTCTCCCTGTGTCGTCCTTTGCCTCACCCACTGCCCCAACTACAGTACCTGCTCCACCTGTCCCACTGTGGACCCCCTCCATTTCCCCGTTGTTCTCCCTTGCCAATGTCTTCTCACTGACTGTGATGAGCATGGCCCAGACACTTCTTCCAATGTCTTTAGCGTCTGCCCAGGCAGAGCCGCTCTACACCTCACCAATTCCACAGTCATCAGTGCTCTGCCTGCCTAGCCCAACTGCGACACATTTTATCTACCCTGAGGTATCTCCCACCAAACCCACCCAGCTAGACAATGAGATGTTTAGGCCACTGGTATCTCCAGTCAGTCAGCCATTCCCAAATGCCCCACTCACTGGGAGTCCTGACAACAACATGGTAAGTTGGAGCATGGTGGAATTAAGTAAGTTGTGGGAAAAGAGAACAGTGTAGACTGGGCTCATGTGGCATACTAAATCATGGTAGCTTACAAGCCACCATGGTTAGGGTGTTGTCCAAACCCACCTTGATTTTGTCAGGGTGGCTTAAGTTTGACTTAACCCCCCCTTCCATTGCCAAGGCTTGTTCTAGGAGCTGTTTGACCCAGGATGGATTGCCATGCTATCCAAACTCGGATGTCGGAACCCATTATGGGTCAACCCCAGTGGCTAGGCAAAACCCCCTGTCTTTCTCGCCAAGAAGCTAGCAGGTGATCACTGTTGCCACCCACCCCACCAATACTCAAGCAGCATCTGAGGGCAGCTAGCAAAGGCTCCCCTGCTGCCTCTTGGGCTTATGTGCCTTTTTCCTCCTTGAATTTTTCCCCCAGAGATCTTGGAAGTTGGTCATCAAGCCACCTTTCATGATCCCCATTTTGGCAGCTGTGAGCAGTCTCACTGAGGTCCTTTAGAGGGCTGTCTGTGGCTGCCCAGGCTTTTAAAAATGAGTGTTATTTTTTACACAGAAAATCGTGTGAATAATTAAAAATGTTAATGGAAGTTGCACAAAAGGGCTCCTTTACTTACATGGACCTGCTTAGATTTCAAGCCTTGGCTGAGGCAATGCTCAGGGGATGCCTGTGGTCAAGGGGCAGCAGGTTCTCCCCCTGGACAAGGCTGAGAGGCTCAGAATCCTTCCCTGCCACCCAAGTATCCTGTCACAGCTAACTGAAGGTGGGGTGTCACTGAAAACCAAGCTGAGCGGGACCTTTTGTTGAGATTGTTCTCCCCGTCCCCTGCCAGGAGCTACAGCTCCTCTTCAGCTAGATGATCCTCTTGCTGAGTTTCCCTCCTTAAATCTCAACTGGAAGCAGCCATTGTCTCCCTTACCTTCCTAACCTCCAAACTAGATTGGCATGAATAATATAAAGGGCAGAGTTATTAAGTAGGAGGAGAGGGAAGGAGGCACCGGCTTACAAACTAGTTTTGTTGTGGGCTACTGGACAGAACATTGAGCTTAGATTGAATTCATATCCCTCTTGGCCAAGAACTGATTTCATGGCCTCAGTGTCATCCCCTTACAATTGGAATGACAAAAATCAGGATTCCAAGTTACCTATATCCTTTTTTTAAAAAGCATCTAGGTATTTATTTTTATTGCTGTTCAGCTTTGTTCAAGGATAGTCCTAAGAAATGATGCCATTCTTCTCCCAGAATTTGAATTTTTTGTCTCCACTCCAAACTTTTTAAACATGCAGAATTAGATATGAGCAGGAATTGGGTGACTGCTACAGAGCACTTTGGTTAAGATTGTATCTGTGCATCCTAAGACGTAACACTGAACGTTCTTACTTATACTATTGATCAGAAATTAGCAATCTAGCACTGGAGGTGTGATGCACTTTTATGCGCATTCCTTTGAGACCCAACCCTGTATCAGCTGCATACAATTCTAGCAGCCACTCATAGGATTTGACTGAGAATTCCTGGTGCCAAAAGCTCTTTGTATTGTGGCTAAAAACATGGCTTTGGTGCTGGGCAAGCCCTCTGCATAAGACCCATGCTAATTCTGAGACCCAGGGACCTGGCCTTCAGTTGTACCATCATCTGCTGCTAAGGGAAATTGGTGTCTTAGAGGACCCAAGAGTAAATGTGCAAAAATCAGTCAAATAACATCAGGTCCAGAGCTTGATAAATGATGTGCAAGTGGGGAGATTATGTACTCATCTGTTGCCCTCTCTGAACAGGTGCTTCCTGTTTCCCCCTGGTCTGGATCACAGTTAATAGTGTCCAATTCACCCACCTCCAACGGCTTCCCAGCCCAGTTCTCGCCCATCAGTGAAGGTGAGGATTGATGTGAAGGACTAAAATGGGCCAGGGGGATGGTGTCTTTGTGGCTGGAGCAGCAGAATGCACAACTGAGAAAACACACGTACTCACTGTTGAGTTATGGCTCTAATCCTGGAAATTTGAGTTCAAAGGTCACATTAAGCTCTTCCACGGAGAAACCACAGTGTTTGGGAGGCGTGTCCTTTATTTCCAACAGACAATCATCTGCTTAGTGTCTTCCCATGGCTTGCTTCTCTCTTGGTCACTCTCAGCCTTCCTGGCTAGTGCTGGCACATATTCTAGAGGGGCTTTGTGGCAGAAATCTTCTTTTCCTTATCCCTTACATCGGCATTCTTTCTGTCTTTGTTCTGCTACAGTTGCTGTCCGATGAGGAATCAACCCCACACAAAAAGAAAATAATTTTCTGAGCCTTTATTTATTTATTTCATTTTTCTACTGCCCAGTAGCCCAAAGGCTTTCTGAACCTCTCTTATGAACACCAAAATGTGTTTGCATTTTTTTCTGAGCCCCATGCAGGAGTGCAAGGCCGCCTATCTACTGTTGATCCTGGCATTGGCAGAGTCCCCTTCTTGACAACACTTTTGTCCATTTTATCCTACGTCTTCAGCACTACTGAAGCAAAACATCTCCCCTACACGCACACACCAGATCACAAAAAGGGAATCATTTTCTGAGCTCTTATGAACATGTGAACACATCAACAATCCCCGCCCCCAAAGTGCAAGACTAAAAGAACAACTGTCCTCTAGGCAATGTCCTGTGCTTCAGCTCTTCCTTTGCTAGTGAGCAAGAAGTGTGCTTCAGATTAAGGTTCCTTCTCTCCTGCAGTCACCGGCTTCTTTCAGCCAAACACATACTGAACGCTTGTCATTTTGCTCCACTGCTTTCCATTGCCAGGCATTGAATATTGAACACCTACACATGAGTCATGGCAAAGCAGTGAAGTGGAGGGGCAAAGTGTGCAACTTCCATGGCAGAGCAGTGAAACAACGTGGAAAGTTTCAAAAAATGCCTAGCAACAGTCCTACAGGCTTGTGGTGGACCAAAAGTAATTAAAAAAAAAAACCCTTTGTGAACATGTTCAGAATATTCTGTAGTGTGCTTCCTTCAGGTTTCCTGCAAAAACATTTAAGAATCCATCCTGATACTGAGAAGGGCTGAGGGGAAATGGTAGCTGCACTAGCAAGACCGTGAGAAGCAGCAGGGTTTTTCATTGCTCTTGTCGGGTGGCTCTCCTGCAAGTTCCCAGCAAGGAATGGACAAATCACCCTGCCAGGTTCAGATGCTGCTCTCAGGCCAGATTCATGCTTATGCCACTGTAAGGCCACCCACATTAACAAGCCCCCTGGCTTAATGTGACGTGCCTTTGGAATAAATAAATGGGCTCTTGGGATTTGTGATTTCCAGGTGCCTTAGTTTAAAACTAATAGACAGTTCAACTCAAAATGCATTCAGAATGTGTTTGGAGGTATATTGTTAAATTAGTAGAAATTCAAGAAGAATATTGATGTGGAAGTGAACATTAGTTGTCCTTTTGTCACAAACTCTCCCATGGGAAGGCTTCTGCACAATTAACCTGCCCATCTGGCCTTTTCTTTCCAACAGAGGCCAAGCCGCAGATCCTGGGCCGCTTCCAGGTGACACCAACAAGGGACCTGCCTCCTGAACCCCTTCCAGGGAGCAATAAGCCCAGCACCCCGAGCACTTCAGACTCTGGCAGTGGGTCTCCAACTGGAACACTGGCGCAGGAAGCAGAGGAGGGAACCACCCTAGTGGCAGAAGGAGAAGGGGAAGGGGAGACCTCACACAGCTCCCCTTCTGTTGTCTGGATGAATTACCTGCATGCCCAGTCCTATCCAAGCAGTGATGACTCAGACAGTGCTGAGGATGAAGATGTCTGGGATGAGCTGCAGGCCTTGCGCCAGAAGTAAGCACGTTTGTGCATCACACAGTAGGTGAATGGCCTTTCCCTTCCTTGACTGACCTCCCTTCCTTCATCTCTCATCCCCTCCCAGGCACTTGTCTGAAGTACAGACTCTCCAAGCCAGGCAGAAGCAGGAGATAGAACAGCTCTACACCCGCCTCGGCAAGGTGCCACCTGCTGGAATCCTGTCGCCTGCTGCCATGCTCTGCAGCCGCCAGCGCCGCCTCTCAAAAGGCAGCTTTAACCCCTTGCGGCGCAGTAGCCTGCAGCGCATAGACTTGGCACAAACCCAAGGTAAGTTGCTCCTTCACTTCCACACTAGCCAAAACCAGGACGAGCCTCAGTAGCTCTTGGGCGTCACTTGGTGTACATTGTCAGAATGGCAAACAGCACTCTTTGGGCTTGAATTGATCTGACTTGCTTTGTTAAGCTTGTACTAGTGCATTTGAGAATGCCTGCCATAAGGGCCACTGGCCTTGCGGTGCACCAGAAAGCCTTCAAACCAATATGGAGCTCAGGCAAAGAACAATTCTGTCTGTCCCAGCCCCATGACTAGGGATGTGAGGAATCCGTTTGGGGTTGGGTATCCATCAGATTTCCTTGGCTCAGATCCCCAGACTCTGGTCCACTTTGCAGCAGTTCACCAGAGTTCCTGGTGAGTTTGCCCGACATTGACAGGGTCCGTGCCAGGCATCAAGCCCCCACATTGTGCAAGTAGCTCCCTACCTGCATGCCAAGAGCAGCTGTTGTTTGAGCAGCTACAACTGATGCCAAAGAAAGCCGGCTGTGAGGGCCTCACCAGGAAAGCAGTCCCCCTGTGACTGCTGCACAAACAGCATCCTGCTATCATGCCAGCTGCAGCCATGTTTTGAAGGTTGCTGGCTGCACAACCAGGGGTCTGAGACCATTTTCAGACTTCCTCTCAACTCAGCTTGCTTTGGAAGGCCAGGCTGAGCTCAAGAATCCTTGGAGGAACAGAGTCTGATAGGCTTCCTGTACCCCTGTCCTCTCATTGTCCAACAGAGGTAATTGAAAAGGCCAACCAGAAAGTTCAAAGTCCTATTCTGTCTGCCAACCAATCTTTTCAATCTTTTCCTTTCATAAAACCTTGCGAGGGGAATCACAGTAATTCCAGTTTTACACAGAGGGAACTGATATGATGGAGTTATTTTTCAATTCTCATTTTCCTTACATAACCCAAATACCCTTCTTACTATTTCCGCGCTATGGAACTGCGACACTTGTCTTTGCATAGCTTTGCATCCTACCTTCATCCTCATCACAACTGTGCTGACGTTCATGTAACTGAGGCCATTGCATATTCTTTCCCCATTTACCCCTGCCTCTACTTCATTTGTTTCCATCTGTCTGTGTCTGGATTATAAGTCCCTCATTGTAAGTCCCTCGAACTTGTTCTTTGTATTTCACCATGTACATAAAAGGTGCTATAGAAATCAATTAATAATGGAGATGCAATATTGAATTTCTCAGTAAAGTCTCAAGGAGCTCTGTTCTTCTGGAACTGTAATTATATGTACTGATTTTAATCCTCTTTCCAGAAATCCCTACACTCATATGATTGTTGCTTTTGCAGGAATCATGAGGAGGAATTCTGTAAGCGGTGGTAGTAGCACCTCCCAGGAACAGCGACAAAGCAAGGGTGTGAAGTTTGCCAGTGATGTTGGATGTGTGGTGAAGCACGGCCTAAGCCGGGAAATGTATAACTGAGTAAGGATTTATAAGAATTCCATTAGGTGTGGGGGTGAACATCTGATGGATTTTTCAAGTAAAGTTCTCTGGATTCCATTCCATTGATTGCTGGCATCAATTCAATTCATTTTGTACTCAGTCAAGTCAGTACATGAATTGAGTGTGACAATTTGCCTTTTTGTTGTTGACATCTGTGCAAATATTATTTTGTACAGGTGGTGGTGGGTGTTTTTTGGTCTTTTCACCTGCACTTATGGGATCTGAAATGAAAAGTCTTGTCTTGTCCATGTCCTGGTAAATGTCTCCTCTCAAAGTACAGGAAGCAGGGCTAAAAATAGGTTAATTCGTTACTTTGCTTTCCCCTGACAGCTGTCAAAAGGCAATCTGTTTACTGAAAGCAAAACCAAAATTGATTAAAGTAAACCCTTTGCAAGTGTATCCCCCTTTCCCAGTGAAGTCCTCTGACAGTTTCATTGTCCCGCACCGTTTCCACCATTTTCTGAGCCTCTAGGCACTTGGGAGAATGGAAAGGTGTGAATGGACTCCATTTATGGGAGCACAGAGTTTTGACAGCTAGCTGGCTGTCAAAAGTGAACTACTTTTAGAGCACCAGAACTCACCCCAAAAATTCCTTAGGATCTTGCTGCAAAGGGGTTCACCTAGGCACTACCCCACTTTCACTAGCAAGGATCATTTTTGGCTTTGAAATCTTTTGACAGATGGCCTTCTGACAGCTGTCAAAGGATTCCAGAGGGAAATTTAACTTACTGCAGCCTTCAGTAGGCACTGAACAGAGTGGGTATGTACTGAATTTTGCCAACGGGGATTCCCCCCCCCCCCCCACAATCCATTACCCAGTGTAGCTTCCACATTGCCACCAGTATCATTGCACAGCCAGAAAGGACAATCCAGGAAAAACTGTAACATTAATTGCAAAAATTAAGACATACTGAACAATTGTTTTAAAACTTGGCAGCCCTTCCAAAATACCTTCTGGAGCACCTTGAAGGGACAGATCATAGCTATTGAAAAGAGGGTCATGAAAGTCAGCTTAACAGCTAGTTTCCACAATCTGAATTAAAAAGGGAAAGCAAGGGAAATCCATAGTGATTACAGTGGGAGGAGCAAACTCAATATGCTTGTGGATCTCCTGGCAAAACCTTGTGGGAGGGATACAGCAAAGCACCCCAAATTTGCCCAATTGTCTGGCATATCAGGGGTGGGGTGGGTAATAAACCATGCTGCATAGCATTGTTTGCAGTATGTACTATAAGGTCAGGTGAATCTTCCCAGAGCATATATTGTTCAGGTATGTAAGAATTGAGATGCTGCCAGACAGAAGGTCCTGGCACTAACAGAGACATTTTGCAGTTATTCAATCTTTTCTGCTGAAAGGAAAAAAGACAAAAGTGGTATTAAAACAAGGTAGGATTACAAATGGAAGATGTTGTCATCTGCCTGCACCCTGCCCAGAAAATTTTGTGAAAGAGAGAGGAGGGTGGCTCTGTAAAAGCTTTTTCTGGACACATCCCTGAAAGCTGTTTTCAGTGTGTGTCTGTACTCCTTTGTTATGGCAAATGAAGGTTGATTGCCATCTCAGTGTTTCAGTCCTAATGCTTGAAATCAGATATGCACATTAATGATATTTGCCAATAGTTGCTCCAAAATCATGAATATGCATACCTACCACTTTTAAACATAGAAGCTGAATTTCTTGGTTGTTGAGTTGTGCCTGGAAATCCCAAGCATACGAAGTTACTTTAGGCTATATTAGACCATGAATCCATCCAGCGCAAGGGAGCAGAACCTCTGACCAATGGGTGTCCAGGAATTCCTCATAGGGCATCCCCAACTGATCTCTCAGACTGGAGAGAACAGTGCGGATTCCCCTACTGAAGCATACCGGTTGCAGTACCCCCAGTATTCCTGATCTGGTATATGAAAGTGGAGATATGATCGAGTGGCTGTTCCTGGCACGGGTCATGTCCTACTGTCCCAGATTTTCCCATCTCTGCTGTTAAGTACAAACTGAGATTGGCGCTAATAGCAGCGATGCGAGCATGTGGTAACCTATTCCTTGCCCATCCCACCCCCTTCCTACAGTGGGAGAAAGAAGGTGAGGCAGGTGAACCAGACTGAATCCCACTTATTCCTCCATGGGGAAGTGAATTGGACCCAGCTGCTTCTGTCCTGTCCTTGGCCTGTCCTGCCTCCTTTTCCCATTGCAAGAAAGAAGCAGTGCAGGTAAAGATGGGATAGAATTGACTTGTTCCATCTCCTCTCCATCAGAGAAGAGAGGAGAATAGGCTAACATGAAGTATGAAAGAACCACCTAGTCCTTGGGCCAAGGACCAAATGTTTGTGATAACAGATTGCTGCTAGGACATTCCATATGCAAAATATATGCTCTGTGACTATGCTAGATCCCTTCCCCTGGTAGGAACAACATTGTGTTTTGTGCATCTCTTACATACACACATTCCCTTTGTTTTTGCAGTAGCCAGACCACTGGTGCACACGTGTATGGACTACCTCACCCTGTAATCCATATCTGAAACGATGGGAGCAAAGGGCAAAGGGTCCTGTACTGCATCTGCCTTATATTCCTCGCTGTAAGGCCAACTATTATTGGCGACGACATGGCAAGTTCTCCTGGGGGAAGGATGCACGCATGCTAAGTGACCGAGGATAGTGGCAAGCCAGCACTACAGGCCATGCCTTTTCTCTGTATAGGCTTTGGATCCGCAGAGACAAGCCTATTTGGAGATACCTGGATGTGTGTGCTCCTGCTGTTTGTCTTACATGGAGTGCTACTGTAACAGAAATCAGACATCCTGCTGCCTATAGGATCCTTTGTGTAATGGAATGAGGGACTCTCTTCCTTCAAGCCAAGGACCTACATGCATGGGAGGGCCAGGGCATGGTCCCAGCATGTGCCCTCTGCCCCTCTGTGACTTGTATGGCTACATTTACAAAGCTTCCTCAGAGCCAAAGCTCACAGAAATCTTTATTCAGAATGTGTGCCTCAGTATTAAAAGGATTTGGGGCTGTCCTTCTTGCTTCAATCCCCAAGCTCCTCCTCTTCACAGCTACAGCATTATGCTAGAGCTGTTCCTGCACTTTGCAGTCTTGCCCTGATTGGGATACAAACTGCTTGGGGGCCACCCCTTTACTTGCATGGGAATCTGCACCTTGGAATGAAGCCCGTGTGTATTTTTATATATATATATATATATAAAGATAGGCTTTTGAAGGAAGACAATAGCTTTGTGTGTGATTGTGCTTTTATTTATTCATGTAAAACTCCCACCTAGAAACTCCACAAAATAAATACAAATATGTAAGCTTTCCACACTCATCTGCCGCTCCCTAGTTGAATGAAATGAGCAAATATACATTCCATTGAGAATTTTCTAGATTCCCTGATCCTTGCCCCTGTGCCCAACTGAGAGCTCAGTTCCAGACACATGGCATCTAGAATGACAAATGAAAAGTCCATCGCGCAGCTGTTTCATTCCTTTGCTCATTATGGGTTTTTGATGAGTAATTTGCAGAATATTATACCAAAACATCCTTTGTGAATTCTTGTCACTATCTTTGCCCTGCCTCAGTCAAAGAATTTTATCTGGGATTCATATGTTGTAGTCTTCCATCTATAACCCCCTCACATCTTTCCACCACTGCTTTCTATTTAGGAAGAAAAGGTGAAACAGATATACAATGTCTTTTGACTGATCTCACTAGCGGCCCTCTGTCTGGAAGCACTGGGAGCATGTTTCGTCCTCATTTTTGTTTTAGAATTATCAAGTAGTCAAGTTGGAAATGGCCTGTAAAGCCACTGAATCCAGCCCCCCTGCTTAATGCAGTGCTCCAGGGTTAAGCATCTTTGTCACATAGCTGTTGTGAGCAGAGTTCCTCCTTTGAACAGTCACCAGCCTCAGGCCATTTTCCTTGCAAAACATCCTTTATTGTTTCCAAATACAAATCACCCAGAATGGATCTCTGAGTGCACAGAGTGGTTTGTTGAACCCAACTTAGTAATTGCCTCCAGGAACACCTTTGGAAAGGGCTCTCTGAAGGCAAGCACATCTCCTGCCTGCGTGCTGCTCATTCAGCTGGGCCTCTCGCCTCTGCCGATGCCTTGCCACACGGTCAAGTGCAGCAGAGAGGGCTGGTGTGTGTCTGGGAAGTCTTCCTCTCCAGTGGCCCCTCCCACTGGCTGTACATCTTGGCTGCCCCCAGGAACTGCCTGCCACAACACTTGGGGATTACTTAAAACCACAATAATTCGGGCTTAGCTAAAATGCATATTATATTTCAGAAAGGATCCAAGCAATTACCAGTGGAAATAACAAATTCCATGATACTTATAATTCAGAAAGGAATCGAAAATAAAACTGTCACTATCATAATGACTTTATGCAAGTGTATGGTGCAATTATACTTAGAGTATTGTGCACAGTTCTGATCACTACATCTCAAAAACAATACTGTAGAATTGGAAACTGTGTAAGAAATGGCACAGAAATTATCAAGAGGCTGGTGCAAGTGCCCTATAAGGAAAAGGGTTCTATACAATGGGTTCGACCCGGAGCTGTCCTTGGAGGCCCAAGTGGCGGCGGTGGTGAGGAGCGCTTTATTTCAGCTTCGGCTGATCCATCAGCTACATCCTTACCTGGATGATCACTGCCTAACAATGGTGACACACAGTCTGGTAACTTCCCGGCTGGACTATTGTAACGCGCTCTAAATGGGGCTGCCCTTAAAAATGGTCTGGATACTTCAATTGGTTCAGAACAGAGCCGCCAGTTTGCTGATGGGGGCCAGTCGTTATTCTCATATAACACCGGTCCTCTATCAGCTTCACTGACTTCCAGTTGAAGCCCAGGCCCAATTTAAGGTGCTGGCATTGACCTATAAAGCCCTAAACGGCTTGGGACCAGGATACCTAAAGGAACATCTTTTTCCCTACATGCCCACCTGTCCCTTAAGATGTGCAGCTGAGGCCCTGCTCCGGGAGCCCTCCTTGAAGTAGGTTAGGAGAGAACATAATCGGAGGAGGGCCTTCTCTGCGGTGGCACCCTGGCTATGGAATGCACTCCCCAGAGAGGTCCTCCTGGCGCCGATGTTATATGCTTTTGGACACCAAGTCAAGACCTTTTTATTCTTCCATAATTTTAATGTTTAATATTTTAACTATGTTTTATGTTCAGTCATGGAGTCTTCTGTATTATTTGGGTATATATGTATTTATTGGATTTTGACTTGTAAGCCATCCCGAGACCAGCAACGTATTGGACAGGGTAAAAAATACCCAAGTAAGTAAGTAAGTAAGTAAGTAAGTAAGTAAGTAAGTAAGTAAGTAAGTAAATAAATGAAATGTATACAGTATGGATAATGAATTTCCTTAGACATTCCAACTCCAGCTCATGGAGACTTGAATTCCCTCCACAGCTCCTTCCTGTCCCCTGGCCTGGAGCTTACTGGGGAGGCATGGAGTAAAAGTTGGGAGAGGAATACTTTCATTATTCATGATTAAAGAGGGGGATTCCTTTTACTTAACCAGTGCTAGCAGAAGCTCCTCTAAATGCCAAGCAAGTTTTCAGCTTTTGTGCACTGCTCACCAGAATGAGTGTGGTACCAAAGAAACCAGACTTAGTTAACACCAGCAGAGTTGCTTTCTCCATGCCTCTCTCTGCACAAAGAAAGGAAAAATAGGTAGTAATGGTGAGAGTATTAGGGAGAATCCTAACCCTGGACCAAAAGAGATTCCCTGTTCCTGGTTTAGGGATTTTCCAGCTTAATGAAAGCAAGTAAAAGAAGATAGAAGTGTTTAAAATCATGTATAGTCTGAAGAAAGTAAATACAGAGACTTTTCCTCTTAATACTAGAACCCAGGGTTATCCTGTAAAGCTGAATTGTAGTAAATTCAGACAGAAAAATAGAAGCACTTCTTCAGATGCATTGTTATAGAATTCACTACCACAAGATGTAGTGATGGTTGCTAACACAGGTGGCTTTCAAAGGGGATTGGAAAAGATAAGACTTTCAAGGGCTATTGATGTCATTTGTGGACTTCCCAGAATCATCAATATAGCCCTGAATGCCACACTAAATAGGCCTTCAGTCTAGTTCAACAAGGTTCTTATGTTGCAGCCTAGAACAGTCTCTGCATCAGCAGTCTCTGCTCAGGACTGAGTCAGCAGCTAGCTTTCCAATTTCATAAAAAATGACATACAGTTAAAAGCATTGTAGACTCCTAACTTGAGAGGAGACTACTCTGAAGGTAGGCATGTCATGAGTGGAGCCAGCTGGAGCTGGGAGTCAGACCCCTTCTGACTTGTTCTGTTTCTATGTTTCTGTTATATGTACACATTTAGCTACAATGATAGTGGCAGTGACAGAAACTTTAGTAAATAACATATGAAGAGCCAACAATAAATGCGGGTCATCTTTACTATTTGAGAAGACATCCTGCAACTCTACTATTTTCCTTTCAGATGTAAAATATTGTTATGTTTTGGATCAGTCTATCTTATATTTAAGTTATCCATTACAACTTGATGCCTCTTCAACTGCTAAACTTTTTTTGCTAACCAAGGATGGGTAACAAGCGGTTCTCTAGGAGTTTTGGCCTACAGTCCCTATCAGACCTCACCAAAAAAGCCAGTGCTATGTTCTGGTCACTGGACTTTATTTATTCAGATAAATCTGACCAAGTTCAGAAAAGGGTAATAAAAATGAACAGGGGAATACAAATTTAGTTCCTACCAAAAAAATTGAAGGAACTGAGGATGTTTACTTTTAAGAAGACTGTGACGGAAATATGATAGCACTTTTCAAGTACATAAAGGTTGTCACACAGAATAAGGCTGAAGCCTGTTCTGTCACTATTCAAGATTGTAAAAAAGAAAGGTTTAAATTGCAGGAAGGCTGATTTTGGTGAAACACCAGGAAAAACTTCCAAATAGAGCAGTCAGACAATGCAACCAACTGCCAAAGTGTTAGTGAACTCTCCATTGAAGGAGATGAGTGGACACCAGACAGCCACCTGTCAGGTTGTTTTAAATTGGATTCCTCCACTGAGCAGAGGGTTGGACTCAATGTCTTAAATGGCCCCTTTCAACACTTCCAGTTCAACTATGGAAGATGTAGGCCAACTGGAGAGCCATCAGCTGTTCACTTTTGTACTAGGACAAAAGGAGGCGGCAAGTGAGTTCTGTATGTGTAGTAGGTAGATAGGCTGTGCTTGAACTGGACCCAAGAGGGAAGAAAGAGCTGATTTTGCTTCTTTGCAGGTAAGCCCTAGACAGCTGAGCAGGGATCTGTTGGAGAAGTAATGCCCTAGACCCTCAGTATGAATAAACCTTATATGACAGAAATGCCACCAGTCTCCTGTATCCTCCAGTCTCCATCCTCCTAAAGAAACTGAAGTCAGATCAGTATTGGAATCCCTGAAGCTTTCTATGTCTCAGAAGTGAGGTGTTTAATAACAACATGTTTAATAGTCATAAAGCTCCCCCCCTTGCCTTTTAAAGCTGTGATTTGACAATACCTAAGTTTCCCCACATGACTTTAGCCTTTGTCTGAGCTACCCTAAAAAGTCATTCTCATTATCATATTCCACTAAGCTGGTTTATTTATCACATTGAACAGCTCAAATGAGTAGATATTTACATATTAGCCATGGTAAAATGTTTCAGCAATAAATGCAGTGTCTGGGTCCCTTAAATGAGGCATTGTGCCAGTTTGTCCAGAGATGACATCCACAAGGAGGAGAGATTCTGGTCATAACTCCATGCATCTACTGTGATGGCCCATTTCTGTATCATGCTCCGTCACCCTCAGTCTGCTGCAGTCTTCGCTGCTTGGGCTCGCACAACTTTGGTTTCCAGTTCTAACTCGTCCAAGAATCGCTCTTGGGAGACAGAATAAAAGGTGTAGCCATCTGTGCATAGGAAGCTCAGGAAAGCAATCATGAAAGTTATTTGCTCCCAAAAGGAATCTTTGGGTCATTCTCAGCAAAAGGAGTCACTGACTGCTGCCTGAGTCTTGGGCACCTGACTTTCTTCCAGCCTTGAACTCGATGCAAAGGGTGCGGGGAGTGGGAGAAGAAGGATATTACTACTTGTCCTTAAAACCCATCCCCTTCTAAAAATGAGCCAATTTGCATGTCAGAAGATGTACATTAAAACCAGTAGGTAACACTGGTCTCAAAGAGAAAAGACAGACACAAAGATTTTTTGGGAAAGTCACTCGCATTAGTACTAGCATGGGCGTCCTCCATGTGTAGATACTGGAAGGGGAAATGGAGGGGAGAGGACAGGCACTGATATGGAGGGCGGGCACTTCAAACTGGCAGGCACAAAAGGTCTGCTACCAGCAAGGCGCTGGCACAAAACCCTCAGCAACCAGGAAACAGATTGCAATAATCAAAGAACTTGCACCTTTCTTCCCCTTGGCCTGAGATCCAAAGCAGCTCAGCTATTCACTGGCCCAGCCTAAGCTATTGGGAAGGGTTGTACTAGGCTGAAAGAGCGGAAATTGGTCTACGAGAGCAGCTCCCTGTGCGCGGGAGAGAGGGAGAGAATGACGGGCAGCCATCACTACCCTGCTTAAGGAAATAGTTTCATGTGCAACAAAAACAGTAAAAGGGGTAAAAATCCCGATCTTAAGGAGGGTCACACCACCGTCGCCGCACTCATTCCGCATCCCGCCCTGTACTGCCAAATGAGCCCTTTGACATTTTAGACTTCTCCCTCTGCACTGTCCGAAGAGCCTCCTGGAAGCCCTCAATCTCAACACAACGGCAGGCGCTTGAGGCTTAAGACCTATGCCCCCTTACCTGCAAGCCTCCTTGAACTCAATGGGACCTATTCCTGAGTAGGAGTATCTGTCAGGATTCCAGAGACCCAGGTGCCTTGCAGTCCCCCTTATTCCTTCATAGAAATTCGCCTAGCTGAGCACCCATGAGCATGTGCTGAGCGCTTTCACGCCCGCTATGAAATAGCCAGAAAAGCACTACTGCCATCCCACGCAGCGACAGCGGCAGCGCCCCGTTTTTCCCTCACTCCCACGTTCGGGTCAGCGAAGCTTTTCCCCCGCTCTCCATGATAAAAGGGATACAAATGCCTAGGACGATGGCTCCGATGCCGAGGGCTGTGAAGGCATTGCGAATCTTCAGCGACCTCCGCGCCGCACCCACATCTAGCCTCGAAGAAGGACCCGCCGGAGCCTTTTCCCACTGCGGCCCGACACTCACAGGTACGCCTCGCGAAGACGCTTTTCCTTCCGGCACGGGCGCCGACATCTTTCCCAACACCTTCAGTCAGTAAGGCGGTGTTTGACCCTGACAATACGCTCTCCTGAGTGAAACCGCTGCTGAAGTTGTTGCAGCCATCTTTGGTGAGGGCTAGAATGCGTGCTTGTCAAAACAGCGACCATTTTCGCAGAAGCGAAAGTTTACTGGGAATTTTCGTAGTGGTTATGCTGTTATCGCCATATTTGACGAGGGCGGATACATGCGAAGATAGGAATATTTATAGCATATTTATAAATATGAATGTTCGTCAATATTGTAGAATAGATTGAGTTGAACGTCTGTTTGGACACGTATGTAGAAGGACCTTTTCGAATGATATTTATTTACTGCGAAATGACAGTTCTGAAACACTTATATTTCATACTGTTCTATCCTATATTTTAAGGTTTCAAATTGTTGTAAACCACCCAGAGAGTGTAGCCTGTTTAGCAGTATAAAAACGAAACAATTAAATAGAAATTAACAGCCGAGATTTAAACAAGCCGGGAATGAGAGGAATGAAGACCAAATGGCTCCCATAGATTAGTGTTCAATTATATGCAAGTTTACTCAAAGGAAGACACACTGAAGCAAGTGGGAGGTGAATTGAACACAGAAATTGAACACAGTGGCCAGGTTCACACAATACAAAAAGCCAGACTGCAGAATAAACCAGGCGGCATGGGTTGTTTTTCCCAGAGGTCGTGATGCACCTGACAGACAATAGGGCACATCATGACTTCGAAGCCTTCACCGCACAGATATCTCAGGGAGCACCAAGGTTTCCCTTCACTATGCAGCCACTGTGAGCCGCCTCAAAGCAGCTTGACCTTTTCTTTTTACTACTTGAAAAGCAAGGATGGATTCGGAAGATACTTTCAAGTTCCCAAGCACTACAGGCGTCCTCAGGCACTACAGCCTCCTCTTCCTCTCTCCCCTCAGTCCTCAAGCTGGAACCCAGTGAAGCATTGAGGGGAGCAGGAATGACAATTGACCAACATATGTGCTGGCGAGAGCGCTGGAACCAAAAGAGAGGCACAAGCTACCTTGCACAGAGCTTCCAAGGTCAGCGTGAGGTAACTGCTTGGCTGCAGTGACAGGTTAGACAAATTCATGGCAGTGAAGTTTACACTGGCTATTAGCCTTGCCTGCTGAGTGCTACCTCCATTATCCAGTGCAGCGTGATTGCATACATCAGTTGTTGGGGAGCTTGGGCAAGAGGGAACAGTTCTACCCTCCTGATTCAAAGATCTTGTGGGAAGTTGGTTTGCTACCATGTGAATGGAGTGCTCGACTAGATGGCCTGGTCTGACATGGCTTTTTCTTATGTTCTTATAATCTCCTCTTAGCCCACAGCTGCTAAGTTTGCTCAAGTTTGCTCAGGAGTCTTTGAGGAGCGACTCTGGTTAAGTCCAAGTAAACAATGTCAAATGGTTCATTCCTATCCACATGTTTATTGATACTCTCAAAGAACTCTACAGGTTAAAGATACAGGACATACCTTTCTGGAAGCTATGTTGATTCTTTGTTAGCAAGATGACTTTTTAAATTTTTATTTTGTCTTTAATAACAATTAGAGGTAACCAGTTCACCTTGAACATATGTTAACTGGCCTGTAGATTTCTGAATCCCATTGTAAAAATTATCATGGCATTTGTCACTCTCCGGTCCTCTCATAAAGGGACTGATCTGTGGGGCATGCTACATATTTTTGTTAGAAGAACAGCAACTTAATATTTGAATTTTTAAGAACTGTAAGGATTTATATAATTATATATTTATATCATCTAGATCTTGTGATTTGTTTGCTTTCAGGTTATCAATAGAGTCTGGAACATGTCTTTTTACCACTACATATAAGTTCAGGCACAGGGATTTTCACTATATATATTGCAGGGAGACAGATAAAATTCTTTCAGAGTTTCCTAATCCAAAAACTACTTTTTCGGGCCTAGCCCACAAACTGATGTACAAATGGAGGATACAAGTAGACACATCAGATTAATGGAAAGAAAAAAAATTGTGAATCTTGCAAGTTTTAAAGGCTCCAGAGCAGAAATACATTTTCAGGGCCTTCTTAAATACCTGCACTGAATGGGTTAAGCATAAATCAGTCCACATTGAACATTCCATAAATATATTTATTTATATTTCATCTATTCCCTGTATTGGGAATCAAGGTGGCTTACAACATTAAAAACTTATATAATGAAAACATAAATGGAAATATACAAAAGCTAAAATATAATTAAATCAGTGGAATATTAAAAGTGGACTCTGGGAGATGATGGATGACAGAAAGGTCTGGAGGAATGTTGTCCATGGGGTCGCGATGGGTCGGACACGACTTCGCAACTAACAACAATAATGTAGTCTCACATGTCTAGACTATTCCCAACGGCCTATGGTAATAGAAAGGTTTTTGCCTGCCTCTGAAAACACACCAGGTAGAGCAGTAACCTAGCCTGGAACAGGAGTTCCAGATCCATGGGGCAGCCACCCAGAAGGCTCACCTCCACATCTCCATCATGCATGCCTGTGAAAGTGATGAGGCTAAGGGAAGGGCTACCCTGAAGATCTTAGGGTACGGGCAGGCTATTAAGGGAGAATACAACTGTTCAGATAGTCTGGACCTGAACCATATTGGGCTTTATAGGTTACAGCCAGCACTTTGAATTGTGCCCAGAGAGCGACTGGGTCTAGCCCTCTGGGAAAGAACTGTAAGACAGTTCCTCCAATTCCCATTTCAGTGAGGGAGCTAAGAAGGATACATCTTCAATGGTACTGAAAGCTATTGAGAGGTCCAGCAGAGCCAACAGCGACACACTCCCCTTATATGGTTCCTAGCATAGATTATCTACCTAGAAACTCCTTGTTACTTCCAGATGGAGGTCTCCAAGCCCTACAAATCAAAAGACATTGTGCAGCTGTATGTCTTTTTATATAGATTATATTGTGCTAAGAAAAAAGCTGGAAAGAGTAAAAAAACATGAAAAGTTACAGATGGAAGATGATGTCTGAACTGGCTATAAAATCCCACAAATAAGAAAGGACAATTGGACAAAAGTCTGGAAGCTCCTCTAATCTTTGTACTGATCAGCCTAACTAATTTCACTGGTAGGACACATGAACAGATTTCCAATGTAGATTTAAGGATATGGACAGAACTATATAGGTGACTTGATCCCAAGCTGCTCCAGGCTTTAATGATTAACACAAACAGTTTGAATTAAACAGCCACAAAATAGTGTTACCAGTTCAGACCTTCTGGCCCACATTAGGATCTGAGTGGCCAAATTTTGCACCAACTGAAGTTCCTAGGTCCTTCAAGCGGAATGAAAACTATCCAGGCCTGGTCTATTTGGACTTAGTCTGCTAAGCAAACCCTTGATAAACATTATGAAGGCTGGTGATACACTGGTTGCTTCCTTGGTCTTTAACTGATAGAGTGCTACATGAAGACATGGAACCATTATTTGAAGAAAGGAAGGGAATGGGGATGTAGAAAGACTGGGAGAAAGAAGAGAAAGAAAACAGTTTTGTTTTTGTTTTTTAAATACTTAAACTAAATGATAATCATGCTAGTAATTTTTCTTATTGTTGTATATCATCTTGGCAGAACTCTTGAGATGGGCACATCTGCTGAGGTGGCAGGCAGATACCAATTTTCAGAGCCTACTTTTGGAGCAGTTGGTGCTGGGATTATCCAAGATGTTTTGCTTCATATGGCAAAAGAGAATGAGCAGTATTTGAGTGAGCTGTGCAATGAAGCAGGATGCTTTAAGGAAACGCACATAGTGGGTAAGAATTGAGCTTGGCAAACTCCCAAGAACAACATGGTTTAAAAAGTCTAAAGCTATGATTTTAACAGTCCCCTGTCTCTTTCTTGGGCAGAATTTGTGTTTCTTTTATCTGAAAAATGGAACTTGTCTCAATCTGCAAGATACCAAGCAATAGAAATCTTTGAAAGGTATTACTTTGTTCTCTTTCCTTGGAGGGGTGATGACTTTAAGGGAGAGTGGTATGAACTACCCAAACTCTTCTTTAGGCTATAATTTCATGCCCACCTGAGAACAAGCCACATTTAATTCAATGAAATTCATTCTGAGTAGATATGCAGAGGATTGCACTGTTAATTCTTACAATATACAACTGTGTCACCCTTGAACCATAACTCTATAGCAGCTAAGTCATCCTCCCTTACTGGATAGCATGAAGAAATTGGCCACAGTTTCTCCATGAGAGATCTATTTTGAGCAGCACGAGCCCAGAATTAAAGAATGTGTTGATGTAATAAATGGAAAGTTGAACTGCAATCTTTAATTTTATTTAACATATTTTAAGCAATTATTATTATTTAACATTTACAGCCTGACTTTCTTCCTCTTGCAAAGAACACAAGGCTGCTTCCAAGGTTCTCCGACTTTCCATTTCATCCTCACAACAACAACAACAACTCCTCTAAGATGTAGATTAGGATGAGAGTATGGGACCAGCCCAAAGGTACCCACTGAGCCTCATGGCCAAATGGGGACTAGAACCTGGATCTCCCAGGTGCCTAGTCCAACACTCCAACCACCATGCTACTGCCCTTCATCCTATTCCATACATAATTTAATGTTATTTCACACATACACACACACAAAACCAGATAGTAAATCAGTAATTCAATGTGAAAATCCTTACACCTAAAAGCAACAGTGCATTATAATGCCTTGGGAACGAGAAAAGTTTGCAACAGGTTGTAACATAGTTGTGAGGCAGACCTCTTTAAGAAGAGTCTTCTTGGAGCACTGTAGCTGCAAAAGCTGTCACCACTGCTTTTGCATAATGAACCTCTGATGCAAGGAGCACCCAAATAAATTACTCATACCTTAATACACAGATAAGCTGATATGGAGGTAGATGTTCCTTCAAACTTTGGTCCTGAGTCGTTAAGGTTTAAAAATAAATGCTAGCCCTTGAAATTGGCCCTGGAAGTAGTCAGGTAACTAATTCTAGTTCCTGTTGTAATACACATAATATATAGGAAACTAGAGGTACTGGTTAGAAATATAGTCCTCATATTCTGTAGTAATAGTAGCTCTGAGTAGTTTTTAAGAAGAAATCACTAGAGCATGGATCACCATGGCTGGACATTAGTAGAGGGGAAACAATGGAAGAGCAGAGTAGAATTTGAAGATCCACATTTTCATAGTGAAAGCTGTGTAAGTAGGACTCCTTGTTCATTGGAGCTTTTATTCTGAGCTTTATAGGGGTTAATCAGTGGTGCTGAACTCCACCCACAAAACTGGTTCACCACCATGGATAGCTTATATAAAGTTCAAAATAAAAGCTGGAATAGCTAAAGAGCCCCACTTTTCTAGAAGTCATCAGCCTTCCTTGAATTTTGCTTCTCACTGATAAAAAACCTTACTGGTCCTTAATCAAGCACAACCTAAATATAACAAGGCTGGAAAGCAATATGCAGAGAGAAGTGAAGAGGGGCTATTCAGATATTAGAGTGCGACATGTTTGATTATCTACCCACTGGTTCAGAACTGGGCAAATTTTGGAAGTTTCCGGAAGATTTGGCTTACAATTCCCATCATTCCTTATAATTGACTTCTCTAGCTCAACTGACAGGTGTCGTAGGCCAAAACATCTGGAGGGCTTCATGTTGCCCATATGTGTGCTAGAAGGTGCACTTGACTTAGAAAGCTTCAGACTCTCAGGAAACAAGATTGTAGCTGACTTGATAGCTGGGTACCTGGTAGAAGAAAACAGTTATTTCTATGAGACAGTGAAAGACATTACAGAGCATTGAGAAGTGTATCCTATGCAGACAGTTTCTGTGTTTTTGCAGAGGTGAGGGTGTTAAGATAGGAGAGGATCACAGTGAGTCCTTCAGAATGGACCTAAAATCAGATAAAATTATGCACATTTTGCATGACACCAAAGCATATGGTAAAGACTTCCTTTTACAAGAAAATGGTCACATAATTACCTTGAGTTTTCTTCCAGTGCTGAAATGTCCACTATCCATAACAAGCATTTTAGGACAAGTGCTGCACATTTCAGCCTTGTTCCATTACATGCAGTGTGCTGACTAGTTTTGTGAAGCCTATCAAGCCTCTGAACCCTTTATTGCCTTTGCACAAGTTTCTTTTTTACTTCTGGTGGCTGCCAAGACCCTTCTCAGTATATCTGCCCAGTAGCATAAAGACCATCCCAAGGAAGAAGAGATGGTTTCTGAGGTAGGAGGACAAGGTGTCGAGGGGCTGCAACACCCATTTCATGCAGAAACTTTGCCAGGTATTTTATTAACTAAACTTCTTGTGATCAAGGCTGCTTTTGTTCCTTGAAACAGATGTGGGCAAGCTGCTTGGATACTGATTGTTATAAGCAGCAAGCTGACTCCTTGTAGCTGTCATTGGCATTCCTTCATTTTCTGTAGTCAGGCTCTTTATTCTTATGTCTTTTTAGGTTCATGCTCACAATGACTGAAGATTTCTCTAATTCCACCACAGCAAAGGTGGAAGACAGTGACTGGTCCTCAGTGAAAAGGCAAATCAAGGGCAGATTTATGCTATATCTGGTCTCTTCCATTCAGCTTGCTAGCAAACTGTCCTTCCACTACAGAGTAAGGAGATTCAAGACTTTCCATGAGCATATGGCACAACTTTAATGACAATTTCAGGCTGTAATTTTGTACATACATATATGTGAGTCTATTGAATTCAATGGAACTTACCTCCAGGCACATGCATATTGGACTATGCTGTTAGTCTCTTTATGCACCATGCAGGAGACATTCTTTATATCAGAGAAATATCAAGATGAAAGTTGTGTGCATTTGGGAGCAATGTAGCTATACCTTACTGAAAAATCTGTTCAATTAAATTAGGAATTACTGGGTGTAAAGCACCAGCACCTTCTCAAAGTAAGTGTTTAAAATGGTTAGTACTTTAACAGCACTATGGAGCACACAGAGCTGGCTTTCACAAAGATCAAATTATTAAATTGCAGAATACCTTTAATTTTCAGTGCAGCCCCAGCAGCATGTTAAGCCACTGTCATAAGGCGTGTTTGTGCATGACTATGTGTGTTTTGTTTTAAACAATCAGACAACAGAACCTCTTTAAAACCACGTCATGAACAAATGTAAACATTTTGAGAGTAACATTTACACCTCTCTTTCCACAGATCGTTAATAACAACATGGTTCTGAAGTTTCTGAATTCTTTAGGTTTCTGTTATACCACAGAAGAAGTCCTGGAATCAGAACTGGCTATTTTGAAGGCTCTGCATTTCCAAATCAATGTTCCGGCTCCTTTTGCTTATGTTGAGATGCTCCTGGAGGTTTTAGGTCAGTGCCAAACCCAAGTTTTAATACTGAGCAGGCATTTGTTGTTGCTGTTATGCACTGCCAAGTCATCATTGATTTAGGGCAACCCTATGAAGGAAAGCCCTCCAAACTGTCCTATCTGTGACAGCATTGCTCAGCTGTGTAAATTCAATGTTGTACCTTCCCTTATTGAGTCAACCCATCTCATATTTGGTCTTCTTATGCCTTAAACTTTTCCTAACATAACTTTGTTTTCCAATGAGTGCTGCTTTTTCATGATGTGCCCAAAGTAAGACAGTCTCAGTTCTGTCATTTTTGCTTCTAGGAAAGTGTCCATCTTGCTTTGATCAAAGATCCCCTGGTTAGTCTTTCTGTCTGTCTAGGGGAGGGGTTCTCAAACTTTTTCAACAGGGGGCCAGTTGACAGGTGCCAGCAGTGGGTGCAGGCCGCCAAGGTGGTGCCAGCGGGGGGGGGCACATGGGCCGGTGTGGGGGTGGGGCGCATGCACATATGTGCGCATGCTAAGCGAGACAGGGTCGGCGGGGGCACGGGGCGAGGCACCAGCTTGCTCGCAAGGAGATGGTTTTCTCCGAGCAAGTGCAAAACGACCTCCTCACGAGCAAGCCGCGTGCCTGCACATGTACCTGGTGAGTGCAAAACCTGTGGGGCAGGCCAGTTAAATGGGCATGACAGGCTGGATCCGGCCCGCAGGCCTTAGTTTGAGAACCCATGGTCTAGGGTATTTGCAAAACTCTTTTCAGCACCAAATTTTGAATGCATCAATTATCTTCCTGTCAGCTTTCTTCACTGTACAGCTTTTGCACACATAGATAGTGATCAGGAATACAGTGGTGTAAATGATCTTCGTCTTGGCCTTCTTGGAAATGTCCTTAGAAGAATCTTTTCTAGTTCCTTCCAAGTCTGACTTAAGGACAGCCCTTCCTAGTCTCAACCTTCTTTGTATTTCTTGGCCACAGCCTCTATTTGAATTGATGACTAAGCCATTTTAGGTAAAATCTTGCAGTATTTAAGTTTCTTCATTATTGACAGTAAATGTCTGTACTTTTTTGGTGATCATGATTTGTTTTTTCTTAATGTTCAGCTGCAGTCTTGCTTTTGCTGTTTCTTCTTTCCCTTTCATTGAGGATCATTTCAAATCATTGCTGCTTTCCACCAGTACAATGGAATCATCTGCATACCTTAAATTATTGATGTGTCTTCTGCCAATTTTGATTCCTTTCTCTGATCCTAATTCAGCTTTCCTTATGTTAAATTCTGTGTACAGATTTAACTAATAGGGAGATAAAATACATCTTTGTCTGATGCCTTTTCCTATGGGAAACCATTCTGTTTTTCTATACTCTGTTCCATTTTTCCATACTTTATAGCTATGATAGTGGTTATATGCTTCAGAACAATCAACAGCTGCAGCACACCCATTTCTTTCAGGAGCATCCATATCTTCTCATGATACACACAGCCAAAGGCTTTACTGTAGTTTATAACGCATAGACTGATCTTCTGAAATTATTTTGTGTAGCTAACATTTATTTGCATATGATCAATTTATATATCTGTTCAATCTGCATGCAAAACATGTAATAAAAAGCTAGATTAGAATCACAGCAAGGAATGGAAATTGGGGAAAGACACATCAGTAATTTAAGATATGCAGAATAATTTATTGCCAGCAGAAGCAGCAGCAAAATTAAATTACTCTTGATGAAGGTCAAAGAAGCAAGTGCATGAGCAAGACTGGGGCTGAATATTAAGGAAACAAAAATTATGACTACAGAAGAATTACAGAACTGTACACGCAGTTGCTGAGTTGCAAATTAGTTCCATTCTTGAGAAAATGGAAATTCATCTTTAAGTTGAATTTGTAAGTTGGATCACGTATAGTTGGCCCTCCACATTTGCCCGGGTTGAGGAGGCAGGATTCCTGTGAAAGTGGAAAAATGTAAATCCACCCCCCCCACCCATTGCCTCCTCTTCACAGCAAGGAAATGACAAAGAGATTTCCCTTTCCAGATGGGCAGGGCAGGAAGGCATGCTTTGAAGGCCTCTCTCCCTCCCCTTTTGCTTCCTCTCTCTCTCTCTGGTGATGCTTTGGAGGCCCTTCCTCCCACTCACTCACTCTCCCTCATGAAGAGGATTTTCCACAGTAATTTCTTTAAATTAACAGGCTTTATGGCAGTTGGTTTGTATGGGTTGTTCATAACTTGGACATTTGTAAGTCAGGACTGCCTGTACTGCTAACAATGCAGAAATTGAAATTGTGAAATATTTTGCATATCTTGGTTCAGTCTTCAGTTCAAATGGAAACTGTAGCCAAGAAATCTGAAGGAGACTGAGACTGAACAATGAAGGAACTAGAAATGATCATCCAGTGTAGGAATCTTTCCCTGTAGGCCAAGATTATTCACACCATTGTATTCCCAGTCACTATGTGTGCAAAAACTGGAGAGTGAAGAAAGCTGACAAGAAGAAAATTGATGCATTTGAAACATGCTGCTATCGGTGTGCCTCACAGGACTACTGATGCCAGCTATGTCCCCACCTACCATTTTGGGCTGGTGGGGAAGAGGAAGCAGCTTAACTAGCTGTCTAAAGCTAGTGTCTCTTTCTCATCAAACAAAAACAGCTGCTGAAGCTCTTTCTTCTTACCACTACCTACTGCTGCCACCTTACTTCTCTTCCTACTGTGTCCACCTGCTATTTCAGGCAGCAGGCAAGCTATGTTATCCTGGAAGAGTCTCAGGAGAACCTGCCACCCCCATTTGGTGCATTTTTCTGAGGCTCCTCCAAGAAAATTCCAGAAGAATGTGCTCTTCCACCTTTCACTACAATCACTGGACAACCACACCGGAAGGCATTGATGATCACATTCTGCTCTGCCTCCTTGAGAGGGCTATTGAACCTACTCACTGCCAGAATCAGGAGCAGAGAACCTCTGCCAGCTGCACCCAAATGTCATTTGAACACTTTTGGGTAGCTGCTATTCTTTCTTTGTGTTCCTATGGTGTCCCCTGGGATACTGGTACAAGAGCTGCCTCAGGAACCCTGCTGTGCCCAACCGTCTATTGGGCACATCACATGTCCTGGAATAAACAATCCACATTACGTTGCTTTCTAAACCATGTGGCATCCTGTGTTGCACTGGATCAGAAAAATTCTTGTGCCACCATTTATTGACACACAAATTTTTTGCTACAGTGAGCTAAAACTTTTTATCTCTTTGGAATTTGTTATCCCTTAGGAATTTATCTAAATATAGCCTGACCATCAGATTTCAAATCTGTATTTCTCCTTGATGCACTGATCTTACACTCCCTCTTATAAACTATCCCCAGAGATGTAACTAGTTAAAAACTATCAAAATCAAGTGGCTGAAACTGGGACAATAAACCCTATATTACTTTGTATATGCAAATAAAGAACAAAAATACTATCTATCAAAAATACCTATCGCAGATAGGTCAATAACCTATTAAACATTGATTGATTGCTAAATGATGAAAAGGGGAACTATTTGCCTCCAAAAAGAAACCTAGCTGCCTTCACTGTTGCAACTTCTGATGTTTTCTGTTCTTCCACAATATTAGGGTACAATGGTTATTTGTTTCCCACAAAAGAACTATATGGAATGTGCAGACATTTGCTGGGTTTAACTTACCTCTTGAGGAAAAGCATCTATGATACTTTGCTAAAAGCTTCAATTCAAAATACATCACCAAGTGAGCTCCAGCGGTAAGTTGGGGAAAGTGACAAACTAGAAATAATTGTATACTTTACTGTAAGGGAAATGAATATTTTAAAGTATGTCCAGAGGGGGGCATGTTTGTGTGTGTAGAAAGTTAAATACCTTGCATGGGACACATTACAGCATTTTCTGTACTCCCACATCCCAGTATGCCAAAGAAAGTAGTGTACTGACTAAGAAAATCTGAATTAAGTATTCCATGCAACACAAAAGCCTATTTGTAATCAATGTACTTGGGATAGGGTCTTGCTTCAGTGCTGAGAATATACTGTGAAACATGCAAAAAAGCCCTTAAATAAAATTTATAACATTAAATTTTAGAGATGATATTGCCTTTTGGATACTTTTATTTGCTTTGTTATAAAGTTTCATTTGTAGGATCCTTTGTATACAGTCAGAAACAAATATGACTTAGCATGCAATCCTATCTATGCGTATTTAGACGAAAAGAGAACCTACAAGTCCCAGCATGACCCAGTCAGCAATGCTAGTCATAGGGCCTTTTTCTTTCTAAATATGCATAGGATTGCATCCTTATTGGTTATACAAGATTTAAATGTCTTCCCACCTATAAGCACTTCTGCTGCAACGTTATTCTCACAGCAAGTGTAACATTATGTAATGTTGCTGAAAAAATATTTTCCTCCTCTGCTAATGGAATTGTTTAGGTTTAGCATTACAGGCATCTGTTGGATACTTCCTATGACACAATTGATGAAAATGTTGGGACTTTTTGGAAACATTTCATTTTACATTTGTAGAAGTTAAGAACTTCCCAGTTGTAGCACTCCTCTATCTCATTTTAAAGAAAGAGCCTTTGATAATAGCAGAAAGATTTATATAGTTTCCCCTTTATAGCAATGCCTGCCAGTGGAGAGCAGACGCATACATCCATTTTTAAAACCAACACTGATGCACTCATCTCTAATGGTGGCGTGTCTGTGGGCTGGTTCATGGGGAAAAATCCACCTGGCAGGCTCATTCCTCCATTATATATGGCCAGGATATAGTAAGCAGATACTGTCTGTCTGTCTGTCTGTCTGTCTGTCTGTCTGTCTGTCTGTCTATTTAGCGGACTTATACGCTGCCCCATTTGCCTAAGCCTCGGGGCGGCTTACAAATAAATATCATTAATACAATAAAATGCAATTGAAGACATCCTGGCCAAAGTTGTTAAAATCAATAAATAAAATCAACAACTGAAATGCTGTTTAAATAAAAAGATATTGGCCTGGCACCGAAAAACAAATAACGACAGCACCAGGCGGACCTCTCTGGGGAGTGCATTCCATAGGCTGGGCGCCACCACAGAGAAATCCCTCCTCCGGGTACTCACCCTCCTAATGTCCTTCACGGTGGGCTCCCGGAGAAGGGCCTCTGCCGCCGATCTCAAGGGGCGGGAGGGCACATATTGACGTAAGCGCTCCTTTAGGTAACCAGGACCCAAGCCGTTAAGGGCTTTATAGGTGATAACCAACACCTTGAGTTGGGCCCGGACTTCAATGGGGAGCCAGTGAAGCTGACGGAGGACTGGAGTTATGGGAGCACAATGCCCAGTCCCCATCAGCAACCTGGCAGCTCTGTTTTGCACCAACTGAAGTATCCAGACCGTCTTCAAGGGCAGCCCCACGTAGAGCGCGTTACAGAAGTTTAGTCGGGAAGTTACCAATGCATGAGTCACCGTCGCCAGGCAGTCGTTCTCCAGGTAGGGGCACAGCTGGTGAATCAGCCAAAGCTGAAAGAAAGCACTCCTCACCACCGCTGTTACTTGAGCTTCCAGCGGAAGCTTTGGATCGAGGAGCACTCCCAAGCTGCAGACCTTGTCCTTCAGAGGGAGTGCAACCCCATTCAGGACAAGGTCAAAGTCCCTTTCCCTGAAGCGCCTACCAACCTGACGTCCATCTTGTCTGGATTGAGCTTCAGTTTATTGGCCCTCATCCAGCCCATTACCTCGGCCAGGCACCGGTTCAGTACAGCCACTGCCTCACCTGGATTGGTTGAAAACGAGAGGTAGAGCTGCGTATTATCAGCATACTGATGATTCTGCAGCCCACACCTCCTAATGACCTCTCCCAGCAGTTTCATGTAGATGTTAAATAGCAAGGGGGACAAAATGGACCCCTGCGGAACTCCATGGCATAACTGCCATGGCGCAGAGCCACAGTCCCCCAGCACCACCTTCTGGAATTGGCCATTGAGATAGGAGCGGAACCACTGCAAAGCAGTGCCTCCAACTCCCAATCCCGCTAGCCTATCCAGAAGGATACCATGGTCGATAGTATCGAAAGCCACTGAGAGGTCCAGGAGGACCAACAGGGACGCATTCCCCATTTCTCTCCCTGCACAGGTCATCATACAGGGTGACCAAGGCAGATTCAGTACCATACCCGTGTTTGAAGCCGGACTGAAATGGGTCCAAATAATCAGTTTCATCCAAGAGTGCTTGGAATTGTCCCGCCACCACCCGCTCCAACACCTTGCCCAAAAACGGGATGTTGGCCACCGGTCTGTAATTGGTGGCCATCTCTGGATCCAGGGATGCCTTCTTTAGGACTGGTCGGGCTACCGCCTCCTTTAAAGGGGCAGGTACCCGGCCATCCCTCAGAGAGGCGCTGACAACCTCCAGAATCCAGGTCCCTATCCTGTGCTTGGCGTTGTTAAGTAGCCAAGATGGGCAAGGGTCCAATAGGCAGGTGGTGGGATGTACTTGTCCAAGTACCTTGTCCACATCATCAGGCCACAATAACTGAAACTCATCCAATAAATTAGGACCAGACGGCAACACTGGTTCCTCCCCTGAAGGCTCTGAATTACTAGTGGAGTCCAGCTCGTGACAAATCTGAGCGATTTTCTCCTTAAAATGCTTGGCAAAGTCATCACAGCAGGCTGTCGAGGGCGGTACAGGGTCTTTCTTGGGGCCAGGATGAACCAGCCCTTGTACTACTCAAAAAAGCTCTGCTGGATAGCATTGTGAAGAGGCAATAGAAGTGGAGAATTTCTTTTTCGCTGCCCTCACTGCCACAGCATAGGCCCGATAATGGGCTCTTAAGTGTGTTCGGTCAGATTCATCCCGTGATTTCCTCCACCTATGCTCTAGACATCTCCCAACCCGCTTCATTGCCCGCAATTCAGGTATATACCAAGGGGAAGAGTGGGCTCTGCCTGGTGGGAGAGGACGCTTAGGAGCGATCATGTCAATAGTCCTGTTCATTTCCCCATTCCATAGTTCGACCAGAGCATTGACAGGAGCACCAGTCTTGTCAACCGGAAATTCCCCCAGGGCCTTCAAGAATCCATCCAGATCCATCCGGCTCTGGGGGCTGACCAACACAATCGGGTCCGCACCCTTACAGAGGGAAAGGCCGCTCTCGAGCTCAAACCTCACGAGGAAGTGATCTGACCATGACGGGGGTGTCAGACACAAATTCCTCACCCTCAGATCACCCTCTTCCTGCCCCGTCGAGAAAACCAGGTCCAGAGTGTGTCCACGTTCATGGGTCGGGCCTATGACATGTTGAGACAGCCCCATGGCCACCATGGAGGCCATGAAGTCCTGAGCCGCCCCGGTCAGAACAGTCTCGGCATGGAGACTGAAGTCCCCCAGGACCAGCATCCTGGGAGTCTTCAACACCAGGTCCGAGATGATCTCCGTCAGCTCAGGCAGGGAGTCTGTTGGGCAGAAGGGTGCACGGTACACCAACAGAATCCCCAGTCTGTCTCGGTCGCCCAACACCAAGTAGAGGCACTCTAGACCTGGCCTCGAGGGGACTGGAAGCCCCGTGATGGAGATGGAAGCCTGGTAAACCAAAGCAACCCCCCCCTCCCCTCCCGGTGTGGATGGTGCTGGACCAGATACCTGGACGGGCACATTTGAGAGAGGGAGACATCCCCCCCACTCTCCCGCTCAGGTCTCTGTTATGCAAGCCAAGTTGGCCTTCTCATCCACAATCAGGACGTGGATGAGGGATGATTTGTTGTGGACCACCCTGGCGTTAAGCAGCAGCACTGTATCTGCTAAGAGAAGGATTAAAAACTGTTTGTTTTCTGAAAACAGGTATTTGTCTGGTGCAAGGATACCATGAAATCCCATTTTGTTTTACTTGTGAATAACCACATGCACTTTCCAGATGGCAGCAGGGAAAAGATCCTCTAGGGTTATGATGCTCTGCCAAAAAAATAGCTTTTCATAATTTTGGTTTGGACAGCTGACAGCCTTCCCTAACCTGGTGCCCTTCAGAAGTCTTAGATCACAATTTCTATCTTCCTAGCTACCATGGCCATTAAAAGGCTCCTCTAAAACATAAGGCTTAAAAGAAGAAATCTTCAAGGAAAGGGAATTTGGGACCAACTGTAGCAATGTTGGTTAATTTTTGAACCACTAAAATAGTTACATGAATGTGCCATTTATTTGGCACCTGGGTTGTAGGCATTGATTCAGGATGTAATCCTATATCCATTTACCCTGGAGTAAAACCCAATTCAATACTGCTTATTTCTGAGTAGACATGTATTATGCTACTAGATTATGTAGGTAATCCTTGTGTGCCTTATACCAATATTATGAAGGAATAAATGTTTACAGAATACAATATTTAGATATTGACAACACCCCGGACTATATGTTAGGATTAAAAAGTGCTATTTCCTAGAGAAGGGAGAGCTAAGCTAAACTTTAAATGTGCAATAGTCTGACTACTGCTGCTGGAAAACAAAACCAGTTTTTTCACTTTGCCATTTCAATTGGATAGAGCGCAGTTTGTGTCTGTAAAAGAAGATCTCATGCTACTGGCTGTAGGAGTTATTGGAGGAAGTTCTTTCCTGCTGAACCCTGAGAGCTGGAATCAGGTATACACATTTTGTAGCTCAGCCCAATGGCAGGAGTAATTCCAGGCTTATTTGGCAGACCCAAGTACTTTTTTCCCCTGCAGGGACTCCTTACTCATCAACATCCCAGTGCTGCATTTTAACTTCACCCTATTTCATTTTAAAGGTTATGGAATATCTCAGTGACACCACAAGCATTAGTCTGCAAAGCATTACTGAAATAGTCTATGCAATTCTGAAGCACAGTGTTGGCAGTGCTGTGGATGATTACTAAATCATTCTCTCCCTCTTATACAACTGGAGGACCAGCCTATCAAGTTACATGTTGCCTTACTTCAAATACATTTGGTACTTTCAAAGAGATTGTTTTTCATGTTTGAATAAAACAAGATTCCCAATTGTGGTTTACAGATTAGTTGCAACTAATGGGTATTTCACTATTGGTTTGTTACCGTAAGAGGCAAGGTACAAGTTTTAAAGAAAGTCCCCTCCTTCCATGCCATGGAAGAGACTCAGACCCAATTATAAAGCAATATTACATGGCTACAATACAGATGAGGAATTATGGTTGCTTGTAAAAACACTACAAGTGTATATTGCTAAAATCAGAGAAATGTTTCTTCTGAAAGCCTTCTCCAGTGTAGAACTCTCAGAATGGACTGATAAATGCATTTATAGGGGAGGAAAAAGTATTAAATGGCTGTCACTGATTAATAAAGATGCAGTGTTTCTCTAGAATACAAACTAATTTATTTTTGTGTATCCTATTGTGTAGTAATCAAACTGCAAACACCGATTACATCATAACTAACATGTATGCAAGTTCTTAGGCCAGAAAAGAGACCTAAATGAACTCCTCTTGCTAGCTGTTCCTCAGTTGCTTCTTTCCTCAGTAGTAGCCATGTGTGTCTGACAGATAACCAAGGACAGTATGGAGCATTTTGTTCCATTCTATTTGACAATGAAGTTTTAAGTTGAAATGTTTTGCAGACATTTTTCATCTTGCCCTAGGCTTTTAGCATCTTGAAACAAACTGCAAACATGTTACAGGATAGAATTCTTTTCTGTTAGTACAGTCATTTATTATAGAATTGAGAAGAGACCCAAGCTAGTCCCCATTTTAGGTTTGTCAACATGAACTTGAGAGCTTTTGTCCACTGCTCCTCTGAATTAAACTGTGTCTTAATGGAATAGGACCCACCACTTCCGCCAGTGTCTTCAATCTTGCCCTTCTCCACATCCATTCTACATAGGAGAAAGAGAGATTCTGTCAGGTTTCCAAGCTGCAACTCCAAACTGTTCATATTGGGACACCATCACATTTCCCTCTAGTTTATCAACAGAGTAAATTTTCCCCCTTTTTATGATGCTCATATTTATTAACTGTGAAATTTTGTTATATAATGTCTTGTTCAAGGAATAGCCCTGTTCTCCACCACATATACTTCTTAAACTAGATAGTAAAACTGGAGACCTTGCATGATGCTGCAAGAGATGCAAATGCCTGCTAAGGCACAGAGTAGATAGAATAAAAGCAAGAGAGGGTAAGCAGAAAGGAATACTCCAGCAGCCACTGCTTTGGACAACACAGTACTTCAGTGGTAGAAGAATCTGCAGAAGCAGGAAGTGAGTTCACAGCTTGAGCAGGCCTTGCATGACTAAACAGCTGTATTATTATGATTATGCATTATATCTTTTCTCCTCTTCTGAGGAAACACTCTCACTGCCACAGCACAATGACTGCTGTAAGAAGGGTCAAGAGGGACATAAGTTTCCTTTGCTGGAGTGTATTTTTACTCTTTTGCTCTTTGTATGACATACAAGCTGTGTGCGGTCCTACTTAAGGATGTGAAAAAATTGCTGGAACAATGATCCAGGAGATCTGATTTCTAGTTCCTGCTTGGCCATGAAGCTCAGTGTGTGACTTTGGGCCAGTTACTCAATCTCAGCATAACCTACCTCACAGGACTGTTGTTCTGAGGATAAAATGGAGCTATATAAGCCACCCTGGGTTCCTTACAAGAACAGAAATGGTGGGATATAAATGCAATATAATAGTAAAAAAAGTGGCTTGGGCAGAGTTGAGCAGTATGCTTACTGTTATAGTCCTTTAAGATCACAAGAATTATTTCAATTGGACAGACCAAAGGACAATCTATTCCAGCAAAATGTTCAATCGTTGCTAATCAGATAACTAAGGCAAACTATTTTAATTGTTAACAATATTTACTTATTTATCTGGCCAGGGTGACTTCTTTTCTCTTCTTTTCATGACTTTTCTTTTATAACTTCTTTTATATCGTTTATATTTTTTATTTATTTTATATTATTAACTTTAATTTTATATTGTTATTTTTGTATTGTATTGTATTTTATTGTGTTGTAAGCCGCCCCGAGGCTTCGGCAAGGGGTGGCATAGAAATGTTCTAATAATAATAATAATAATAATAATAAGTAAAGTGGTTCTGTTGTTCAGCAACAAACTGATGAACGATCATAGTCTATTCTGCTTTTAATGCAGAACTAGCAACTTCTTACCTGTAAGGCAAACAGAAGCGTGTCTCGCCTTTTTCCACTTCTTCTTTGAACTGTTGCACACAATCCAGGAATGCCACCATGGCATGGTCAAACTTATTATCCCAGAAGAATCGTAAGCCTCCTGAGCAGTAGAGGGGCAGCTCCTTTAACACAAAAATGGCAATACCAGAAAGAAAATGGATTCCTTTGCAGTTGCCTCAAGTCCTTTGGAGAGATTGCTTTATTTTTTCAGTTGATCAAGAGAACTGCTTCAGCTACACCAGACTCACAGTGTAAGTCAGCTTTAATAACTGGCCACTACTATTCCCCTGAGATAAGTTCAGTGCAACAAAAAAGAAATACTTCAGTGCAGTGAGGAGCAAACTTTTATCACAAAGTTCCAACCTTGATAAAATTGTTTAAGAGAAAATTAGTGTTCCTAATGACAGCCAGGAATGGGCAATTTGTGGCTTTCAAGAGGTTTTTACTTACTTACAATTCCCATCAATCCTAACCATTGGCTATGCTGGCTAGAACTACTCAAAGATGTAGCTCAATACATATGGAAGACCACAAGTTGCCCACCACAATCTTGCATATTCTAGAATACCAATAAATAGCAGAGCCCCAGACAAGCCACACACTGAATCTAGGAAAACAGAATTTCAAAACAATCAAGTTTGTAACCCATTTCTACAGATTTTATATAAAAGTGAGCCCCATCAATTTTCAAAAAACAACCTTTTAATGCAGGGATGAGAAAACTAAGTGCACATCAGCCTTTTATCACCTGCCTCCATTTCTCTCATTCTTATCATGATCCAAGAAAGATGGGTGACACAGCTGAAGGCAGGCACCTGTGTGAGGTTAGAGGCACAACCATGGAGTACAATGGGTAGGAAATCTTTTCAAAAGATGCTGTAGCTACCATATTCTGTTGTTGGCTTCCAAGTTCATGTGTATATTTGCCTGCTGCTTCCACCTGTCTCTCTCCTTGCCACAAGCAAGCAGTCACATAGAGAATAGTAGAAGGATGCTAAAATGCACTGAAACCCTAGTTCTTCTTTGTGGTCTCTGTACATCACACATATAGGCTCTGTGCTTACCTGGAGCTTGATTATGGGAAGATTTCATAGTTGAGTGTGTTGTTGGCAGGAACCCCTCTACCATCCCAGTGTTCCCACTCATTTCCTTAGTTGTTCTTCGACAGCTTTCTCTGGTGCTTCAAGGAAATCCTTTCTCCCTCTTTCTACTTTGAGTGTTTTCCGCTTCCTCTTCTATTTCTCTCTCCTCAAACACTTCATTCTATATACTCATTTATCTCTGTTCTAATTTTTCTAAATTGTTACCTGTTTGGCCCTTCTTCCTGTGGTTTTGGCTGTAACCATGAGCCACTCCACACCACTGACACTGGGGAGATCCTTGAAGATCTCAAAGGTGAAGAAGTAGCTAAGAAAGTCAAGCTGGCAAAGCTGGCAGAGGGCATAAAAGCAAAGGGCCACAAGTGGCATTTGAAAGAACACTGTCCAGATTCACCTAAAAGGGAAACTTCGACAGTGTGATGGAACCTGGAGCATCCAGATGATGGCCCAATATCTTGGACCCAGCAGAAATGGAGAAGGTATCAGATCCTGTCTTCAGTGCCATCTATATGAAGGAACTGCTGCCAGTGGCCATACCATTTCTGCCAACACTCCTACAAACTGTCCAGCAGTGTTTGAACACCCCATCTTCAGTGGTACTGACAACAAAAAGGCTGGAGAGCATGTATAGGTTGCAGAAGAAGGATGTGCCCTCCCTCTTCCAGCATCTGAGGCCAAACATCATCATCATGGAGCTGGCACAGGGAAGGTCACAAGTCCATGCCAGGGGACAAAGAAGGATGCTCCCTGGATGTAATGGGGAGATGCATCTCCTCTTTGTCAACTCTGGGTCTTTAAGTGACTCATTAACAGGCCATTATGGCAAGAAACCAGCTTTTCTTTTGGGGGAAATCAGCTCGCTTTGTTCCAGTCTTAAGCAATGTGTCTCTCTTGCCTTTAGAACACGAGCAAGTAATGGGTGCAGTAGTATTATGCCTGGCTGCACTCATCCAATCTGCTGCAGGAGGCCCACTCCTGCATTGAGGACCTGCCCTTCAGTGGGAAAGGGCTCTTCAGTGTGAGGATGGATGAACAGATCAATTCCATGCAGAAAGCATGGGTGAGGCAGATAGGGTTGTAAAGCCACCAGCTGCTGAGATCATGTAAGTGGTTCAGAACTGGCCAAGTCTCGCTCCAGTCTCAAGCCCCAATGGATTGACATGCTTGACAACTGCCATAACATTCAAGGTGCAGATAGCCCAACAATAACTATGGATGCCTGGATTCTATCCATTGTGGAGAGAGGCTACAGGATCGAGTTTGACACCTTCCTGTGTTTTGGCACCATGAAAAGTAAAGTTCCCTCTCCAACCTTAATCACAGAGGTAGATGCACTACTTTTGAAGGGAACAATAGAGTGAGTCCCTTCTTCTCTAATACACCACAGATTCTATTCCAGGCATTTCATGGTACCAAAGCAAGATGAAGGGCCCTGACCAATCCTGGACCTTAGAGACCTCAATTCCTTCACTGTACCAAAAAATTTCAGATGGTCACAGTACAAAATATCCTTCCCTTGCTGCAAAAAGGAGATTCATTTGCCTCTGTAGACCTAGAAGATGCATAGTTTTGTATCTCCATTGAACATTCACACAGACACTACCTGTGTTTCCAAGTGGGACGTTTTTTGTTCCAATTTTTGTTTTACTCTTCAGGGTATCTATGGCACCTAGAGTATTTACAAAGTACATAGCAGTAGCCTGTTCCTACTTAAACCCATTCCTGAGTTCATGTCTACCCATACCAAGACAACTGGCGAATTGTGGCACCTTCCATGAAACACCTGGTTTGTCCAGTCCAGACTGCCTGCACTTTATTAGTTTCTGGACTTTCTGAAAGGACTCAGTCCTGGAGGGATAGAACATCAGAGCCCTGTGCATGTCCAGGGTGTGCAGCATGAACTCTCACTGGACTAGATGGGAACGGGGAAAAAAGCCAACAAAACGATTTCCTGGTTTAAATTAAATGAAGGAGCTACTTTGGGGAGAAAAGATGGATCTGGGCACAACACTACCTTGTCCCAGTGAAAGACAAGGCATGGAGGATCAACCTGTAGGGCATAAAGTTCACTGGGGCAATGAGTGGACATAACAGCTACCAGGAATGCCATCTTCCATAACAGGAGATAAAGGTTGATCAGTACCATGAGCTAAAACAGATTTCTTGTTAAGGCTTGTAAAATTATGGACAAGCTCCAAGCTACTGTCAGCAATCAAGAAGGGAAGAGAACGTTCTTTAGTCCCTTTAGGAAGCACATACTCATCAGGTGCAAGAAATCCAATGAGCTGTAAAAGGAAGAAAATTGCTTCGAGGTATACTGTGATAGAAGAGGCTTTCAGGCTGTGTTGGAGCAGTCTGACAAGGTAAAGGTGGACTCTCTCAGTCAAGCAGCCATGCAGATCCAATCCATCAATGTTAGTGAAGAGGCAAAAAAATTTCCACTGCACAGCATACAACTTCCTGGTTGATGGCTTCAGTGCTGCCTCCAGCATGGTGTTCAGTTCAGCTCAAAGAGTTGAATATGTGTGCCCTAAGGATGGATCCTCCATCCTGTCAGGTGGAGGGTATGAATGCCCGGATGCAGAATTCTCCCCCAGTCCTAAGAGATCAGGTCTGGGATCAATGAGAACCAGATGTAGTTCCTGCCTGACATCTGCAGGATGTGGGAGAACTAAGGCTGTCTTCGCCACCAGGGTGGGATCAAAATGCAAGCTGAACCTTTGCCATTGTTCTCATTATCAGGGAAAAAAAATAAAACAAATTCCCTGCCCAAAATAGCAGGAACACATCTCCCAGAGTCTCTGCCCTCTTCTGCCTGAAAGCAGACATTGTAGCAGACACCACTGCCTGTTCTGAGTGGCAAAGAGGTTGACAGCTGGAGTCTCCCAAGGCTGGATGACCTTGTTTAGGATTTTTGTGTCCATTCACCACTCGTGAATGTCAAGACTCCTCCTGCTAGGATGTTGTTGTTTCCAATGATGTAAATAGCAGTCAAAGTGATCTGTCTGCTGACATACCAATCCCAGATTCAAACAGTTAGGCATGTCACTAGAATCAAGCTGGTGCCTCCCTGTTTGTTGATGTAGAGCACCACTGTCACATTGTCCATGGCAAACTGAACAAAATATCCTGGCAACCAGGTCTAGAATGCTGTGAGAACCTACTTCACTGCAAGTAGTTCAAGATAGTTTATATGCTTGTGAGCTTTGGGCTCATTCCATGTTCCTTGCAATTTCTGAGGACCTCAGTGGGCTCCCCATTCAAACAGGAAACCACCCATCATGACTGTAAACAACAGCACAGGACTGAGGAATGACTTTCTCTTGAAGAGTTTGGAGTGTTGGGTCCACCAGGTGAGGCTGGAACACACAGTAGAAGGCATCCAGAGGCACTTCAACAAACCATTGCTGGAGCAGCCTCATCTGGAGCCTGGTCAAGGAAACTACTGAGACAGTCACTGCCATGAGTTTGAGAAGCTGCTGAATCTGGAAAACTGTTGCAACATGTCACCAGTACAGCTTAGAAGCCATCTTAATAAGTGTAGCTGCTGTGAGTTCTGAGAGATACACTGTCCCCATGGTGGAGTCTGTGTGTGCCCTGATGAAGAGCATAGACTGGGAAGGGGAGAAAATAGACTCAGTCTGTACAACAAAAAGAATATGGTATCAATTGCCTCTAGCAATTCAGATTTGGGTGATGTCACCAGTAGCCAGTTGTCTGAATATGGGTATACCTGGACTACTTTTAAACATACCACAGTCATGCATTTTGTAAAGACACTCAGGGCAGTGGAGAGTCCAAAGGGTAAAACTATAAACTAAAATATCTCTCTCCTGACCTGAAAGTGAAGAAAATGCCTGTAGAATGGTGCTATGTACATATAAAAGCATGCACCTTTAAGGTCAAACAGTACAAAGCAGTCCCTTCCCTTGAAGGAAGAATTCCTTCCATCTGGACCTTTTAAAGCAAAAGAGAATTAAGGTCTTTTAGGTCCAGAATTGGTCGAATCGCTTCATTCTACTTCAATACCATAAAATAGCATGAGAAAAATCCTCAATGAGCAGAAGTGGTAATCCACTGAACTGCTCTCTTCAATAAGAGGAAGTGTAACTTATCCATCAAGGTTGGCAATGGAGACATTCTGCACATGGTACTGATGGATGGGAAGGCATTGAACTTGATCCTGTAGCCTCTCTATATTATCAACAGCACCCAGAAGTGATAATTTCCTAGACATTTCCAGCACCCAGAAGTGATTATTTCCTAGGAAGGGAGATAGTCCTTCAAATCAATAAAAACAGGTAGGGAAGGAGGCAAAAGGCCAGTCCAGGAATCTGCTCAGTGCCTCCAGTTTCTGCTTCGGTTCCTGTATGAGAATCGTTGACCCTGGTGGAATCAAGATGGTGCATCTTCCTGTCTCTGTAATGGCACCAATGTTTGGCACAATGCTCTGTTAGTTTGGGACCAGGGAAAGACAGAAGAAGGTCCAGAACCAAACCACTTTTGGGTCCTGACGGATGGGTGCTGGAAAAAGACCATTTTCCTTGCAATATTCTCCACCTTGTAGATCTAGTCCACCCACTCATTGGTCTTTGCATCAAAGGGTAGGTCCTTGATACAGGAACAGGCCTCCTGCTAGAGACCCAACGAGTGAAATGCCACTGGACTGATCATGGCCTTAGCTCCACAGTCTGCTTGGTGTCTGGTAATGTTTATCTGCATATGGGAGACTGTCTCACTCTGGAAAACCCTGGTCAAGTCTTGCTGGTGTCCAGGAAGGTAGTCAGAGAGCCCAGCTTCTCCCAAAGGAAGAGCTGGTACCTTGCCATGGTTGTCTGCATTTTAAGACTTTGAGTCCCAGAGTACCAGAAGTGTAAATTATCTCCTCAGAGTGTCCAGGCGGCATCCTTTGTTGTCAGAAGGTATGGAGTGCTGCTAATGTGACTTCCCTGTGTTGACTTGATGATGAGTTAGGCTTCAGATGCTGAAAAAGGCAGGCCGCATCCTTCTCTTGCACCCAACACATGTTCTCCAATCTTTTGGACATCAGTGACATACTGGATGGTGCCTCCCAAAACAGCTGGACTATCTAGAATAAGGTTGGCAGGATAGCAGCCAGCATCGATTCCTCAGTCTGCATGGAACCGAAGATCAGATCTGACACCTTTTCTAGTAGCAACTGAATCACAATAGTAAATAGTCCATCTGCTGAATTTGTTCTGCAAGGTAGCCCATATCCACTGATGAAGAGGTGGGGTCCTAAATGTCCACAGCTGTATCTGGAAAGGAACAGGCTGACTAAGCAGCTGATGATGTGTCTGAGTTGAACTGGTAGTCCTTGACATTCAATGTCAAGGATGGACTTGGAGAGCAAAGGAGCAGGAGAATTAGATCAGTGCAGAAGCATGGTGATAGTGTGGGTGGCTCCAAGAGTCCATGAACCCATAAAGCTTATGTAAATTGGTCAGGGTCTTGGAGGTGGCATAGGTGGACAGCGAGAAGGCGGTGGCAGCCTGACAAAGTGCTCCCATCCCCCATAGATATTGGGATGACAGATGGGCCCATACTAAGGACTGTATGTGGGGTCATGATGGTAGATCCCCAGGGATTGTAGAACCCTTGGTATGCCTGTGGAACAGGGGACATGGGCCATCTGTCCCAGTCCAGTACAGGAGAATGGGAGTGATCCCTTTAGTCATTGGTCCTAACCAGTTCTGGTATATGTGAGTGATGGTGTGACTGGCTGCCTTGAAACCATAGCTGCTGGGGAGGGGCGGAAGAGGAGGTGGTGTGTCTCAGATCTCCCGCTCCAACACTGAGGTCAAGATGGATTCTAGCCTCGGAGTCAATGCAATGTCTTCGTGGGTGGTTGGTTCTGATGTAGCTGGTAACAGCTGAGTCCATTTAGTGCTGCTTAGGTCTCCCTTCACACTTCTGAAACACAGGCCATTCTTTGGCAAAAACTCTTTATTCTCCAAGGCACTTCCAATAAGCACAACCAAGAATGAATCTCAGAGCAGCATGCACAAACAAATTTGTAGAACCCAATCAAACAATTACTTCCAAGTATTCTCCTTTTGAGTAGCCTTGGGGCCCCTTCCTTCTGGGATGTCCTTCTTGGAGGCAGGTAAGCCTCTTCTTTGTGTGTTACTCCTCTAGTTGGTCAGCCTGTATCTTCCAACACCACGGAGTCAACAGTCGTGCAAGGCTCAGCTGGCAGCATGAATTCTTTTCCCAAGCCCCCTTTTTCTAGCTGTAAATCCTGAATGATCTCAGTGTACACCTGAACATCCTGAAAGGGTGCCCTTGTAATAAGCACACAGTTTATCTTGCTTTTGGTGCCAAGTTAAGGCTTTTTTAAAGTTTTGTATATATTTTTAGATGGAACTATTGGTTTGCTGCTGGTTTATTGTTTTATTGGTTGTTGTTATTGGTTATATTGTGTTTATATTTCCTCCTTTTCTATTTATACAGTTGTATTTATATTGTATTTTAATCCTATTGTTTTATGGTTTAGAGTGTTATTGGTATTCATTTTTTGAGCTGCACAGAGAGCCTCTGGCTAGGGGGTGGCATACAAATGTAATAAATTGATAAATAAGTCCCTCTGCTTTTTCCATTTCAGTTTCTAGGAATTCTGGTTCCTCTCATCACTTGACAGGTCTGTATCTGCGAAGAATAACTGTCCCTTTCATTCCCAACACCTAAAGATCCAGATGCTTTCACCTCTTCGGCCCTCTTGTTCAACATTTTCACCTTTTTCAGTTTCACTGACTTTTCCAGAGCCACAGATGGAGCTATGGCAGTGGTATAAGGCGTGGATGTTTGTGAAATTATGGTAGACCAGCAGGAAATGTTGGGTGCAACTGAGGTGTTGACTGTTCTGAGAGCCTTGCTCCAGAACTCTGCTTGGAGTCGGTTGGTGCGGTGTTTGCAGGCCTGCTTCATGAAGGCCTAGCAGTGAGGGCCCTGGTCAACCATGTGCCTCTCACCCAAGCAGAGCAGGCACAAAGAATGCCCATCCTTCGGCAGCAATTTTGAGCTGCACTGCATGTATTTGCAGAAGGGGGGCTTTGATGCCACTGAGGAGGAGACAAAGAAAAGAAAACATGAAAGAAAAAAAAAGAGCAAGGTAAGGTTGGCATAGCATAGGATCGCAAAGGGGTTTCTTTTTTGTTTAATTTTTTTGTGATGGGGGGAATGAAAAGGTATAGTTTGTGAGACAAAATTGCTAAGGAAGGAAAGTGTGTTTATACAGAAAGACACAAAACACTCAAGTAATACAAGGAGAGAAAGAACTTCCTGAAGCACCAGGTTGAAAAAGAATTGAGGGGAAACTCCTCCCTATTAAAAGAGATTCTGAGGTGGGGGAGGGGTTCCTTCCAAAACTCTCTTAGTTTTTTGTGCGATACACAGAGTCTGAGAAGAACCACCTTTGTTCTGGCTGAAATTCCCCTCAAATGATTGCAAACACCATAAGAATGGCTCTCACCTATCACAAACACAGTAATTTATGCTTTAATTGTTCCTGACCCTATGCACACAGGAAAAATCAGCAGGTCCATTGACTTTTCTCTGCATGGCAATGGCTTGGCACATTAACTTTAAAGAATCATAGCATGACTTTCTTTCATTGGATTTCAATTCTGTTTGCTGGAAGTTTTAGCTTAGAGTCTTAGATTTAAAATGAAACCAAGATGATATGAATGGGACTGTGCTTTGTGCCTTTTCTGTAAGCTTTGGTTGGAATTATAAAGTCACCTTGCCCAACTATTTCTATAGAGCATCCAAGATAATTTTTTCACTCCAAGTATTTTTTCTTTTTTCTTTTTTAAAGCTTGGAAGCTGAAATTTAAGAACATTTTAGTTTAGGCACTTTATGAAAATATTGTAAAAGAATGAGCCAGTTGAATTACTCATGTAAAGTGCAGTACAGAATGTGCACCTGGGATACTAAAGTCACCCCACAATGTGGGATGGAGGCTACAAACCAAAGTTCATCTCACTGGTGGCATTAGTAGTGGTCAAATAATGGCATAGATAAGTTGGAGTCCTAGATTTTCAAATTAAACACTTCATTTTCTTTTTCAAGAAATACCAGGTTTCCACTAATTCCCCCAAAATGCAATCGCCAAGTTTTCTAGGAGCTGCTTCTAGATTTCTGATCAGCCTTTTCTGAGACTTCAGTTGGTAACAGCACTGCAGATAGGTAGTACAGACTCTGGATCTAATTGTTCTAAGGAGTGGGGTGGGGCAGCTTGAGATGTTTATGTTTTTTCTTCACCTGCTTCAAATGCAAAACATACAACGAACATCGCACCCACTCATTCTGCGCCTTACAACTGCTATATTCTCAATGTATTACAACCAATCCACCCTGCCACCAAGTTTGGCAACCCTGACAACAATAATAAATAAAAATAATATAATAAATATAAAATGAACATCTAAACATGATGAATGGCTGCTATGCAGGAGTGAAAGAAAGGCACTTTGTACATGCTGTCATCTCATATATGAACTGAAGGACTGAGTCCTGCAACTGGGAAGAACTATTAGTGCTAAGTTTCATGAGGCCAAAATCAGCTATCCAAATCCAGCAAAGAGGTTTGTTCCTTAAACACTTGATCAGGTTGTCTACATAATCCCCACAAAAATACAGTGCCTAACAGCTTGATTTCTGACCAGAGACAGATAATTGGAAAATCCCTCTTTCATACGTTTTGATGTAGGCATGAAGTCATAATCAAGAGATATTTAGTGGTAAGGTGTTCTTACGAAAAAACCTTGTTGCATGTAGTAGATCAATAAATAAATTAGTTAATTCTCAGTAAACATGTCTTCTCCTGTTCTCCCCCTTGAGTGCAGAAGGGCATACAACTAAGGGAGAATTCAGATGACTCCAACAGGCTTGAATACCACCCTATGCTTTTTAAACTACAGTCCAAATTTCCTTTGTTGCAACCCTGCACAACTGAAACACAGTCCATTCCCAGTCGCAATTCCATTCCAGGTTTGGTTTTTTTTTTTAATCTTGTCATCTTCCAAGTAAGGTATATTTAGTCTTCCAGAGACATGATTTCATACCCACAGGCTGCAGCAAGCAGTGAGCAGCCAGCTGACACCTGCAGGGGGTGGTAGGCAGTAAGCAGCAAGTGGGTGCCTGTGGTGGTGAATGGCAAGCCACAAAATAAACTCAAAAAGCCACATGTGGCTCCTGAGCCTCAGTTTGGCCACCCTGATACATAGCTTCGATATAGCCTGAAGTGCCTGATCCTGCCTAATCTTCCTGGAAGCTAAGCAGATTTGAGCCTGTTGAAATCTGGATGGGTGATTTAAATGTTGTGAACTGCCAAGAGAGCTTCAGCTAAGTAATGTAAAAAGAGTGTGTCTGTGTACACAAATAAGAGAAGAGGGAAACAAATGTGTGTGTTCTCTTTTATAACTGCTGCAGCACAACCTGTTACCACTTATTCATGCCCTTTACTTTCCCTGCATTCATCCATCCACCCAGGAACAATTGTACAGAGGGCTCCACCACCATGCTCCCTTCTCTGCTGAAGCTCTCTTCAGCTTCTCTTTCTCCTGCTGGGAAGTAAAGGATGGGACTGGGGGATAGTGGAAGAGCTTTAGCAACCTTCCTCTGCAAGAGCAAGCATGGGGAGCTCAGACTCTTATCACCAACTATTCCTAAAGAAACAAGCTGAAAACTAGGTAGCTGGCACCTACCCTCTCCTTGTGTCGCCACAGCACACCTACAAGCAAAATTAGCCAACAGATGGATATGTACATAGTAGGGAAGGAGGCATTGCCTCTGCCCAACTTCCTCTGTTCCTCCATGCTCAATGCCTTTTGTCTCAGCAGCTGTCAGGAGAACAGGCAAGATACACAGGAACAAGGAAAAAAGAAAGGAAATGGGCACAAAAGAAGTAACATTAGCAAGTCTCATGTCAGGGCCTCCCACTTGCTATGCTGAAGAAGGACAGACTCCTGCCCCCTTGTTTGCAGGAATGGCACTTCTGGTTGATGAAACACCATGTTGGAATGTTGAAGACTGGGAATCTAGGAAGCCTGGACTAAAGGAAACCAAACTTCTTACCTTGGATTTGTCCATAAGAGATTCTAAGTAAGAGTGGTTTCCATATGGGATGAGCCGATACCTGCAAGAAACAAGATAAGCCAGCTTGATAATTGTTTGATTGAAAGATTACGTTCATTAATCTTCTTTAGCCCAACAGCCAAGAAGGTGGCTGGTGACTGTACTCTCACCTTTGAAAGGTCAGACCCATCTTATTGGCAAGGGCATGAAGAAGCAGCACGGTTTGACCCCAGGCAGCATTAATTTCATTCCACTCAACAGGAACGCTGGGGAGGCGGCCCAGACGGAAGTTGTTTATTGTACCAAATTGTCCACTATGCCTACACAAGAAGGAGATTCAGTCAGCCAGCTCTTGTGAGCAAAAACAGTCTTAGTGAGAATGCACAAAGTTGTTTCTTCCCAAACAAGCTTATTAAATGCCCATGTGTTTATTGAGGTATGAAAAAACCCTATGAAAAATACAACAGATAGCATTTCTATGTCTGTTTTACCTACAGAATGCCTGGCTGCTGAGATACCCTTTTATCTTGTTCAACCCTTTCTGTTCACAGAAAACTGCCAACTTGTCTGTGTGTGTATTCAGAAAGAAAACAGAAATCATGGCTTTAAGACCACAGGCTCTTTTGCAAGGGTCAGAACTGGCTTTTTACTCAAGCACTACTAACATTTTTTTGCACAAACAACATACTGTATACGATACAAAATAGGAAGGATAAGACCCTTGATACATGCCGAGTGACCCAGAGCTCACAATGAAGGGATGCTGCTAGGCAGAGAAGTGCATATGGAGGAAAATGAAAAATTCGAAACACCTAATAAGTTTGGCAAAGAGCATATGGCAAGCACCGACTACCCTCACCAAAAAACAACACAGTAACAACAGCAGGCTAGAGAAGACAGTCACTCAAAAAGGTGTTCTTTCCAAACCCCCCCCCATTCATGTTGAAGCTGATACCTTTCCAATGACCGCAGCTACTGAGAAAGGAAAAAAAACCCTGGAAGTCTAGCTGACTTGGACAGTAAGAAGCTTGAAGTTGCAAACATTCAGCAGGAGAGTTGTCAGCTCTCTAATCTTTATCCAGAAAGCCTCCTGAAATTCTCAACCCCAGAAGGAAACCTGTGCAGTCAAATAAGGCTGCTGCAGGCTCTTCAAGACATCTTCCCTATTCTGGTTTTACTATAGATACTCCACACCTAACCTCTTGCCTTACCAGATATGGAAGGTAGCATTGAATACATTAGTTTTCTTTAGTTTGTCCAGCTGCATTTGGGCATAACGCATTTGATTATCAACACTTTTCAGTTCATCATCCAGTTCCAGTTGTTGCCGCTTGAATTCACTGTACTCTTTCTGGTACCTCCAAAGAGATAAAGTCATATAATCATGAGTTTGACACAGGATATCACACCTCCCTAAAATATCACATAAAATGATATGAGAACAGCAGCATGTTCCCCTTCTTAGAAGGAATGACAAAAGTTAGCAGAGCCAGCACGGTATAGTGGTTAAGAGGGCAAGGCTGGAACTCAGGCAATCTTGGTCATGGAGCCAACTGAGTGACTTTGGATCAGTCACAGGTTCTCAGCCCATTCCACCTCACAGGGCTGTTGTTGTGGGGATAAGATTGAGAGCAGCAGGACAATGATGTAAGGTGTGTTTGTGTAAGAAAAGTGAGATATAAATCTAATAGATAAATAAATGCATAAATATGTTCTAATAAGGATAGGATGAGATAGAGATCAATACTGAGCTGCAATAGGGGCCTTGGTGTTAACAAGGGGAAGCAATCCCAGCCCAGTGCATAAGACAGACTCTGTCCTAAGACCTAAAGAAGACATAAAAGACTCAGCTATCTGGGAACTCGGAACTTTCCAGGTGTCTCATAAGAGCATACAGAATTCACTTGCACCTTACTAGCAAGGCCTCAGCAGAAATGGTGTCAACTCACAGGCAGAAGTAGATGTTGAGTCAACGGAGACAGCATAAGGTCTGAAGAAGAGGGTTGCAGAGAAAAGAGGCAGTATACTAGAGATGTAATGAAGACTAGACAGACAGCCAGTAGAGAGATTTAAAAGAGGGAATGATACTTTTAGCACAGGAAAAAGGGTGGCGGGGGAGAGAAATAATGAAAGGCCAAAAGGGTTATATGGATAAGGAATAACCACACTTGGCCAAGTCTTGGAGATGTAGAAGATACAACACATGGTAAAAATACAGCACTCACTCAGTTTCCTCTTGATCCAGCCGCTCTGCCTCAGTTCTGACCTTCTCAAAGTCTTCAGCCATTGTCTTACGCTTCTGCTCTACCTTCTCTAATTCTTCAATCAGTCTCTCCTCCTCAAGAGCAAATTCCTTCAGCTCTAGCTGTAGCTTCTCCTTGTCATCTTCATTCATCTGCTCAAGAATTTCCAAGCATCTCCTGCAACCAACACCCATGCACAAACAATGTAGAGGAGCAAAAAGCTATGCAGAGCACACGGCAGGCCTACCTCTTTCTACCCACCTGTCCTGAAACCCAAACTATGCCTATCTCTGTAATCATCAAGATCAAAATGCTGCTTCATTTTAAAATGGAAGCTGTGTCTGCACAACATACATACTGTTTTCTTCAAAGGAAATTACTTTGGAGAACAGGATCAAAGGCTCTTTTCCATTTCTCAGTAGCGAGGCAATTTGTAGGCAGTAGGGCAGCTCTCTTGCAGAATCCCTGAATTCTATTCTCACTCACTTGTAGTTCTGGCATTCATTCTCTGTGATGTTGAGTTGTGTGTCCAGCTGGTCCAGAAGCGTGTCAGTGCATTCTTCACACAGAGGGTGATCCACATCTGTCTGGCCAGACATGATGTCAAACAGGTCCCCGGTAACCTAAAAGAGAATGAAGATTGCTGAAACAAACCAAATTCAAGGTAGTAGTTTGTACTTGTAAATGCTCAGATCTCTCTAAAGCCTCCTTAAAAGATATCCAGGACACTCAAAAGTCAAGGTTAACTTGCCTTGAGTCTTCTACTGAGGTTTTCCATGGTGCCTCCATCAGAGGCCTCTCCAATCAGAGTGAAGCTGTTGGCACTTTCAGTTGACATCACCCTGGAAAATACAGGATGGATTTGCAATGGGGGAATGCTTATATGGACTTTTTAACAAACACTCAGATTTCGCTCTTTCATAACATAAGAGAATAGTAGAGTTGGCAGGTGTGAATAAAGCCATCAGGTCCAATTCCCTGATCAATGCGGGGATCCATCTGTCCCTTCAGAATTCCTAAAGCAAGTTTTCCCATTATCACAAATAAGTAAGCAAATGTTTATCTTCCATCTACACCAAGGAAGCCCTGCTGGGATTTCCTCAGCAACTTGCTCAGGAAATTGATATATGAGAGACAGGCTATGGTGGTTTAAAAAGAAGACAAGTGCAATCCTATGGCTGCCGGATGTTGCCTAGCTGGTCACAGGAATATTCTAAGCCCAAAGTCTGACCACAGAAAGGCATTCCAAGGTCAGAGTTTTGCCTCCAAATTGGAGCTCCCTCCCATTGCAGTTCTTTTCATACTGACCACAGCCCCAAAAGCTGTAAGTGCGGGTGTTCTGGACAGCAGGAAGGGGAAGATTACAGCTCCACTGGGATATATAGAATCCTGGCAGTACCTCACCCCTTCTCCTTGCAAGTAGGGATAAAACACTTAGAGGACTAAAATCAGCTAAGTGTTTTGGGAGGTAAAAGAAGCACAGAGGCAAACCTTGCCTCCACACTCCTTGACTTCCACTGGATGCCCATAATCCTTCAAGTTTGGAGGGTTGTAGGCAACCACATTGGATGGATGGATGTCTTTGGATCTGTCCCACAACAGATAATCCATTTGGCTCATTTTGAGAGTCTGTAACAAGCAGATGTGTGTATATACATGAGGTTCCCATGGAAGATTCAAATAGTCCCAGAATGCTTGGTAACTCACAATTCAGGCAGTGCCAAACATACAGCTTCTGAAAAGGGGACATATGCTAAAAATGCGTAAGGCAGGAAACATGCCTCTGGTCAATACCTGGCTGGAGGGATGAACCTTCGGGACACACCATCCTGGCGATTTTCAACAAACAGTTCCTGAAAAGAAGTTCAGCATCAGCTGAGATACCTCAACTTCAGCAGAGCAACATCCACACTCAAATTTGGTTTTTAGAGAGTTAGTCAACATGCAAATAAGCACACAAGCCTTGAAGATGTATACATGAAATGCATTACCCATAAAATATTTTGCCAGTGCAGTTACCTACGTTTATTTAGACATCATGGGCAGAGTAAAATAACATGAGTTATATCCAGATTTAAGTATAGATTGAAACTCAGAAACCGATTTCCCCAACTCGTCTCTGCACAGCCCTTCCCATCCACAGCAAATGCTACACAGATGGTCAGGGGACCCTGCTGAATGTGTGAACGGTAATATATGGGGGGAGGGAGGGTGCCCAAAAATTGGATAGAGACATCTTCTATGAGTGGTGCCATACTGTTAATGAAAGGCTCATCTCAAATCCAACCTTAGGTCTGACAAGTTATATGCCAAACAGGAAACATTTCTTATTTTGGGCTAATGGTAACTGTAAGGCTGCCTTTTGGTCTTACTTTTGGAATAAAACTAATTCTGTACCTCTGTCAAAGCAGTTTCTTCCTCCTGTGTATCCCCCAGTTTTTCTGGAACAGTAGTAAGCAAAGGAGCTAGACAAAAGATAATCAATTACCAATAGAAAACACAGCAGATTGCTAATGTTTTTGGTTTCTGAATGGAGAGTAGTTTAGATGATTCAGCAGGAGCAGAAGACACTCTGCATCTGCACAGAATTACTACTTCCATATTCCTAAAAAGCAAAAATAACAACACTGATCCATGAACACTCCCCCCCCACCAATGCACACAAAGCCATGCCATCCTTGTTAAGGACAAATAGAAATGCCACAGAAGCTTTTAAGTTCTTCAGAACTGTTGATCATTCACTCTGCAATCACCACTTTGGAATTAAGGCTATTCTGCAGATCACAAGATCTGGTTTAACTTTCAAATTTTCCTGTTTCTTCTCCCATCTCCTGCCTCTTTTAACCACCTAGCTTGATGAAAAGTGGTTGGTCTTAATAAATAGATTGCCTAACTGTAGATTCCTCCCACCAAATTTTGGATTCTGTTTTCAATGCAGTAATAACAGGTTCTAGAGCTCAGGCCTCTGAGCTCTAGTGACATCTTTAATGACAATCCTGTACTTCACTCTCCCAGGACTCTCACCTTCATTAGCATCTGCCTTGACCCAATATTTGTGCCTCATGCTGGCATTTTCTTTTTTACCTGTCAGTTCTTGGATGGTGACTTTGTCAAGGACCTTGAAAGATGTGTCCAGTTTAAGCGGTTGGCTACAGCGCTGGCAAACAAAACTGACCTGCATCGTGCAAGCAGGTGACTTTGATCCATCCATATCTGTGGTGCAGAGAAATGGAACAAGGAACCCAGAAACAGAGTATGCTGCTTTCAGCATTCTTAGTGTGAAGACAATAATTATAGAATACCTTAAAGCTTAGGTTTGACATTTCAGTTGTAACCCCTTCCCAGAAGCACCAGCCAAAACAATTTTGCTGCCTAAAGTTTTTGGGTCAGTAGGTACATTTACAATTTTGAAATTATATCAGTCATTCTTGCAAAATGACTACCATTGGGGCACTGCAAATCACAAAATATTTTCTAGAAGGTAAACAGGTGGGATTATTTCTTAATTATATTAGAAGCTTCATTAAAAAGTCTAGCCATTTTACAATTGCTTAGGTCACTCAGATGTAACTGCAACAAGTGACTCTTTCACATTCTAAAGAACGTCAACAGAAGCACCAGTTATATAAGTTCAAAAATTCCCCAGGGCTAGTTTAAATCTCAACAAGAAATGTTTTGACCATGACAAAGGACAAGCTGTAATCTCTCTCCCTCTCAGACCATTATCATCCTGCCCAGTAGGGTAAACCAAATCTAGAGTGTGTGCTGGTAGGTGAGTTGTTGCAGATCCAAGTGGTCTCAGCATGAATATTGAGCTCCCTGAAGGCAAACAGTTGGGAATTAAAAGAAATATAATGTACCCAAGAAATCCTGTACAAAGCACCCACACACTCTTTCTAAAGCCAGCATTTCAGTTAGAATTTCAGTTCGTTTTGAAAATAACACAGAAATTCAGAGAGCCAGGCACAAAGAGAGGGGTCTGCTGGTACACTAATGCCCTGAGGTACTGCCCTGAATACTCCAGAAATAAGATAGTACTTCCCTTCAGGAAACTGGAGTGGCCACTTCTGGTGGTTTGAGGAGGTGAGTGTTAAAAATAAGCTCACCCTAGCCAACAACCAGCCAGATGACAGGCTTTGCTTAGTGCTCAGTGTCTGGACTGCAGTCACTATTTTTAGAGGATAAGCCCCACTCACTGCAGAGGGATAGGGTTGCCATCAGAGTGCAGCGGCTGGATCAGGAATACCCAATTCCATGTATTCTACCAGGGCAGGACTCCATGGCGCTGTGCCTTTCACCTACCTCAATGGCTGTCTGTGCACTAATTCCAGGCACAACACCCAGCGAATGATACTCACACCTCGGGTGGTCGCAAGTGCCCCCTCCCAGGGCCAGTTTAACCTAACTACTCTTCCATCCAACCTCCCGATCAATCTGAGTTTTACAGACGCGTTCTCTTCCGGGGAAAATGCGGTCCCAGGAGTCGGGCAGGGGGCGTTGCAAAGCTAGGCACCTCCCTCATCGTCTCTATGGCTACAGCGGGACACAGGCCTTCTGACCGCTGCTCACGAGAAGCTCTTCGAGGCAGTTCATTTGCTTCACACAACATTACATTTAAATCGCTATACAATATAAATATAGTCCAAAAGTATTACATCCGTACTGCAGCTTCTGGGGACGGCTGTGCCTGAGAAATGGTGATTTACAACAGCCTTACAATGTATGTACTCCGATGTTGTCCCTTCCGTGCTTCTAACACGTCCACCCTCAAATAAAAAAACCTCTGAACCACCAAAAATAAGTTCGTTTCAAGATCACCATTTATCCTTAAGAAAAGCGTGCACTATGAGCCATCTCAGTAGGATTTACCTCCTAGTAAATGCATGAGATTTCACTGTGAGATTGATAACCACTGTAACAATTCTATCTAAAGGAGGGAGCCTATGCATGTTTTGACAGCCGAAAGAAAGAAAGAAAGAGAGAGAGAGAGAGAGAGAGAGAGAGAGAGAGAGAGAGAGAGAAAGTCCTACAACTCCCAGCAGACCGGGAACTGTACGACACAATTCTGTCCCGACTTAAGGCTGTCCGAACTCGCCGATCTTCGGGAACTATCAACATCACAGTACAAACGTTTAAAGTGAGTTTAGATGATGAGGATGATTAACCTCACCAATGGAATTATGCATGATTCTGATCACTCATTTTTAAGATCACGAATGTCGCTACCGTTTAATAGCAATCAAGGCAGTGAAATAGTAACTTCAAAGGCTGCAGCAGAAAATAAGCATACACTGTCGCCACCTTATGTAGTTGGCTATTTTGGACTGCCGCACAAAAACATCGCTGACTGCAGCAAAATTCATCTGCCACCTCCACCCCAAGCCAAACTGAATAGAGATACCTTGTACTCCATTTGCTTTCATCCAGCTAATTTGTACTTTAACTAACTGCCCCACAACAATTCCAAATCGCAGCCAATACGTTTTACTCCCATATTACTGTTTCGAAACTGACTTCAACTTTTCCGTTCACATTTCTGAAACTCCGCCCACATCAAGAGGAAGTTGCTTATTCAGCGCATGCACATTGTGACAGATAAGGGGCAGATGACGAAGACACAAGGGGAATTGACGTTCTTGAAAACGCGCTCGCTGATTGGTCAAAGGAGGACGGTGGCGGGGCATTATGTTGTCACTTCCGGCAACGGCGAAGCCGGTGGTTTGCTCGGGTGGTCGCGCGCGCGGGACAGAAAGAGACGGATCTGGTTAGTGATAGCGGTTTTCCCGACCCGCCATGGCCTCCCTGCTCAAGGTGGACCCGGAAGTTAAGATCAAGGTATGGCGGGAGAGAAAGAGAGAGGGGAGAAAATAAGCGCTTTCGCCACGGCCATGCCGTTGAGCATGTGCAGAGTGTCGAACCCGCTCCTAGGAAGGATCGGGTGTTTCCCTGGCGGACTTCAGTCTCGGCACTTCTCTGTTAACAAAACAAACATAACAAGAGCCTGCTGGTTGCTAGGTCGGAAAGGACTGAACGACTTCCTAACCGAATATTCTTGTCTTTAGTGGTGTCAAGCCCGCTATCCTTCGGAAGAATGCAAACCGGGCAGTATGGTGACCTTGGCCTTACCCTCTTGTTTGTCTCGCGCTGCTGACAACTGGAGCAATACTGCCTCTTACCAGGGGGTTCTACTCTGTAGGGTAATTAGATGTTGTGTGAGAAAGTATCAATTTGTGCCTGTCTAGCAGAAAGTAGGTTTAAGTTGAATCACGATTGTTTTAAATTACTGATAAAAAGTGCTAATTTAAGGCAAGTTTATAACTTCTTAATTCAGATGGTTTCTGACCAAGCATGCATGATATTTGGCTGATAAAATGTGCCTATGTTGCAATGACACTTGTGCTTGTTCAGGAACACATTTCAAAACATTTTGCTGTGCACCAAACTTGCCTTCTGAACTAGCTAGGTTTCATCATTTATTGAGAGGTAAGGGCTCCTTCTTTATATAGGAGCAAGACTTATCTTACATTAAGCAAGATATTATACCTAGAGCTTTCAGAAGAAATGGCCAGTAATTACTGGACAGAACAGTCTTAGATATTCTACTGAAAAGTAAGACCTATTGAGGTCAATGGGGCTTACTCCCAGGTAAATGGAGCTAGATTTGCACCTTAAATGTCCGTGCCATTTGACAATATGGCTATTCGGTGTTTGTTTATTTGTGCTCTTCTTCAGCCATTTTACAATACCGTACTCTCCCCAAGGTAGTTTACAGAATAACAACAATAGAGCTAGTAATTTATGCTAAATATAAACAGTGGATTTCAATAAACTAACATATAATTTCAAAATAGACTAACAGCAAGTACATTAACATTTTAAGGTTCATGGAGAACTACAAGTTTTCAACACCTGCATAACAGCTGCAGTTAGGGTAAGAGTGATGTTTCTCAAGAGGGAATTCTCTAGGGTAAGGTCATCACTTTGCACAATTAATAAATACAGTCAATAACCTATCATGGAGTGTTAAAGTTTGACTCAAAAATCAGATTATTGCTCTGGAGATACTATATATGAATGAGGTGGTTTTAGTTCAATTGTTTTGATAGAGGGTGTTGGAATATGGGTTTAAGAAATTATGAGTGTGCCCTTAGTGTAGAAATGCTCATTAGATAGTCCCTTAATCTGAGATTGCTGCAACGTGTCCAGACCTATAGATACTCAGATTTGCTGTTAATTTTTTTCTTTTCAGTTTTCCTCTTAATCCTTAACAAATCCTATAAGGCTGTTTACAATAGAACATCATGCTCATGTAGGTATAATGTAAGTGCACCGTTCCCTAACCCCTTGGTGCCCTCAAGTTTTCATCAGCCTCATTGCATGTATGGCCAATGATCACAGCTGTAGTCAAAAACATCTGGAGGCCACGAGGTTGGGGAAACTGTGTAATTGCTATGTGAATGGACAATAAAAAAGAAAATTTCTATCTTACCTTTGTCATGAAGTAATGTTTGTGTTTTATATTCAGCATGGTGCACAAGGCAATTATTTTACCAATAATAGACTGAAGAATAAAATAATACATTAAAACAGTAATGAAAACGCAAATTAAACCCAATGAAAATCCAACAAAATCCAAACAGCATCTAATTTAATAGGACGCACTCAGCTACACACCAGCTTACATGCCAAAGGCCTTTTGGGGGGGGCGGGGAGACGTGTTTGCATGACAGCAGAAAAACAACAGAGAAGGGAGCCAATTTAACCTCCCTTAGTAGGGAATTCCAGAGATGGTCAACATGTGCCTCTCCTGGTGCTTTTGCCTATAACCCCATCATCCTTTAACCACTGGCTGGGCTGATGGGGGTCATAGGTCAAACATGTGGAAGGCCACAAACTGCCCAGTCCTTATTTATTTTGTCCCTGCTACCCAAGATTTTTAAAACTAGAGATGAGGACTTTAATCTAGAATGTTTGAAATGCAAACTATGTGGTCAGCCCCTAAGCTGTGTCCTATTTCCAGTATGGCCTTTCTTTTAGTCAATTGTTTTGTAGTACCCACTCAAAACCAGAAGACCCTAAATTGGGCCCAATGCACTAGGCACCTTGAGTGGTGAAAGGCTGACACCTAGAAAGTTGGCACTATTTTTTCATAATTCGATGGTGGCACATGACTCTTTGGGTCATTTTTTCCAGTATCATCATCAAGCAACTGTTAATGGTCTTACACATGTATGAGAAGGTCACTGCTGAAGCAGCCTCAGAAGGAAGGGAGATGTCCCAGCTCTGAGACCATGCAATCTCAGAGTTAAGACTCGAAAGAACAAGCACCTCCCCCCCCTTTGAAGCCAGTTCAGAAAGAATTGTGTCAGCTGCCTCTCAACTAAGGTCTCAACTTGGCCTTGGAAGGGAGAAAAGGGTCATAGTGGTGGGAGGCTGGGGCCGCAGGGTTATACCAGTACCAATTGGCACCCCAGTCTCCTTTCATCCGTGGTGCGAAATCTCAATGGCTGGAAGCAGTCATCTAGACAAAAGGCAGGGCATGAAGCCTGCCCATGATCACTACCACCGCACTTCAGAGCCTGCATTAGATCCTTATAAGCCTCTGAGTTTACTGATGTATAAGTAAAGTTTCTGGCCTGTTGTTTCTCAGGGTTTCCCCTGATGAGGACTGAACCTCCTGTGACAGCCATTATAAGGGAAGTGAAAGAGAGATGCTCCTTCTTCTAGATCAGCTCAGTTGGCACCTGTGCTACTGGGAATTCTGCCTGACAGCACTGGGAAATACACCACAGATGTGTCTGAGGAAAGGGTATTTTTTTAACCCTCCATTATACTGTTGCAAGGGTAGATTCATTTCTATCCTGCCCCCTCCCAAAGCTAGACTCCCAATTGGTTTTCACATGAGCAATATAACATATAGTGATGCTATGTGACTTCTCTACTCAGCACTGGACAGGCCTCATCTGGAGTACTCCATCCAGTTCTGCATGGGAAAACTTAAGAAAGTTGCAGAAAGAGTTCAGAGGAGGGCAGCAAGGATGTTCAGGGGACTGGCAACAAAGCCCTGTGGGTAGAGATTGAAAGAACTGGGCCTGTTTAGCCTGGAGAAGACGGAGGGAAAATATAATAGCATTCTTCAAATACTTGAAAGATTGTCAAAAAGAGGAAGACTAGGATCTCTTCTCAATCATCCCAGAATGCAGGACATAGAATAATGAGCTCATGTTACAGGAAACCAGATTCTGGCTAGATATCAGGAAGAACTGACCGTTAGAGCAATGCAACAATGGAACCAATTACCTAGGGAGGTTGTGGGCTCTCTCACACTGGAGGCATTCAAGATGCTGCCATCTAAGAGGGATGGTTTAATGTAGAGTCCTGCACTGAGCAGGGGGCTGGACCTGTTACCCTTCTTGGCCCTTTTGAACTCTATGATTCTATGCACAGCTCTGGCACACATTATCGGGATAACATTCCTTAGATATCCCAGTTGCTGGAGATCACAGGCAAATGGGTGCTGTTGCACTTATGTCCAACTTGTGGGTTTTCTGTGGCAGCTGGTTGGCCACTGTGTGACAAGAATGTTGAAGCAGATGTACCCTTGGTCTGATCCAGCATGGCTGCTCTTACACATGCTTGGACCACTGTATTTTATCCAGTTCAGATGTGGTGCTCTAAGTTGCTTTTCTTTACTCCTACAGGTAGATTCTTTCAGGGAGCGGATTACAGGTGAAGTAAGTGTCTGTTTCATTCCCATCAATTTCATTTAATGCTTAAGGATAACTAGAAGAGTTTTTGGAAATGTGACTGGAGAGCCTTTGCTGGCTTTCAGAACATTGGGGTTACCAGGGAGGAAGTTTGCCTGTAGGAGTGGTCTGTTGGGATCAGTGGTATCTAGAACTTCTGTCCCTTGCTTTTGGAAGTTGCTCAATTCTGAAAGGGCCAGTTCTTTTTCTTGTTCCTGTGGGTTCATACAGAGCCTTGATCTCAGCCTCATTTTTCTGGTTCCCATGCAGAAGTTTTTAATGTTAGTTTGTGCATCCCAAATGGCTGTTCTTTCTCTTTCAGGCTGAAGATCTGGTGGCAAATTTTTTCCCAAAGAAGCTTTTAGAACTTGATGCATTCCTTAAGGTAATGCTGGGAGACTTGCTGTCTCTTACTGAGTGTTCTTGCTTTGTGAATGGCAGCCTCTTAAGCTAGATGTTAAGAGGCTGCCATGAATACCAGTTTTTGACAAAGTGTGGGGTTCACATTTAGCTGGCTCTGTGTAGTAACATGTGATGAACCTTGCCCAATTACCATTCTGCTGTGTCTGTTCTTCTTTAGGATCCTATTTTGAATATTCACGATCTCACCCAGATCCACTCTGATATGAACCTTCCTGTTCCAGACCCGATCCTGCTGACAAACAGTCATGATGGACTGGATGGAGTAAGATTGCTCATCAGGGTGTAATACTTAATTCTGCTCAAAATAGCATCATGCTTAGAATTACTGGAGTGACAGGGGAAAGCTCTGTGTGAACTGAGAGCACAAAATTGCTTTGTAAGGGTCCTTGTTTCCCTGTTTTGCTCCACCTTCAAGTATTGTGCATACACTTAGGATTTTCTGATTGTTTTTTCAGCCCAACATGAAAAAGAGAAAGCTGGAAGACTGTGAAGAAACCTTCCAGGGTAAGTGCCCAGATCTCTGTTGTACTGTCTGTCAGTGTGAGCTTGAGAAGCTGATTGGGTCTTTCGCCTCATTTGCAAGGTGTCTTGTAATCCAGAATCCTAAAAAATTGACCCTCTGTCAAGGGGTTTATGTAAATAAAAATACTTATTTTGTGTCCATCCCTTTATATAATTGTATATCTCCAAGACAACACTTTGGTGCTAGAGATAATCCTCTCAAATGTCCCAGTTTTCCTGCCCTACTGTGCCATGAGACTGGCTTGTATATTACTGCCATGCCATGGTAATGGTGAAGAGTGTTACTGGGTCTTCAGCAGGACAGGAAACTCTGCAGTTCTTTGAGCAATCCCAGGACGCATCATTTGCAACCTGGCTCATGTTTTCAGCTTCCATTTTTCTTCCTATGAATTAAACTCAATTGATTTCCCAAGAAAAAAAGCCAAGCACTGGCATCCCACAGTTAAAAGTGAACTAAAACCCATTTAAAAAAAAAAAAACTACCAAAAACCGGTTCCACTCAAATAATAGCTAAACTTTTGAAGTCACTTGTAAGGCATTATACAGTGTTTTGCAGAAGTGTTCACCCCTTTTGACTTTTCCACATCTTGTTGCATTACAACCTAATATTGAAATGGACTTAATCAGTGTTGCTACAGTTTGATGTACACAGGATACTTGATACTGTGAAGGTGCAAAATATTTTCACTTGTGACGCAAAAGTTAGGTACTCGTAAGCAAGATCAAAGTAGGCACTTGTTGGTTGCATAAGTATTCACCCCCAGCTTAAGTCAGTACTTGACAGAAGCATCTTTGGCAGCAAATACGGTTGTGAGTCTTCTTGGGTAAGTCTCCATCCAGTCTTTGTATCTGGATCCTGCACTGCATGCCCATTCTTCCCAGCAAAATAATCACTGCTGAGGAAAAGTCATTTCTATAACATGATGCTGCCACCACTATGCTTCACTGTGAGGATGGTGCTCTTGGGACAATGTGCATTGTTGACTTTGTGCCACACATAGTGTTTCTCAACAAAGCTAAAAAGTTGGGTTCTGATCTCATCAGACCACAGAACCTTTTTCCGTGTATTTGCTGTGTTTTATTTCAAAATGATTTTGATACTTTTTTTTAAGCAATGGCCTTCTTCCCACCAGTCTTCCATAAAACCCAGCGTTTTGGATTATCTGGGTGATAGTTGTCCCATGGACAGATTCTCCTATCTCGGCTGCAGGTCTCTCCAGCTCCTTCAGAGTGGCCTCTTGGTTACTTCTGTGACAAATGCCCTCTTTACCCAGTCACTGAGTTTTCTGGCTGGCCTTCTCTAGGCAGAGTAGCAGTTAAGCCATTTCCTTCCATTTTGTAATAATGGACTTAGTGGTGCTCTGGGGATGTTCAAAGTTTGTGTGTGTGTGGTGGAGGGAGAGTTATAACCCAACCCTGGTTGGTTCAACTTCTGCACAACTTTATCCTGGACTTATGTTAATAGCTCCTTAGGTTTCATAGTGCTGTTGGTTGAGAGATACTTTCCAATAAACTTGCACCTTCCAGAAAAAGGTGCATTTCATTGGAGATCATGTGGCATGAATTGCTCACATGTCCACTCCCTTCAACTTCTTACAGTATTCTGGGAGCAGTGGGTTGCACCAGAGTTTATTCAGGCATCTTACAGCAAAGGGGATGAATATTTATGCAGTCAAGAAGTGCCAGGAGATTTTTTTTTAGTTAACAATAATAACATTTTGCATTTTTACAATGCCAATTAAATCCAATTCAGTTCCAGGTTGTAACACAGAAAAAGTGCTGAAGTCAAAGGGGGTGAACACTTTTGCAAAACACGTTTGCAAAGCATTGCAAAGTCAAAATTAATAATGTTACTGTAAGTAAGAACAGGCATTTCACATTTGGACAATGGTCCTGAACAAGGCACCCATGGGCTCCATGGAGCTCACAAAGTTCTTTATTTCCTACTCTCTTCAAAAAAATACTTTTAATGAAACAGTGGGGCACAAAGTGCTTTTTCCTGTTCCTGAAGCTGCCACTGATCTGCTGTTAAGTGAGCATGAAGAAAAAGGAAGGCAAAGAGCTAGAGGCTAGGAGAGTAAGAACCAGCTTAGTAAAGAAGTAGAGAGAAGAGAAGTAGTGAGGTTGGAGAAAGGGAAAGGAGAGAGTAAAAGCAAGGAGGAAAGGTCTGTGGAGACAGAAGAAGATTGGGTGGGCCAGGATGCCACACTTCCCATTTCCTCTTCCCTCTCAGGCTCACTATTTCTGCTCTCCATCACTTCTTGACTAGCCAAGTCCCTGTGGCAGCCATTATATGACTAACCACATCTTCCATGAGAGCCTGTGTGTTTGTGTGTGTTGGCCCAGACAGTGGTTCTGAAATTCCTAAATCTGCTCACAGGTCCAAGAAAGTTAACTAACTTTAACTGTTGTGCAGAAGAATGCAGCTTATTGGGTACAGCTTTTCAGATTCTTGCAGCACTGCAATATGACAAGCAGAATTTCCTTCTTCTGCAAGTACTTAAAGATGATACAGAAAAGATGGAAATTTTTATTTTATTGAGCTTAAAAGTTGTGGTGGAAGTAAGAATAAGCCTGTCCAGTGTTGGAAATGAAAAGTAGGTGTCTGCATGAAAAAGCTTGGGTAGTCACCCGAGTGGCAAGCAAACTCTCACTCACTCCCTTAATGGAATAAATGGCTAGTCTCTTCTCATGCCACCAGGTACCAAAGTCTTTGTCATGCCTAATGGGATGCTGAAGAGCAACCAGCAACTAGTGGACATCATTGAAAAAGTGAAACCTGAGATCCGGCTGCTGATTGAGAAATGCAACACGGTGAGCACTGGGTTGACTCCCCTACCCCCACACCTACCACAATCCCAAGCTGACATAGTTCTCTAATCAATGGGCTTTGTCAGCATCACTGCTTAGATAGATTGAGGTCCCTAACTCTTCTTGTCAGTCTCAGTTTAGGAAGAGGGGCACTCACTTTCCTGTGGATTTTGACTGTTCCTTACCAGGTTTGGTCCCATGTGTTGTGGCAGATCATTCCAGTTCTCACTGAAGTAGTAAGCCTGCATCACTTCAGATGATACCTTAGCTGACCATACAAAAATAAATTCCTATTCAAAGACAGCCGGTGTACTAGGTGAAGCCTAGGTTTGAAACAGGTCTGACCCATTGGTTTTCTTGAAGATAAAGTTTTTGTTTGTTCTCAACGTTCTGATCTTTTGAACTGTTTATTTGAAGACATCTGACTTCCCCTGGCTTCTATAATCTGACCAACTCAGTGAGGGTTGGGCCAATAATTGGGTTTGAATGCAGGTGGCTAGGGTTGAAATGCTTGGTCAGTTCTCTTGTTTTCAGAATACTCTGGAACAAGTTTATCTTTCTCAGCCTGATCTTCATGGCTTACATGCAGAGCAGCCTGCCAGAATATCCACCAAGCTAGTGACACTTTTCCTTGTGACATTCTGCCCTGCAGGTCAAAATGTGGGTGCAGCTATTGATTCCCAGAATAGAGGATGGCAACAACTTTGGTGTTTCTATTCAGGTAATTATTATTTTTGTTTTTATTTGATTATATATTTCTAGCCTGCCCCATAGCTGAAGCTCTCTGGGTGGTTTACAATCAACAGTTGAGGTGAGAACCCTGAGAAATTGCCGGGTGGGGGTGTTCTTTCCTGTAGTGCTTTTTGAGCTAGCTGGGGAAAGGGCCAGGGGTTCGGAAGCTTATCTTGCAGACAAAAACAAATCAGGCTCATCTTATTTCCTGACCTGGACTCTCAGCCCACGTGAGACTGGTGAGGAGGCTTTGGGAGAGCTGGGGAAATGGACTGCTTGCCACTTGGGGCCGGGGGTGTTCTAGCTGATGTGGCTGTGCTCCTGGTGAAAGTCTGATCAGAACTGACTCAGGGAGTGGACACGACCACTCCTAAGCATCCTCTCTGTTGTAGAGGTCATACAGGTCCAGGGTATACCCAGAGCTGAGTACAATGAAGTTATGGGCATATAGATGGAGGATGCATCAAACCCTGGTGTGCGCCTACAGTCAGGCATGTCAAGAGGCAGTGAGGGTGGCAAAGAGCCAGCATCTCACTGCCTTTATTCAATACTCATTTTATTTCCAACGTTCGTCTTCCTCATGCCATTTCTGCAATTCCGTGTTACCCACCTGTACTCTTCCTTCCACTTGCGATACATGTTCTTTTTGTTTTCAGGTGGTCTCTAAGCTTTCTGTGAAGCCACATGGGTTTCTTCTGCTGTTGTCTACCTTTTTTCCTTGTTGGAATTGTTTGTAATTGTGGCTTTAGAATTTCCTTTTTTCAAAAATTTCCCACCCATCTTGGACTTCTTTTTGTCATTTGAGTCACTTCCCATGCTACTTTACTTATCATTGTTCTTAGTTTATTAAATTGGCTTTTCTAAAATCCATGGTGTGTGTTTGGCTGTGCTTGGCTTTTGCTTCCTTTAGAATCAAGAATTCAAGTAATGTCGTGGTCACTTTCTCCCAGAACGTCTGTAGCTGCTACTTTGTCCACCACATCTTCCATGTTGGTAATCTATGCCCTGGCAGTCACTAGATTACTACAATCTGCTGTATGGGGGGCTGCCCCTTAAACCACAGCTCATGTTGAACGTAGCAGCCAGGTTGTACCTGGGACCCATAGGTCTGGACAGCTGACACCAGTTTTAGTTGACTTGTATTGTCATATAAACTTCCAAACCCACCAGTATGCTGGTTTTAACTTAGAAAGCCCTACACGGCTTGGGACCACAATACTTTTTGGAGTGCCCTTTCTAAACACAATCTGCCTGCATACCGCACTCAACCTCTGGGACCTTTCTCTGAGAGCCAACTGCAAGGGAAGCTCAGAGGGTGCCAACCAAGGGGGAATGCTTTCTCTATGCTGGACCCCCCAACCTTGGAATAACCAGCCCACAGCAGCTCACCTGGTATCAAACTGGTAATCTTTTCAGTTGCTAAGTTAAGGTGGCTCTTTATGCCAAGGTTTTTAAAGGTATACTTGGTCTTTCAGGGTCATTAGGGCAGGGGTCCTCAAACTTTTTAAACGGGGCCAGTTCACTGTCCCTCAGACTGTTCGGGGGCCAGATTATAGTTTGAAAAAAAAAAACTAATTCCTATGCACACTGCACATTAAAATTAATTAAAATTAAAATTAATTAATTTTAAAAAATAATTTAAAATGTTTGCTCTGCTTGCTTGGGCTGCAGCAGAAGCCCAAGATGAGGTGGGGAAGAGCATGTCCATATTCAACAGACATAGCTACAATGTCTGCGATCGTGCTGGGAGGGAGGGGAAGATGGGTGTGCTCATGCTAGGTGGGGGAAGACGGACATGGTCGCACTTGTCCAGGGAAGACTGGCATGATCACAGGTGTGCTCATGCAGGGAAGGTGGGCGCAATCACGGCCATCTCCCCCCTCCCTCCAACACCACTGCGATCGCAGCTGTCTTCCCTGTATGAGCACAACCACAATTGCAGCCATCTCCCCCCCGCCACCCCAGCACGATCATGGAGGGAAGGGGGGTGTGATCACAGGCACACTCGTGCAGGGAAGGCGGACGCAATCACGGCCATCTCTTCCCCCACCCCAGCATGACTGCGCCCATCTTCCCTGCACGAGCACAACCACGATCGCAGCCATCTCCCCACTGAGTACGCCTCCACTGGCTCAGAGCTTTTGGACTCGCTTGGAGATTGTTTTCTCCGAGCAAGTCCAAAAACTCTGAGGTAGGCCTGATAAATCAGCATGGCAGGCCAGATTCAGCCTGTGGGCCATAGTTTGAGGACCATGCATTAGGGGGATTACCCATTCCAGATGTTTTTCTTTTACAGAATTAATTCTTCAGTGTATGTTTTTAGTTTTTAATGCTTTTTTGATAACATGCTTTTTAATGACAATTTTCTTTTTCTTGTATTGTGTTTATGTACTGTCATAAAGTGCCCAAAGAGCTTTGGATATTGAAATTAATAATACAGAAATGAAATTAATAATAAGCAACAACTCAGCTGCCTCTCTGGAAGCAGCTTCCCTGGTATGGCTGTCTTTGTTAGAGCTTTCCCTTCCTAATTGGAGAACTATTTCTGTCTGTCCTGGACTTAGATGTTCTTTCACCAAGGTGGGGACCCATCAGCGTGGCCTCTGCAATCACAGATTATCCAGGCCTACAAACCCTGGATATGAATGGGTCTTCCTTTAATATTTTCTTCCTGTCTCTCACCCTTGCAGGAAGAGACTGTGGCTGAGCTCCGAACTGTGGAGAGTGAGGCAGCTTCATATTTGGATCAGATCTCTAGGTGGGTGCCTTCTCAAGAATCTGAGAGGGCTCTCCCTCCTAAGTGCAGCCTCTCACCAGCAGAGGGGGCATGTCATCCATTGAGCTGCTTCTCTGCTTCCATTTCAGATACTACATCACAAGAGCAAAGCTGGTTTCTAAAATAGCAAAATATCCCCATGTGGTAAGTATAGAGTGCAGCTGCATTAAATTTATAATTAAAATACAGAATTAGAACTTTAAGAGCATTAAAAACAACTAAAAGAACATTGTTACTGTGAAGTCATGGCTTTTCCATTTTTGTAGATTTGGAATAGGAGTTATTTTCAACCAGTTCTCAGTATGTATTTATTTATTGTATTGCTAGCCCGCCTCTTTTCCTTTCAAGGAACTCAAGGTGGCTTACATAAATCTTTTCTCAATCTTATCCTCACAGCAACAACCCTGTAAGGTAGGTTGGATTGAGAGTCTGTGACAGACCCACAGTTGCTCAGTTGGCTTCATGGCTGAGCAGGGACTAGAACCCAGATCTTGTGAGTCCCAGTCCCACACTCTTAAATACTACACTGCACTGGCTCTCATTCCAATCTCAATAGTCAAGCCCTTTACTGTAAGTGGGAAGGAGATATACTGAGAGAGACCCTCCGAAGGCAGTAGTTTTCCAGAATATTCTCAGCTCAGTTCTGATCTCAGGGGCAGTCCCTCTGTTGCAGCCAGTCTGTAGAGTCTAGTAGTGGTTGCTAAATATCTGTCTTTGTAGGAGGATTACCGTCGTACAGTGACTGAGATGGATGAAAAGGAATACATCAGTCTGCGTCTCATTATTTCGGAGCTCAGAAACCAATATGTAAGTCATCCATCAAAGCTTCTTTTAAAGCCTCCCCATCTATTAGCCTCCTGACTTGTTCTCCTTGACTTTCCTTTTGGCATTAGCTTTTTCTTTGTGGCCTCCATTTGGAAGGGGCAGTAAGAGCCACTCCTGCTTTCATATGCTGCATCTTCTGACCTTGCCTTTTAAGGCCAAGAAAGGCAGTTGCTCCTGAACTGCCTTCAGCTTAGGCTGCAATGTAAGAGTAAGCCCACTTTCCTCTCCTGACCTGAAATGGTCAGCAGATGAACTCAAGAATCCCCCTTTGGATCTCCTCTTAATCCTCTTTTGGATTGAGAGACTCAAGAAGGGGGCGCATGTTTTTGTTTGCTTGGAACAGTTGCCGACACTTTGAGATAAGAAAAAGAGTGGCCTGTCTATTAGAGGAGGTGAATCATGTTTATCATGTTTATTGCATGGCTGCTGAAATACTTGCCAAAAAGGATTGAAACCGTGGAAAGAACTCATTTTTATGCAACTGTAAAGGCTGACAGCGGTACTGAATGTGTGGATGTTGTCCTTGTGAATTCATTATCAATATTGCCAGGTCTTTCACTAAAATACATCTGTAAGGATTTGTTTTTGCTAACTCTAGATGCATCTGTCTATTCAAGAGGGAGAGTTCAAACATTACTGTTAACCATAGCTTCACATGACAAGAATGACCCACAGCAAGCTTGGGTTTGCATGCTCCCGGTTCCCCTCTCCTGCTCTGGTACAGCTATGAGGAGGAACTTGGAAGCCCTCACTTCCATCTTTGCTCAACTTACGCTTTTCAGTGGTGTCCTTACTTTCATTCATGTTTGCTTATTTCTGACAAACCACAGTTAACTTCAAACCAGACTTTATAAGCTGCTTTACTTTTGAATATCAGTTGATTTTAACTAACTATGGTTTAAGGCAAGTGTGCAGAAGGGCTGCAGACCACATGCAGCCTCCAAGCCATTTCTAGCAGCTACTAGACTCCTCTGTGTATGCTTATCCTTTGCTTGTCTCCAATCTCTCACTGGGATGCCAGTGTGGAGAGGAGACCCTGGCTGCAGCGTGTTTGTGTGTACATGCCTTCCCTTCCTATGCCAGAGTACATGTGTATGCATAACCTTCAGATTTCCCCACTCCTGCTCCTGGCAAAACTATTTGATCTTCAGGGCCAAAATGTTTGGGCACCCTGGTTTAGGGATTGTTGAGATAGATAACATTGGTCTACAAATTTTGGGAAATTATCGACCTCCAAGATAAAATGTGCTAATTCTTACATATTTTGAGGAGATGAATTATAAAACAGGTGAGAAAGGTGCTGGTTGGCTAAAGTTTTCAAGATATTTCACAATAAAGAGTTTTACACAGGCGAGTATATTTGCCTACAAGGGAGGGAGGTGTCTGATGTTCATGATGCCTCGTGACTTCTCGACAAAGTACGGTAGAACAATGAAAATGGTACCACATGGAAGTGTATCAATTTATCTTCACTTTGAGACTAAAGATTATTACCTAACTGTAATTTATTGTTCTTTTATTGTAAGGTACATTTTTCTTGGTCAGACCTGCACATCATACAGTTACATCTGGTGGCTTGTGAAAGTGTCATTGCTTAACATTTCCAAGGAACGGTTGTGTGATATTTTCCCTCAGAAGCTGAGATGCCTCAAAACTGTGTAAACAGCACAGATAACTTCTGCTACATTTGTGGCGATGTTACATTTGCATCTCAAAAGTGCAGCATGATGGCAGTGGTAAAAAAGGCACGCCACTATATTTTGGATGCAAAATAGGGGAGCAGGACAAGAGTTGGGCCCCTCATTATTGTTGCATTACATGTGCAACTTATCTGCGTCACTGGCTAAACTAGAAGAAAAAGTTCATGCCTTTCACAGTCCCAATGGTGTGGAGGGAACCCACTGATCATAGTAGCAACTGCTATTTTTGCATGGTTCCCCCAACTGCAAAAGGGATCTCAAGAAAAAAGAAGTGGACCATGGAATATCCAAACATTCCATCCACACTGCATCCTCTACTCCATGGTGAGGACTTGCCAATTCCAGATTCACCAGAATCCTACTCTCTTAGACTCAGATGATGGTAAAGACGATGAGCAGGATGCAGCTGATCCAATGTCAGTGGGCCCAAACTTTAGCTCACTGTATGCTCCTCCTGAACCACGTCTAATTTCACAGAGTGAACTAAATTTATAATGATCAGTGTAGCACCATTCTCATTGCTATATCACATTTTGCAGAAAAGTTATGGATCATAATCACACATCCCCCTCGTAATTCTGAATTATTTTGATCTGAAGCTGTATCTTGGAAAGTGGAGCCAATTAATACTCAGGACTTAATTTTCCTTTATTAGCGACACAGTTCTGGTAGAATTTAGCTACTTCCATTTCCGAGGCATTCTCCTTATAGACCAGTGTAATGGGACCATGTTGGGACAAAAAGTGAAACCACAAATAATGGAAAAGAGATGTAAAAGCTTTTGAGCTCTTTGCAGCCTCATCAGGGAAGGTGTGGGAGTGGGGAGCATGCAAGTCAGACTCTCGCTGCAGCTCGTCCTCCTCATCCTGCACAACAATTGTTCGGTTTGCAGGACATGCGTGGTAAACCTTATCCTCCCAGAATGAAAAGTAATCCAGCATCTCCTCTCCCACTAGGTGACTCTGCACGACATGATCCTAAAGAACATTGAGAAGATCAAGCGACCCCGGAGCAGCAATGCAGAGACCCTATACTGAGCTCTCAACATTCTGAACTTATGAACTGTTCAGTAGGCTCAAGACAGTCTTTGCCTTGGTTTATGTGACTATCAGGATGGGGAAGCCGACTGGAAACAGTCCTTGCCACACTTCTAGTTAAAAATCTAAAGAAACTCTCTCCTTATTCTTTCTGGTTGGTTTTTATTTGGGTCGTAGGAGTTGCCCCCAAATCTTTGACATCTAGAAAGTATGGGGCAGAGCTTCTCTTCCTACTTAGGTGGGAACAGAGTAGTGGCCAATCTGTTCCAGGCAAGGATCTCAATGCCAGCAGCCCTGAATACCTGCTCTGTAGCAGCCCAAAGGAACTCTTCTTCTAGGTAGTTCATCCCTTGACTAGCCATCAGCAGAATCCAGTCCTGCTGAGAGCTGAGCTGTTTCAACATTAGTTCCACCACTTCAGTCTTCCCTCTGAAACTGCAGTTTGGGGAAATGAGTGCCCTTTTCATCTTATACAGCTGTCCTTGTAACCTGTTCAATCATGCAGATTTTAATGCCACTATAAATTAATCTTTCTATCCCCTACTTGATCCATTAGATTTGAAGTTTTGAATCCATGTTTATCTCTTCCAGAGATTGACAAGTAAGTAGCTTTCCTTTTGATATGGCACTCCTCTATCCGACAGTGAATCCTAATGTAACATTTGAGTTTAGGGGGCATTCACTGGATCTTGAGTTGGGGCAAGGCAGGCCTGCTTAGACTGTTGGTCCAGCCAGATAAGTTTGTTTAACAGCAGCATGATAGTTCAACTGCTGAATATCTAAATTCTCTCTTTTTCCTCATCTTTTTTTTCTTTCTCCTGCCCTAATAAGCAAGCCAGCAATGGTATTCAAGAGAGGTCCTGTGTCTAAATTAATTCTTTGGGCCTCAGTGTTGATCTTTATTAGTCTTGAAAGGAAGCTGGAAGGGGCACCAACTACCTGGGATGTTACAGTTTTCCTTGAAATGTCCTCCTAATCTTTATATTCCTCTTGTGCAGTAGTCTTGTGAGTGGTGTTAGACTTGTAAAAACAGTGGCAGGGTAAATGAAGTTTCTTGGCCTTTCTCCGTCTCCTTTTGATTGTTTTTTTTTTTTTTTAATCCTCTGCAGCTATTAAGGGCTCAGGAAGCACATTTTCCCTGGGCTCCTTGCAAATGCCTTTGTCATTGTCATTTGTAGCTGGGCAAGCCATAGTCTTCCCTGTGGCAAAGGCTCTTAGTGGTTCTCACTGTAGCTGCTACCCGAGAGCAGCCCGCCCATCCTTCCCCTGTGTTTCTTTGTGTCAGCGGCTTTGTTGGATTGTTCATATATCCTTGCCATGTTGAACGTATGTACAACTTTTACTATGTCAACAAATTAAAAGTAATAGGTACTTTGAATTCATCCTCAACAGTCACCATGTGTATGAGTGAGTTGGTGATCAGGGTCTTTGCCTGTGGCTCAGTCACTCGCGTGCCATCTTGCTTGCACCTGTGTGGATTTCATGGCCCCATCCACCTCCACCCCTTATCAGCAATGAGCTATAGCACTGAGGCTCCAACTTCAATTCTCTCATCTGAGCTTTCTGAGTAGAGTCCTCTTGGACACAGCTGTGAGGCAAGACTGGAAAGCTCTATACTGGTAAAGGAAGCAAGGATGTCCATTTCCCAACTTCTGCTTCTGACACTTAATACTTTGCACCACATAATTAGTTGATCTTGGCTGTGTCTGGCTCCTAAGACATGAAGGAATTGAAAAACTTGAAAGAATTGAATATTCAGTACATTGTAGTATAGATTCCTGGTCCCAACTGACTTTAAGGCTGAATTAATATTGACCAAATCAGCATGGGGCATGCAGAGGTCTCTGTTTAGCATGGGTGCCTTTTGTGTCAGAGGGTTAAGGAAAATGTTGGCTATGTTATGGATGTTATAGATAAGGATGTCAGTTAGGCTTTGTGAAAAGCTGTTTCCAAATAAGGAGGTCTCTCCATAGCACCCCTTCAGGATGACACTGTGCCACCATCTTTGCTAGTTTGCCCTGCTTCACATTACAGAGGTGACTTGAGTACATCAACAGCTCTGCCTCTGCAGTTCCCCCTCAGATATGGAGGAGTCAGTTCTAGCCAGACTACAGTGAGCTTTGCTAGAGAGAATATAACTGCACGGCATGGATACATGTTGACATCCTAACTTTTAAACTTCCTGGGGAAAGCTAACATGACAGAGGTATAGAGTGTTATGCATGGTGTGTCCAAAAGAATGAGGGAGAAGTTATACTAAAATTACAGAGTCATTCAGTTAAGCTGAATGATGGGAAATTTCAGGCAGCTAAAAGGAAATACATTTTTACAAGCCTATAGTTAAACTATGATATTTGCTACTGTAAAATGTCATAATGGCCACCTGCTTTGGTGACTTTAAAGGGGATGATTTGGATGGCTTAGCCTTCTCTTCCATGAATTTGCCTATATGGCTACTAGCCAGTATGGCTACATTCTGTCTCCAGTATCAGATGCAGCTGTATGCTAGTTGCTATAGAACATGAGTGGGAAGGTGCTATTGCACCTTCCATGTTGTGGGCTTCTCGTGGTTGTCTGCTTGGCCACTGTGGACCTTTGATCTGATACAGTGTGGCTTTTATGTTCTTTTGAGGTCCATGCTAAGAACCCTGTAATATTCAATTCCAATTTCCTTCTGTCTGGGGTCCCCAATGTTTTTCAGGCCCATAAGCACATTTGGGGATCTCAAAAACTGCTATGAGCCCCATTCAAAATACCTCCCATGGAGGCTATGTTGCCATGGGGCCTTGCTTGTCAAGAGATGATGAGGGAATTCAAATGGCCAGGCTAGAGACTGGGAGGAAAATGGGGAGAATTGCTTACTGGCTCACCCAGTCTTCTTCCAACCACACAGAACTTCCCCTTTGTTCTTTCTCTCTACTCCCAGCCTCCTGCCTTGCTATTTCTTTCTCTTCCTCATCCCTAGCATCCCTTCCTAGCTTCTGGCCTCATTATTTCTTTATCCTCTGCACCTCATTGTTTCTCTCCCTCCTTAGCCACTAGCCTTGCTCTTACTCTTCCAACTACTCCTTTGCCTTGCTTTCTACTGAGCAGCTAATCTACAGAAAATTCAGGAGCAGGAAGAAAAACCTGTCACCCTATGTTTTTCAATATTCTTCCTTTTTTTAGAGGCAGGGAATGAGGAACTTTGCAGGCACTACTGGATGTGTCCATGGGCATCATGTTAGATACCCCTGCCTTACTGTTGCCTGGACTTTGCCCCATATTAGCAGCCTGGGTTTGAGAAAAAGGAGAGCTTAGATGTTCAAGCCTTGCATTTATTACCCAGTTTGAATGATGCAGCAACCCACCATAACTGATAGCTATGGTGTGTTTTATCGTGAGAACTGGGCATAATTTCTGCAGGGTGGCTTGCTTCTCCCAAGCAAGACATCCTGAGAACTCACAGATTGTTCTAAGCTTGTTGATATCCATTGTGGCTTGTATGGTCCAATTGTTGGGAGCCAGCTGGTGAAAGCAGTGAAAGCCTCTGCTGCTTTGCATGTCTTATCTGCTGTGTCAGCCCTTCCTCATCCCTTCTTGGTGTCCTCCACCCCAAACTCCTAAAATAGTGAAGAAAATATATCGAGAGTACCTAAACCTGTCCACAACTTCCTATTTTATTTTCACTCCAGTGCAAGTGTGGTGGAATAAATGATATCTGCTAGTCAATTTATGCAGTGTGCATCTCTGTTTGACTGCTCAGGTTTGAAATTTGTATAATTTTGGACTTAATTTTACTTCTTTGCTATGAGATTTATGCAATTCTCCTCTTCATGGTGCTGCTTTGCCATGAGATATTTGCTGCTGTTTGACTGCTCTGCCTAAAAAATTGTGCAATTTCCTCTTCCGTGTCACTGCTTTCCCATGAGGTTTGCATTGCCATGAGATCTGTTTAGCAATGCATATGTTTAGCATATGTTTAGCAACCCCACTCACTGCTCTTTATGTATATACATGTATCTATGCGTTAGCTAGCAATGAAAGGAAGTGGCAAGCAAGAAGTGTCTGGAAGGAGCCAAGCACAAGTGGAGAGCAGGTGCTTTACCACTGGCATTCTTCCTTTATTGTAACATGCGGGAGAAAATTCACTAGGAAAGTGTCAAAGGGGAGAACACCAGCAATAGGATTCTGTTTGACTAAATATCAGAGAAGTGGCCTTGCAGAAGAATGCAAGTTCCTGAACCTTAAAAAAAAAAAACAGCTGATGAACATACACTTGCATTCATAGGGACCTGGAAAATTTTTTGGCAGAGTCGTGATGGTAGAGGAGCTGAAAATGCCTTGAGAAGAGAAGGTGCTTTGTGGACTGATGTTCTTACTGCAGTCTAATATGAAGCATCTTTTTAAGAAGAGGAGTTCACTAGTTCGAAAGGAAGAATGAAATTGGCAAGGGCATTGGCAACAGAGTGGTATCAATATGCTGGTCTAAATATTAGAGAAGTGTTACTGTACTTTTGTGGAAGTTTACAGTTCCTTGGGTTGAGGGGAAGTGCATATGTTACCATATTCTTTAATTCAATTTGGTGATCTGATGTGGAGGTGGGATACTTTTCCCTGATAGTCAGCTACCCCAGTGGCCCAATTGCAGGAAGCACACTGACATGGGGACTGAGGCAACAAGAAGTTTTGGTGCAAAAGGCACCTAGGACACATGCCAGCTCTGGTTGAAGAGAAATGAGCTGGGGAAGAAGCCATGGCAAGCCCCTTTGTCTGTTGGGTTACCAAGTGGCCAACCGAGCCATAGCGGCTTAGGTGTCATAGTGTGTTGTGCAAACCTGCCTAACATGTGCCCTTGGGTGCTTGTGATCTCTTTACAATATTACTGGTGTGCGTTTCGCCAAAGCCCATAACCAGCATTCTGTACGGTATCTTTAGTGCAGTGTAAACTCAAGCACTTCACCCTTATCTGTGGCTGTTCATCTTGAAATGAGTACAGCTGCTGCTATTTTCATAAAATCCCGTTCCCTTGTGTTGTTCCAGGAACCAGATGAGTCCAATGATGAGGTAATTGAGCAAAGCTGCACTTGGTATGCTTGGCTTGGGGACCTGATCTGAATGTTGAGGCCTAAATATTTAATCAGGATGGATAAGGTTTTACTGCCTCCGTCCAAATAGGCCTTGGACAAGGATCATAGAATCATAAAACTGTGAAGTTGGAAGGGACCAGAGGGCCATCATGTTCAACCCCCTGCTCAGTGCAGGACTCCAAGTTAAAGCCCATGTCCCAAATGGCAGTCCAGTTCATCTTGAATGCCTCTAGTGTGGGATAACCCACAAGTTCCCTAAGTAATTGGTTCTGTTGCCATAATGCCGTAACAGTGAGGAAGAAGTTCTTCCTGATGTTCAGCTGGAACTTGGCCTCCTGTAACTTGAACTCATTGTTTCATGCCCTGAATCAAGCCTGGATGATCAAGAAGAAATCCTGGCCTTCCTCTGTGACAGCCTTTCAAGTACTTGTAGAGTGCAATCATATCTCCCCTCAGTCTTCTTGATGCTAAACATGCCTAGTTCTTTCCATCTCTCTTCATAGGGGTTTGTTTCCAGTCCCTAGAATAGCCTCCTTGCACTCCTCTGAACCCTTTCCAGCTTGGACTGCATGTTGGCTGTGGGTGGGCATCACTTAATAAGTTCATACAAACACACATTCTCTGACACATCATCTCATCCTGAGCCAGTTTTGCTTGCCTTATCGAAAAGCAGCAATAAGGCACTGGAGAGTACCTTGAAAAACTTCTCCAGTGAATTGGCTTTGCTCAACCCTTTGTGTTCCCATTGAGAAAGAAATCAAAATCCTAAGTGGGCCAGAGTTTCTCCATGCCTGATGCAAAGGAATGAAGCCAGCAGCTTCTACAGGCTGCTTTTGTATCAAAGGAGCAAATTTCTGCACTATCCTTGTAGTGGACTGAACACCCAGTTCAGTCAAAAGAGCAGCAGGTCAGTGTCTTTGCATAGGAACTCCTGCTACTATTTTGTTCTCCATCATGTCAGAGGGAGCTGGAAGTCTCTGCTGATTTTGCAAAGAGGTTTTTACTCCTAATATAACATATAAGCAGGCCTCAAAGCCACCAGTTCTGTATTTCAGGCAATATCTACGGCATTTCTTGGAAAGCAACTGAAGGAGTGGTACCAAACTATGCCCTTGTTTGTAACATGCGTTTCATGAACAGTTCAAACCTTGTGTTGGCAAGGCAGGCTGGAGAACCCCTTGGAGCTCAGACTGTGCTATCACTCTAATTGAGGTCTACTACTCAACAGACCTTGTGTGCCAAAATTAATGTAGCTTTACTGATGACATCAGCTCATTTTGTGTCAGTTGCAAATGAAAAGATGGGAAGGAGCTACATATTTGTCATCAAAAGCAAGAAGGCTTTACTCTAATCCATGAAATCATATGCATTGGTACATCTTTTAGGTGTGCAGGGCTCTCATGTTTGCTGCCACAAACTTATGTATCAGTAATACATTATATTATTATAGTAATATCATTTATACCCAATTTCTCCAACCTGGTCCCTTGAAGGTTAGTTGGACTTTGTTTCTCATCACCAACCAGAAAGCAACTTTGACTGACTTCTACCATAGTTAGTTAGAAGGCATGGCTAATGCTTGTTGATGGTTGACAAATGATTAAAAACTCAGAATCAGTTTTGAATTTGAATTGCTGTAAACTAATGAGAGCACAATTCAGATTCACAAATCCAGGTTATAAGCTGAGTTGCCAAGTTGGGCTATTTACGTAGCCTGCAACCAGTAGAAATGCGTTAAGTCTTTTCCAAATCACTGTGTTACTTTGTGAGCCATGTCCCTTAACCATTTTAGATCAGCCACAGGATCCTCACAGTGAGATCACAGCCCTGCGCCATTTAATAATTGTTAAATGGGGCAGGGCTGTGATAATAGTTTTCTATTCCAACTTCTGTATGGTAGTCTTAGAACCACCATCCCTCAGAACTGCAAAGCTGATTTTTCAACTTCCTTAATTTGCCTTCTTATAATATTGATTATACTTTTGTTAAATGCTCTCCAGATTGTAGTCTTCTGCAGAAAAACATGCATGCTTTGTCATTTCCCAAAAAAAATTTTTTTAAGTTAGTTTTACTAGTTCAGTTAGATACTGAGGGCTAATAAATGCTACTTGCTTAGGGCAGGGGTCCTCAAACTTTTTCAACAGGGGGCCAGTTGACAGGTGCCAGCGGTGGGTGCAGGCCGCCAAGGTGGTGCCAGTGGGGGGGAGGGGGATGGACGGTGTGGGGGTGGGACACATGCACATATGTGCACACACAAGGTGGGGGGGTGGGGGGGGCAAGGCGCCAGCTTGCTTGCGAGGAGATTGTTTTCTCCAAGCGAGTCCAAAATGACCTCCTTGTGCACAAGCTGCTGCCACACACGTGGATAGTGAGGTGCCTGCTTGCTTGTGAGGAGATAGTTTTCTCCGAGCAAGTCCAAAACGACCTCTGCACCTGGTGAGTGCGAAACCTGTGGGGCAGGCCAGTTAAATGGGCATGGCGGGCCAAATCCAGCCCGCAGGCCTTAGTTTGAGGACCCATGGCTTAGGGAGCTATTGAGTAAGCTGCACAGCCTTTTTTCCCCTGTTCCTTTTTTTTTTTTTTTTGTAAACCCTACTTTCTCTACGTGAGAGCTGCATGTGGTAGGCATTTTTAAAAACATTTATCTACATAGGATACTATCCTTTCCTTCCAAATAAATTCTTCCTCACAACAGTCAAATACTATGGAAGCTTCTCTCTTGCAGGGTGTTTTCTTCTGTTTGTATTGATGCTATGATTTCTCTGTTCATCACTTTTTCTCCACCTGTTTTCGGTATTGCTATACATCTTTAATCTCTATAGCAGATGAGATGATTTTCTGGTGACTGGTCTCTTTTCAGCACTGTCATCATGCTTACTGCTGTCTACTGCTGTCGGTCATTAAGACAGTAGGCAATATTCCTGTCTTCTTCCGCTTTGTTAAGGCTAGGTCTCCTTAATATACCACAGGCACCTCAGCTTTGTCCTCTTTTTCTGCATGGAGCATTATGCATTTTTTCTTACCCATTTTGATGGTGGAAGTGAATATGCTGGTCTGGATGCTTCTGTTATGTATGACATGTTTTTCTGATTAGGTATGTGATAATTCCCTCTTTCCATCAATTCCTTCAACCTATGGGAACACTATAGATGCTTTCAAAAAATCAGAATGGCAGAAAGGATGTTGAAATCTACAGTCTTGTATAAATTATTTGTGCACAATTGCATGTATTGACTAATTTGGCTTACATTTTCACTTGCTACTTGGGGAAGGGATGTGAAGGCCTGTGTAAATGCTGCTCAGCTTCCTTTCTCTCCACCTCCATTGTCAGAGATTTTACCAAATGAGCACCTTTCCAATTCCAAGCCTATCTTTGTAGTTAATATGGACAAAAATATGGAATTATTTATCTAACAGTTTTAACTCTTGCACAACAGACTATAAACAAATACCACTTTGTCTCTGCACATATAATGCACATCAAAACATTTGCATATACTTATTTTTGCTTTTTATTCCAGTTTCAAGAACCACTTTCCAAAGAAGTTGAAAACATTTGAGCAAGGAGAAATAGATATACTACTGAAAAACTGTGTAGTACCATCAGGGAGGGACAATAAGATGCCTAAGACACCATCTTGACTCATTCCTTGCCCCTTCCCTTTTTCCTTGCTTTCTTTTTCAAGGTTTGGCTTCCAGCTTAAAAGTAGGGTGGTGCTAGGCACCTAAAGGGTCCAGGTCTCAGACCCCAAATTGCACAAATGTGTATGTGTTAATTTACACTTGCAACAGAATGTACATGTTGTGAAAATAATTGTTTCATATAATTGAGAGCCAATATGATGTAGTGGTTAAGTGTGTGGGACTGGGACTCAGGTGATCAAGGTTCTTGTCCCCACTCAGCCTTGGAGCCAATTGGGTGACTTTGGGTCAGTCATAGACTCTAAGCCCAACCTACCTCACAGGATTGTTGTTGTGGGGAGAGGACTGAGTGCAGGAGTAGAAGTTTTTTTTAAAAAAAAAAGAAAATAGGTGGGGTATACTGCTAATAAATAAACTAACTTTCAGAGAAGGCAAACTGATTAGCCTCATGCTTGTTTCAGGACAGAACAGTACAATGTCCCCAGTTGTGCTTGCTTAAAGCTTTCAGTTTCCTTGGTCTTTCATGCACAAATCCAGTTAGGGAGCATGTGTGCCTGATAGCTGCAAAGAGCCGTATGGCAACTACCTGTTTCAGTTAACTGGAAACAACATATAAAACTGGCAAGGGAGAGTATAGGAATGTGTTGTGGACTGTAATGACCCATGTTCTTAGGATGAAACTTCATTACCAGGGAGTAATTCTCCCTAAATATAGTGAGATTTGCTGCCCCCCTTCCCCTGCCCCCATAACCCCAACAAGCCCAGCAGCACTTGACAGGAAGCCTCAGGACTGCAGGATGTTGCTCTGCTACTCCTAATGAGGGAGATGGGGCCACTACCAAAGGTGGTTCCTCCATTTGCTTCCCATACTTTATTTTAGTGGTTTCTGGGATTTCAGAACACCTTTTTTTACAGTTCTTGGATTCTGAATCCTTGAAATCCGACAATCTACACCAGATGTTGCAGTATTACGTTTCTAGTAAGCTCATTGTACAACTCGTGTGTATTGTTGTAAGTATAGTTACAACAATAGTTGTACATACTTGGATCAACCTAATAAAGGTCTTCCCCATTTATGGACTTGGATGTTTTGTTCCTCATGAACTGAATGGCTAACTTTGCTTTTGTTTGTTTTAAAGTTCTCGAGTTACCAACCCCCAGGTTTCCCTCTAGAGTCAGATATTTATATATTTTATCCCACTGTTTTTCTTGCAAGGAACCCAGGGCAGCTTACATAATCTGCTCCCTTTTATCCTCACAGCAACAACCGTTTGAGTTTGGCAAACTAGGATCAGTGGATGGCGCAAAGTCACCCAATGAACTTTGTGGTTGTATAGGGACTGGTAACGTTCTCCCTCTCCAATCCCAATCCAACCTTTTCTCCACATTGGCACTGGATATTGGGACTATCTTCATGGGAAATAAGACAAGTTGCAGTTCCAATGCTAATACACTTACCTGAGAGTAAATCCCATTAAACTCTCAAACATGTTTAGCGTCACACAGTAAGTTTGATGTAACTCCGAATATCTTTCCCCACTCACTGATCTCTCTGTAGCTTCAGTTGTTCCCCTGCCCCCACATATTTCCTGTGCCATCTCAGTTATCTCTTCCCACTTTCAAGTTCCTTAACCATGCCTAGGACTGGCACCAGTTTTTTTTTTCTGTCTGAGGCAAAGCAGCAAATTGCATCTTCTCCGCTCCCAACCCCAATCCAAGTGCATAATAGTACATTTATTTATTTATTTATTTATTTATTTATTTATTTATTTATTTATTTAGAGAACTTCTATGCCACCCCATTCACCGAAGCCTTGGGGTGGCTCACAATCATAAATATGATGATTTTTTGATGCCAAACAAGTTGTTCAATTGATAAGGTGGAAAACCGTACAGGCACTTTCCCCCTTCCTTTGCAGTGAAAATACAATAGTAAATATTTGGTTGCTTTTTCAAAAAAATGAGGTCAAGTGTCTGAGGCAGCTGCTTCAGACATTAATGCACGCATGTACATGCATGCATGTGTGTGTGTGTGTGTGTGTGTGTGTTAAAAATCCCAGTATGATGGGACCAATCTGGCAGTGATGACAACATCCCCCAGGGGGCTGAAGTCAGGAGATCGTGAATCTTGGCTAGTCGTGTTCCAGAAATTAACTGGCTACTTCTTGCACCCAGTTGGACTGGAGGTGCTACTAGATCACAGCAGCCTGGATACCTCTCATTGGATTGTGAAAGAAGTATTTTACAATGGGCAGTATTACAGGGACTTGGCACAACTGGAGAGAGAGTTTACAGAGGGCCATGTACATGTGGAGAAAGTGAAAAGGGTCCCTGATGATAGGGATTCTACCTCAATGAAGCCCAGGGTGCACCATGCTGAGCCAGGCCCTTTGCAGTATGAGCCTTATGGACCACGTTACAGTGTGAGGAAGAACCAAGTCCACTCCTCATGCTGGAGTTTTGCCTTCAGGATGGATGTGAGCAGGGGCCCACATCTCTTGGATATCAGATTCAAAGGCCAAAGGATTATCTATGAACTTAGTGTGCAGGATAGCATGTCCATCTATGGTTCTAGCAACCCTGGTGGAATGTCAACCAGGTACATGGATCTGAGTTTTGGGATTGGAAGGTTTGTGCATCCTCTAGTGCGAGGAGTTGATTGCGTGTGTATGTATGTGTGTTAAAGATCCCAGTCTCCTAATGACTCTTCTATTTGTAAAAACGGTTTATATAGACAAATGAGAAGAGAATGCTTGATTTCAGAAAACAAGTCATGCAGAAAGGTTCAAGAGAGGCAGCAGGAGGAAAAGCACAGTTGGTCCAAAAGGTAGACAAATCAGAAGGATCCAATTCAACAGTGATAATCAGGGTTCTTTAAAAGCTTATGCCACTGTAAATGTGTGTGTCCTTGGAGTGCCACAGGGCATAGCAGCTTTTGAACACAGAAGAGCAAGAACTCTACCTACTATCTGTATCTTTTTTCTCTAGTTTAATGCACAGTCCTGATGCCAAGGGAGAACATGCACCCACCAGACCCTGGCTACACACAAAAAGCAGGTGTACCCCAGAAAGATGATTGCAGAGCCTAGAAGCTCTAGACACACTCAAGCCAGGGCCAGCTGCATACTCACACATTACATTACATAGACATGACTGCTGATTTGAATCCTACTAGGGGGTTGGACTCGATGGCCTTCCTGGCCCCATCTGTCTTGGTTGTTCTATGAATCTGTGAGAATCTGTTAATCTGTTTCCCCCCAGGGGAAGGGGCTTTGGCCAGCTACAGATAAGAAATGCCTCTGGCACTGCATTTAATATGTGAGCAGCCAATGCACCTGCTCTTTCTGCTGCCTGCATACCAGACAGCAATCGTCCAAGCTTCCCTGCAGCTTTCTGCAGAGTTAGGCACATTCCAGAAAAGCTGGGTGGGAGTTGGGCTGTTCAGTTACTTTGGACTCTAAACTTAATAAAAATATAAGTAGACTGTGGAAGGAGAAATGGCAATTTCTCCTCTAGTTTATTTATTTATTTATTTATTAAAACATTTTTATGCCGCCCCATTCGCCGAAGCCTCGGGGCGGCTTACAGATAGTTTAAAATGTCTTCATGCTGTACTGCCTATTAGTCTGCTAAAGGAGTGTCTCTTAAGGTCTCTTAATAACTGTAAGACCACTGTGGGCAGAGGGAAGAAGTAGGCTTGAATTAAGGCAGATGATCACAATTGCGGGAAATCTGGAGTCCATGCCTAACAAAACATTGGCTATGAAGGCATTTATCTGGAGGGGGATCTTTTGTGTTGCTTTAGGTTTTGTTTCTAGTAGGAAGGAACACATGATTCAAAGTAAAGAGCAAAAAAAAAAGCTGTGGAGGGAGCAGAGTCTACTTATTTACCAGTAGGGTAGATATTACTTGTGCAAGGCAGAACTTTGCTGGTACCAAGAAGTACTTCTGTTCAGGGAAGGAGTTGTTAGGAAGAGGAGTGACTGTGGTCCAGAATGGAACAGGGGCACAGGGGGCCATCTGAGGAGGAGAATCCAACTTTGGAAGGAGACAGAAAGGGTACATTCACTGCAGCAGAGAGGATTCAGGAAACCAAAATGGGGCAGGCTGGAAGCAGGAATGGAAATTCCTACACAGAGCCTCCCTTTGCTGGGTGTGTTCATGTTTTTCTTTCCCCAGCTGGGCCAGTCACAAAGAAGCAACAATTGTCTGAAGCCTGTCTACTGCTGTGGGTTAAAATTCTAGTCCGGGCACAGTATGGTGAGTGGTTGTGGGTTAGAATTTCACTCCTTGCTCTTGAAAGATGAGTAGAAAAGGAAAAATCAGCGAAAATCCTGCCTTCCCAGTGAAGCTTGCTGTGCATTTGCTGCAATGGGATTCATGGCATTAAGTTCTCTGTTCATTCCACAATTTCCACACATTGCTGACTTCACATTGTGTAAAAGCCTGATGGTATTTGTCCCTTGGCAAAGAGCCATTGTGGTGTAGTGGTTAAGAGCATGGGTCTGGGACTCAGGCAATCTGTGTTCTAGTTTCCATTCGGCCATGAAGCCAACTGGGTGACTTCTGGCCAGTCAAGACCCTCAGCCCAACCTACCTCACAGGGTTGTTGTGGGGATAAGATTACATGCAGGAAGAGGAGAATGATGTAAGTCACTTTGAGTTCGGTATAAGAAAAAGGGGATATAATTCTAATAAATTATAGGGGATATAAATTATAAATTAGAATAAATTCTAATAAATAAAGAGGGATATAATTCTAATAAATAAATAAAAGTCTGATACTCTTTGTGCAAAGCAAAGAGTAGCAAAGAAAGTTCCAGTTCAAACAAACAGTGTCAGGAATTTGTGTATTCTTACTATGGGTTAAGTCTCAAGGTTTTTACACAGACCTGGTATATCTTGCAGCATATAGACCAAATCAAGAGCAACTTTCCTACTGCTGTTAGCTTTGATAGGTTTTAGCTAGTACTGATCTTACAGTTTAGTTTAACTTCATTTAGCCACCTTAAATTTCTTACAAGGGAGAAATAGGCAGGGCTTATTTATTTAACTCTAAATTAGAGTGCAAGAAAGCTACAGGGGTAGAGAACAAGCTGGCCTGAAGGGGCAGCCAAGAGTGGATACTCTGTGATTTGTGCAATGAGAGTGCTCTGCCTCAGGGGTGCTTCTGCCTCAGCATGTACATATCTTTGCAAGGCATGGAAAATAAGTCCATCCTCCATTGCTGACCCTTTGCAAGCACCTCCCTCAAGTTTTCCTTCACCCTTCTTCACTCTCTTTAATCCAGCTGGTCATAGTTCAAGCAAGCTGTTTGGAATTGAGACGCCACTGCCAGACTCCTTCGTACCTTCTCATTCCACTGCTGCAAGTATGAATCTGAAAACTATTCTCCTTGTGCTCCTTTTTGTCTTGGTGGCAATTTTTGTCTTAGTTTGCATCATGCTGACTACAAGTGAGAAACAGTCCAGCTGTGCTTACCAGCCACAAGCTTTCCCAGAGCATCTGCACAGTGAGTGGAGCTGGCTGTTTGCTGATCTGACACAAGAGGAACTGATCCGTGTGGTACAGTACCTGAAGTCTAATCTTGGGGTAATTCTGGAAGATGCTTCTCATGCAAGTCCTTCTGATAACTGCATTTATTTTATTGACTTGTACTTGCCACCCAAAGCAGATACTCTTTTGTTCCTGGATCATGGAGGAAGTCGTCCTCCTAGGCAGGCACTCGCTGTGGTATATTATGGAAACCAGCCAGATCCAAATGTCACCGAATATGTGGTGGGCCCCCTCCCAGAGCTGAAGTATCACCAGGATGTGACAGTGCAGAAATATGGAGGACAGATACCGTATCATCGCAGGCCACCACTAGCTGCTGAATACAAGCAAATGGTTCACTTCTTGCACAGTATAGTGTTCCCCACAGCCCCAAGCTTCATGCAGGAGGTCCTGAATTATGATGGGACCAATCTGGCAGTGATGACAACATCCCCCAGGGGGCTGAAGTCAGGGGATCGTGAAACTTGGCTAGTCGTGTTCCAGAATGTAATTGGCTACTTCTTGCACCCAGTTGGACTGGAGGTGCTACTAGATCACAGCAGCTTGGATACCTCTCATTGGATTGTGAAAGAAGTATTTTACAATGGGCAGTATTACAGGGACTTGGCACAACTGGAGAGAGAGTTTACAGAGGGCCATGTACATGTGGAGAAAGTGAAAAGGGTCCCTGATGATAGGGATTCTACCTCAATGAAGCCCAGGGTGCACCATGCTGAGCCAGGCCCTTTGCAGTATGAGCCTTATGGACCACGTTACAGTGTGAGGAAGAACCAAGTCCACTCCTCATGCTGGAGTTTTGCCTTCAGGATGGATGTGAGCAGGGGCCCACATCTCTTGGATATCAGATTCAAAGGCCAAAGGATTATCTATGAACTTAGTGTGCAGGATAGCATGTCCATCTATGGTTCTAGCAACCCTGGTGGAATGTCAACCAGGTACATGGATCTGAGTTTTGGGATTGGAAGGTTTGTGAACCCTCTAGTGCGAGGAGTTGATTGCCCCTATTCTGCTACCTTTCTTGACGTTCACTTTTTAGCTGGAGCTGAAAGGCCCATCATTATCCAAGACGCTATCTGTGTTTTTGAGCAGGACATTGGAAGGCCACTTCGGCGTCATTACTCCAACTTGCAGTCTCTTTATTATGGAGGGCTGCCTGGTACTGCACTGGTCTTTCGCTCTGTGACTACCATTGGCAACTATGACTATATCTGGGACTTCATATTCTATCCAAATGGAGCCATTGAGAGCAAAGTCCAAGCCACAGGTTTTGTAAGTTCATCTTTCCTCCATGGCAATGGACTAGATTATGGAAACAGAGTTGGAGATCACACCTTGGGAACAATCCATACCCATTTCATTGGCTACAAGGTAGACCTGGATGTTGGTGGTAAGTTTCCATCTTTAGTAGGTAGATTCAGGCTTCTGGTGGGGCTGCACCTGTCTGCATTTTGGACTTTGTGAGGTCTTGCTGTGTGTAGTCCTTGCCTTCAACTGAGCCTTGAAGGGACTGCAGTGTATTCTATGTATAATTTGAACCTTGTGGGTAGAAGCATTCCAAGGACAGCAGCGTTCTATCAATTCATCCTCCTTTTATGTTTAAATTCTTCCTATTGCCTACCAATGGGCATTGGCACTTTCATCAATTGAAAGTCCAAATTTCAGTTAAGGTAGTTGGTGTCTTTGTCCCTTCATCTCCATATGTCTGTGCTTGTATTTGCAAGAGCATGACTGTGAAGATAGCAGGGCATTTGTGTATACATTTGGCCCAGGTATACATTTGAAGAATTGTCCAAAGTGCCCTATTGCTATTTTCAGTGGTGACCTCTTGTTGGTGACGACTTCTTTTGTAAAACTAAGATAATAGTCTCACTCGCTTGTTCTCTTGAGCCTATCCATCATATTTCAGCTAGGATCCTGGAGAAGAGTTCTCTGTCCCCTGAAGTTAACCACCTTTGGAGCTTTCCTGTCATCAGTGGAGATTGAGGCCACCAGTACATTTTTCTTTTACTTGGTTGGTGCCCCATCTAGTGGCAAAAGGGTAAGGCATCTTGTTGCAGCTTAATGTAATTTATAAACAAAGGGCTTGCTTTGGAAACAGAAGGTAGCCTTTGATCAAAGGCCAAACTAACCATCTTGGCCTCTTGGCAGAGCAGCAGAGGCACAGGCTGGGAGAGAGTGCTGAGTGGCCAGGGGACTGGCGAAGGCAAGGCAGGAGCTGGGCAGGGGAGCAGAGGGCCAGGAGCAGCGGAGAGGAAGGGGGCGGGGCCAGAGAGGCAAGAGGGGCCAGGAGGGAGCAGGGGGCGGCGCCACCGGCCTGAGGGACTGATAAGGCATCGTCCCTTGTCTGCGTCCCTTAGCTTTGGCCCAGGCTGTCCGGGGACTCCCTTCCCTGGGACGCAGAGGGGGGTTTTTTGTTTGTTTGTTTTTTATTGCTTTGTTTTCCTTTCTTTCTTTGTTTTTGTTTGTTCGTTTTTTTGGTGCTGTGCTGTGCTTTGCTTTGTTTTTCCTCCAATTTAAATTTAAAGTTTATTTTATCCTTGTGTGTGTGTGTGCGAATTGTTTTTTGTCAGGGAGAACTGGGCGAGTGAGGGGAACTGCAGGACAGACAAGGCAGGGGACCAAGATAAGTTCTCGGAAGGGATCCCAATGGCAGACCAGGAGATGGCCTTGGCGGGAGTCACAGGTGTTGTTGTCCGCTGTGAGAGCTGCGACATGTTCGCCCTTCTCCCCCAGGAGAGGCAGGGATACACTTGCCCTCGGTGCAAGATGGTGACCCTGCTAGAGGAGGAGGTGAGGTGCCTGAGGGCCGAGAGAGCTCTCCAGGACCCCCGGGAGCTGCCCCCCTCTGGCAGAGGGTTGAGGGAGAGGCCACGGGAGGAGTAGCTGCGGAGACATGGAGGTATGTCACCCACAGGAGGAGGAGGCCAGCACGGCCTCCTCCTTCTCCTGGCACCAATCTGGAGCTGGGAAACAGGTTCTCTCCACTTGGTTAGGCTGGGGATGATGAGGCCTCGGGGGACCAACAGGACCCCCAGCCTGGGATGACAAGCGGCAAGGGGGCCGCTGCAGGAGAGGCAAGAGCCAGGGCATGGCCTCCCACCACCACCAGGAAGACACGGCGGTGGGTGATTGTTGTTGGGGACTCCCTGCTGAGGGGCACTGAGACGGCGGTGTGCCACCCCAACCTGGAGACAAGGGAGGTTTGCTGCCTGCCGGGTGCACGAATCTGGCATGTGAAGGACAGAGTGGAGCGTCTTGTTTGCTCCGCGGGTCACCAGCTGCTCCTGGTGATCCATGTGGGCACAAACGACGTGGCCAGACAAGGTGTGGTCGGGATCACCAGGGACTTCGAGGCCTTGGGGAAGAAACTCAGGGAGCTAAAGGCCCAAGAAGGGACCGGAGAGTCTCCGAGGTGAACGACTGGCTTCGGGTGTGGTGCCAGAAGGAAGGCATCAGGTTCCTCGACCACGGCACTCGGTTTCTTGCCAATGGACTTCTGGCAAGGGACGGGTTACACCTCATGAGGATGGGGAAAAGGTCCTTTGGAGATGCTCTAGCAAGCTTTGTCAGGAAGACTTTAAACTGAGCTGGGGGGGGTTCAGGCCCCCCAGAAACGTGTCCGCACTGGACAAGTGTGGGGAGAGGATCAGGGCTTTGGGAGCAGGGTTTTAGCGGTACTGCAGGGACTGACAGGACTCCTACAGAGAGGGGCCAGGTATCAGGGAGGATGGGAGGAAGAAGGAGGCCGGGAGCTCCAAGGAAAGGAAGCGGTGGGAAGGAGTTGAGGTGCATGTACACCAATGCTAGGAGCATGGATAATAAGCAGGAAGAGCTCGAAGCTCTCCTGGGAATAAGAGGGTATGACCTAGTGGGAATCACAGAAAATTGGTGGGATGAAAGGCAAGTCTGGAATGTGAACATAGAGGGGTATCACCTTTTTAGAAAGGAGAGGAAGGGAAAGGGGTGGGGGTGTGGCTTTCTACATCAGGGAAGGGATAGGATGCAGTGAGATAGAATGCAGCACAGATGGGGATTCGGTAGAGACAGTCTGGGTGAAACTTAGGGGTTTTGACAGGGAAAGAGACCTGACAGTGGGGTTTGTTATCGCCCTTCAGGTCAACTTGAGACCCTGGATGGTGTCCTGACAGGCCAGATTCTAAGGATATCTTGAGGGGGAGACACAGTAATTATGGGAGATTTCAATATCCCGGATATTAGTTGGGAGACTCACTCGGTGGTGACAGCCAGGTCACATCGCTTCCTAGAAGCTATAGAGGGAGGGTTTTTCACACAGAGGGTTCGAGGGGTGACGAGGGGGGGAAACATCCTTGACTTGGTCTTGACCAATAGGGAGGAGCTGATAGATGAAGTACAGGTTAGGGGAGCTCTGGATGCGAGTGATCACTCCATCCTTTGCTATGAGATCAGGGGAATGGGGATGTGCAGCAGGTCGAGCACTAGAAGCTGGGACTTCAAGAGGGCCAACTTTGGCCAACTGAAGGCCAGACTGGGGAAAGTCTCCTGGGATAGGTTACTGGAAGGCAAGCGAGTTGAGGAGGGTTGGATGGCACTCAAAAGGGAGGTTTTGGAGGTGCAAGTCTTGACGATACCTCTAGTTAGTAAGGTGGGGAGGCGGAGGAGAATGCCGCCATGGATGCGAAAGGAGGTGGTTAGAGGGATTAGACGAAAGAGGAACCTCCGTAGGAAATGGGTACTGGGGGAAATAGACAAAAGGGTATACCGGGAGGAGGAGGCCCATTGCAGAAGGATTCTTCGCAAGGCTAAGGCTGATTATGAGCTGAGACTTGCCAAGAATATCAAGAGCAACAAAAAGGGCTTCTTTCAGCATGTAAAT